GGCCCTATTCGATTTCGCTTCCTCGCCCGCAATTGACCTTGACCGCAAGATGGGCGGGCATCCTTGCTCAGAGTTCGGGCCTTCCTGCCGTCGCAGAAAAATTCTTCGAGATTGGCGGACTCGAGGTTGCATTTTTTTTTACTTTTTTTTTTTTTCTCGAATCCTTTCTCTCCCATTATTCAGCGCGAATGGCCTGCCTCGGCTATTGAGGAGTTTGAATTAAAGGTTGGGCCACACTAAGCATGAGTCAGCAACTAACATATGCCGAGGAACACTCCCGGCGGAAGTACCCATTAGTTCGGGAGATGTTGTGTCTCAGGGCAAAATGAGAACAGATCTCTGGAGGACGGATAAAGCCTAGATGGTTTTCCTGTGGAGAGTCAAACTCCACTTCCGGAGAATGTATGTATGTACTCCGTACTACGCGCAGCTGTGGGTAAGTCATGGATGTATTGACTGTACAAACTTACATGCAGACAATGGTCTCATCTCGCTCCATAGGGCCAAAAAGCAAAGGTTAAGATGGATGGATAACTTTTTAACCCTAAGCCAGCACGTTTGGTTAACCCTTGCTGACCATGACAAAATCCTTCTAGAAAGCTTCGACCACCGTTGTTGGAGCCAGGGGCCATGGATTCTTGGAAGCTGGGGTAACAGTCAGATGATGCCAAGTGGCCGTGGATAGCCACCTTCCTTGCCCATAATCTTCGTATCCGAATAATCATTCATTTTCGAAGATACTCCATTGGTTGCTGTGTGGATAAATTAGGCCGATGGAATGATGGAGGGCGGACGCTGCTGTGTGCAGCTTTGAAGGATTGAGATGCCGGAGCAAGGAGGTGTGCGATGGAGGGAGCTTACCCGCTTTGAAGAAGTGATAGGGGTGGTACTGGGAAATCACATTTTACTTCCCACTTTTCTCCTAATCCTTGTCAGCCACGCCATATGTTCATTTTAGAGACGGGAAGAAGCGCAACGTTCCCAACTAGAAGGAATAACGCATGCACGCATTGATACCGAGGGACCTGCGCTGCTGGCCACATTTTCCCATCTCATATAGTCACATGGAGCTTGGGATACGTCGCTTAATGGGGACAAACTGCATCTCCACTGCATTCGACATTCCTCCTCTGCTCTTGATTCAATGTAACCACTCTCCCCTGTCTCGCAGCCTCACCAGCTTCTGAGGATCGGGACAATCGTGGATGGAGACTTTCTACCTCTTGATGTCAACGATAGCATTTCGAGAGCTTCTGGAAGTCGGGAGATCAGTGGAGATGATGCAAGGATGAGCCCTACTATCCTCCCAAGTCCGCTTGGTCATTTAAATGTCACGATAACATGGCACTCTGAGCTGTGACTGGCTGAATTTTTGGTTGCAGCCGGTAATCTGTACAGTATTTCAAGACAAGTGTAACTTACGTTACATACGAAGATACGTAGATACATCACTGGTATTGATCCATACGCTGTAGTACGGAGTACCATACGCGGCCACGTGAACTTGCGCTGGCAGGGCGTATGGTAGCGAACAGCTGAATCACAATCCTCACGCTGGTGCTCCGAGGCACATCGCCGTGTTGCTTGCCGTGGCCAACGAGCTTGAATGCGCCTATCCTGCATCAGGGATCTCCAGTCTCCCAAGACGAGAAACAGCTCCCGATTCCATCGGCCGTAGGTGATACCAACGGCCTTGGCCTTGGCCCTGCCATGTCATCGCGAGACGTCGGGCATGACCACTTTGCTGACATAAAACTGTTGACAACTCGACTCACCGCCTGTCCCGCCGTTGATGGAGGGTCCTCCAGACAGCGGAGTTTAGTTTAGCTAGCTCCGGAGCTTTTCATATTTCCGAATGGCACGTGTGAAGGAGAGCACCTTCAAAGACGATCCTCGAAATTCCCATGGTCTCTCGACGAAGGGAATCAACAAAGGGCGATACAACGTCTTGCCAAGCAGATGCCTATTCTCAACTTGCAGCTGAAGACGCCCGGTTTTGTCGGGGAAAATGGTGTAGTTACCCAGCCGTCGGAATTCGTCGCGGCCACTCGACAAACCTCGTTGTTCACGCGGTGTGACCTCCGAGACTTCTACCCGCCTCATGCAAGGCGATCAGATGGTCTGACATCAACCAGTTCTGATTCTCCAACCCTTCCCCAGGCCAAGGAGAGACCACCCTTGTCATCATGCAAGGATGGTAGCAGGTCTGGAAAGGCGTTGATGATGGACATCGTGCGAGGGATCTAGATTTTGGGGGCCTTACAAATGGTTGAAAGGGAACGCTGGGGCTTCTGGGGTTATGCAAGTTGTCTGCTGACCCCGAAGACCGACGAACGGGAGAGCGACAACTCAGGCAACCAGCATAGATCTAATGCCAAAAAACAAAAAATAAAAAAAAAAAAAAAGCCAGCACGGCGGCTACGCCGTGCATCCCGCGATCTGATTAGGTAAACCTGTAAATGTGATGGTCTTTGGTGGACGGGATTTCAACGTCCAAGTTGCCCCGTCACACTCTCGCAGACATCTGGAGTTATCTTGCGGACGGGGCGTTGTGCCGGCAGGTTTACATCTTCGCTTCAGCCTCAAATCAAATGACCCTTACATTACCACGTTCTGCTTGGTGCATCGCAAACGATGCTCGACAAAGAAATATTTCATTGGAGTTCCAACCCACCGGACCAGTATAACCCTGTCTGGGAGGGTTAGGATGACACTTGAGTCCCTACTTTTTTCGAGGTATACCCTACTAAGGTTGCTGCCAACTTGTCGGTCCCATGGCATTTTGTCCATGCTGATCGATGAGTTGGCAGTCCCAAAAGCCTGGGTAACTGCGTCAGATGGAGGATGTATTTGTGTTTAGTGTCGGATATCTTGAATGTGCTGCACGTGAATTCACAGCGCCTTTTTTTTCTCTGCCTTAGTTAGCCCTGGGTTCTCCAAGACAGTGCGTCTCTGGTAGTACACTGTATCATCCTGTGTTGGTGGCCAACACCCTCGATCACATTCAGTATCCGCACAGAGCGAAGGGACGCTAGAAGCGAAGGCAATTTTTGTATGGGCTTCTTCTAACCCCTGAAAGACGTAGCGGTCTCGATTGGACACGGAAATCGACGCCTGCGTGAGAAGAGAAGTCTTGATGGAGCACTTTAGCTGGGTAGCTCATAGAGCAGAAATGACTTGGGAGCATGTACTCGCACTTGGGTCGAAAGGAGAAACAGCGCGAAAAGATCTTAACGGATGGCTTTGGAGCACCTTACTCAGACTGAGATGCATCATCATGTCGTCTTCCGCGTTTCCATTGGATTGTGGTCATCAATCCTTTCGAGAGCAGCGACTCTGCGATCAGAGAAATCAACATGCGTCGGCAGCCGATGGACAATCTTCAACCAAATCCGAGACAAGCTTTGATGGCGAGACGCAAAATGCCCGACTCAGCTTTCATTTCGGTAGAATGGTCACCCCTCAGGAGTTCTAGAACTTGCCTTTGTGCTGCCATTAGACTGGCCTGGTCTAATTTGTTTCCAGAAATAACACTGGGACAGTTTTCAGCTGTTGCGTTTTTGGTTTTCTGCTTCCTTATCCTTCTTCCTTTGTCGTCCCAGCCTTTCCACTTTTAGGGAAGAAGTTTCTCGCTATGCGGGGAATCTCTGTTGCGTGGGATATCCTCCTCGCTTGTACTTATGGCTGGGATTGCTGTTTTGTTGATATCTAGATTCCAGAGCGGAGTGCTGTCATTCTGTATCTATATCTCATGCAGTTCATTCTATTTAGATGGTTGTTTATCAAAAATTCCCTGGCCCTCGCAGTCGAACTTGCATCTCAAATGGAAGTCATTGATATTGGTTCGTTTTTGATATTTTCAGGAGATAGATACATTTATCTTTCACCTACCGCTCTCTTTCAGCGTGTTACACAGATGGTTGCAGATGCATTCTATAAATGTTACCATGCACTAAATTGGTCTACCAAACATAGAGTTCTTTTGTTGGCCACAACCTTTGTTTCCATTTTCATCCACTCACTATTACATGCTATGAGATCCTGATGCCAAAAGGCATCATAAGGACCCCCATTTTTTTTCTGGATTGAAGGCTAGGGTTCAGATAAAGCTGCGATGTTGATCATCTGCGCACTATCCTGCATTATGTAGGAGGATATGATTGGACATGTGAGAATCTGATTGATTCAGTGTTAAAGCTTTTAATATTTCGCATGATATCACTTTTGGGATTGACATTTTGGATAGGGACTGGCGGATATTAGATCAATAGCAGTGACACCTAGGTATGAGAATATCATTGCAAAAACCAAGTTTTGAAGAGGATGATGCATAGCCTTGGTTCCTGTTTATATGTAACTATGGGTGAATGTTTCTTTTGGCATCTCTGAAAGCTCCAATTTCCCATTGGGCAACATGGTGCTAAAAAAGAAGTGTCTTATTGTCAATAATGCCCATCAAACCGCGATAGAGCCCTTTTGTAGAAGGGAGTAAGGATCCTCCAGGAGTGATTTTTCTGTTGGTTGTGTTGGTTGGATAAGAATGACTGGCTGCATGTAGGATGGTTACTATATCTAGGAATGTGTTAAAGACTACAGTGGCTTCTGTGGGATATGGATTTATGATTAGATTTATGATGTCTCAGAGAGCCACTGAGGGTTTAGCTGATATCCACAAAGGGAAGAGATACCGGGGCGGAAGACCCATGGTCTGTATATACATATTTGGATGCGGATGTAACAATGCATGAATAGTTGTTCTCATCGGGAAAACCAATGGCCACCGGGCGGAAAGCTCCCAGGACAATCAAATCGATGTTTCACGAAATATGCTGAAATCCGATTGCCTGCGGTAAATTACAATCTCCTCTGATGTTAAAAGCTGAGGCATATATAGCCTTTAGCCTCGAGGTCAACGAACAACCTATCCTGCTTCACATATCTAGATTCTTTCCCAGTTGCCCGCAAGATCATACTCTGCAAACGGCCATCGAAACCATATCATGGAGAGAGACTTGAGCATTGGACACATAAAAGAGAAGAAGCTTGGGTTTGACCCCGACGCCCTCACCGCAAAATACCTCGCCGAGCGCAATAAGCGCCTCCGAAAGGATGGAATTGATCAGTATAAGGCCGCTGAAGGCAAGCTTCGCCATTATAAGGACGATCTTTATGCAGAGCCCGGGTTTCAGCGTCTGCCGGTTGTCGAGGATGTGGACGTGCTTATTATAGGCGGAGGATTTGGTGGACAGCTAGCAGCTGTGCGGCTCTTTGGGCATGGAATTAGCAGCATTTGAATCATAGAGAAGGCATGAGACTTCGGAGGCGCCTGGTATTGGAATCGGTATCCGGGTGCTGCATGCGATATCGAACCGTATATCTATATGCCGCTGCTAGAAGAGATGGGATACGTGCCCTCTGAAAAGTACGTCCACGGTCCAGAGTTACTGGAATACAGTCGAATGATCGGTAGACGTTACGGGCTCTATAACAGAGCCCTCTTCCAAACTGAATTGACAGGCCTCATTTGGAGTGGACCAAGAGCCAGATGAATAATGGAAACTAGTCGGAACGATTCTGTTCGGGCGAAATTTGTTATAATAGCCAGTGGGCCTTTAACAAGGCAAAGTTACCTGGAATTCATGGCATTGGGACGTTTAGAGGGCATAGTTTTCACACATCTCGTCGGAATTATGGATATACCGGGGGGAATTCAAACGGGGGACTCTATAAGCTCAGTGAGAAGCGTGTGGGAGTCATTGGAACCGGAGCAACAGCCATTCAAATAATTCCTCATCTGGGACGCTCGGCGAAACATTTGTACGTCTTCCAGAGGATACCATCATCAATTGCCGAACGACAGAACGCTCCGACAAAATCATCGTGGGCCACCAAGTTGCGACCCGGCTGGCAGCAAAAAAAAATAAACAATTTGAACATCATCATAGAAGGAGGCCAGCAAGATGAAGATTTAGTCAACGATGGGGCAACAGACATTCTTCACAACCTCTCCGTGTTCGGTGTCACTGCCTCGCTGAACACAGATGACGCTGCAAAGATCGCATCCGAACTGCAAATGTTGGACTTCAAGAGGATGGAGAGAATCCGTGCTCGGGTAGACGCCACTGTGAAAGATCCAGCGGTGGCTGAGAAGCTGAAGCCGTGGTATAACCAGCTTTGTAAGAGACCGTGCTTCAGCGACGATTACCTTCCCATTCAACCTACCAAATGTAGCTTTGGTGAATACGGATGGAAAAGGAGTTCAGAGGGTCACAGAAAATGGGATTGTTGCCGACGGAAAAGAATATGAACTGGACTGCATTGTATATGCAACAAGGTTCCAGATTGGCACATGGACGCTTTGATAATTGATGAGGATGGAAGATCTCTCACGGAGCATTGGAAAAGCGGTTTTCGAACACTGCACGGCTTTTTGACTCGCGGATTTCCTAACTGCTTTATAATCAGTCAAATCCAGTCCGGCTTCACGGCCAACTTTGTTTATACGCTGAGTGAACAGGCGAAGCATGTGGCATTCATTGTCTCCAAGGCTGTTAAATACGGAATTCGTACATTGCAGCCAACAGAATAAGCCGAAGATGAATGGGTCCAAACAATCATAGAGGCCAGCCAACGGGGTCATCAATTCACTAATGAGTGCACACCTGGATATTTCAATTACGAAGGGATGACAACTGCTTTGATCTTGCAACAAGGCGCATATCGTGACGGAGATAGGGAGTTTGTGAAACGGCTTCAAGAATGGCGCAGGACTGGAGAGCTTTCAGGCCTTGAACGCACTATCGAATACGTTCGCCCGCTTGCCCGTGATGGTGTTGTTGACTTGGCTAAGCCGTGACAAGGGTTTCGCAAAATCCACTATCCTATATGGCTTATATTCATAGATAGGAATATTTGAGAACATGGGAAAGAATGAAAAGTATGTAGTAGACATGTAACTACATAATAAAATGAAGGTCCTGGAGATGCTGGGTTGGGTTTTCCGACTGCTTGTTTCGAGAGGTTTCGCAGAAATGGTACCTATGACTCAATGATGCCCTTTATGTATTTCAAATCCGACCAGTCTGCCCCTATGGATGCTCCGGATCATAAGCACCGTTCTTTGTGCTGAATCTGGAAAGGTAACAATATCTTGTGTAAGCAATCCACGTTCTTTTTATTGGAACCATCCGTTACCCCGATAGGCCCAATCACTCGACACATCCTGCGTTCGCTTGTCTGACTGTGTTTCTTTGTTAAATTCTGTGCCATATTACAGACCCACTTTCTTCCCGCAACATCGAGAAGTCTCGGCTGCACTGCTCTAGAAGGAAGTTCCAGCGAAGCCGTCCCATATACCGAATAAATTGGGGCATTGAGATGGAAAGAATAGATCCACGAAGCAGAAATACTGGCAGATACCTAACCGATACGATTTTTTAACAAAAGCATAAAGCTCCACCAATATAAGTGTAGGTTCAGGAGAGTTCATCTCATGGTCTGGTCCCTTTAGAAAGGAGTGTTTGGAAAGAATATCAGCTTCATATACTTCATCGGTTCGAATGCAAGTCCGAATTACTGTGCGGCTCGAATTTAAACCTTGGATACGGGACTTACCAGGCATAGTTCTGGGGAAAGCAGATCTGGATGTCAGGCGGAACGGGCCACATGCTGTCGAAACTTTTGGATATGTAAGCACATTACTAACTAACTAGTTAATGATTTAGGTCTAGTTACCTTAGTTCGACAGCCTGCAGGGGGGCTGTTTGTAGATTTGCTGATTTTAGGTCCTGCTGTGGGTAAAGAGTTAAAATCCATGGATAGTTCGGCTTCCGGCCCTCATTTCTGCATAGCAGTACTCCATACTCCGTAGTGGATGGTAGAGTTGGGTGTGGATCCTGGGTCGACTCAACGTTTTCGAGAATGGCAGCAAGATGTTCCTCCGCTATATCGGGGAAAAGTTCATGTTCTTTCTTTGCCAAATACCCACTCAGAGTACATTCAAGAATCGGTTTACCATTGCTAAATGAGTAGTATTCTGATATATGGTCAACTTGGGGAGTAGCATCGGCGTTATCCCAGAACTCTTGTGTTAGAATGATTAGAAGTTAAATGTTCGATAACTGGGTGGTCTTGAGTAACCCCGTTTATGTGCTGTAACGGATTGAGGGCTATTCTGAGGAGAAGGAATCGGACCTAGGGCGCCATAGTAAATCGAGACCTCCGACCCAACATGCTAGCTGGAACTAGCGCTACCGGAAGCGAGGATGACGTTTCCTTTTGAGGGCGCTCTACCATCGTCCCTACATTGCCCAAGAATGCTAGGGGATTGAGGCTTGTTCACTCTGAACCTGAGCTGAATTTGGCTGTCTAAGAGGCGTCCAGGATCAGCCTGTTTGCACCCCAGTCCTATGGCTGGAGATGGGAAATACATGGAGTAAATTGGACTGCATAGAATGCCAGTTGATAATAATTAAACAATTTCAGGGTATAGTTATGGAAGAAAAGTAGTTTACCCGGATCCGTCCGACATTCATGCTATATCCGTCGTCATGGTGACGAGATGACGGCGGAGTTGAAGATGAAGACAAGGACAAAGATGAAGTTCAAATAGAAGAGCCCGCGAGGGTGGATTAGTCAGCGGAGCTATGGAGCTTAGCACCGACGACTCAACCCGTTTGACCTTGACCTGGAGCTCTGAGTCTGACAAACAATATCAACAACGACAATGTCTTATGCTCTGGCTTCAAAAAAGCGGAAATTTCACAGAGTCTTGGAATCCCTATCCAATAACAGCAACGCCCCAAAACCCTCTCCGCCGAAACCTATACCGAAAGATCCCACCGTCGCAACCCCAAAATCAATCGACCCGACAATTAAGCGGGTTCGATTGACACCCGGCTCTGAACCTGATGACACAGTAATACGCCCGTCCAAATCTTCCTTGCCATCCCGCTCTTCCACTACTTCCCTGCGTCCAAATTTCGTGCCCTGGGACCGCGATCGCTTTCTGGAAAGATTGGAGACTTTTCGCAGGGTGGATAGATGGTCCCCAAAGCCGGAAGCTATAAACGAGGTGCAATGGGCAAAACGAGGCTGGTCATGTGTAGATGTAATGAGAGTGGAATGTGTTGGCGGATGTGGCCATTCGGTTGTGGTGAAATTACCCGATGACATTGAGGAGTTGGAAGAATACGATAGTGAGAAGATCGAGGAACGGAAGCAAGTTCGTACGTATCCATCCGAGATGTGGATTGAAGTTTTGGGCTATCTTTTCTAAATTCCCTTTTAGGGACTGCATTGGTCGAGGAATATGTGAAGCTCATTGTCGAAGGCCACGGAGAAAGGTGTCCCTGGCGTAGAGCTGGGTGCGACGGTAAATATTCCCCTCCATGTCAAAACTACTTTCTAGAAGATCTAATATCTTGCTAGATAGCATTCACCGCCTGCTTTTAGGGAAGCCAGAGAATGCTTTGAAGGGGCTTAAAGAGCGCTATACCAACCTTCACTCTTTGGCAAAGAAGTTACCCTGCATAGAGCGGATCGTGCTGCCTCAAAACATGGATATGAACGAGTTGCTAAAGATGATTCCACCGGAAACTTTTTCTACTAGCGATTCGGAAAGCAAAATTGCAGGTGCGGAAAAAGAAACACCACAACGTACCTCAGGTGAATCAGAGGAAACACCAAACGAAGGTACGCATAAAGATATAAACAAGTCGGTACTTGCTCTCGCTCTTTTCGGCTGGGATCTCTGCGGTGATAAGCGTGCTGGACTTGCGAGCTGCAACGCTTGCTTTCGCAGGCTAGGTCTCTGGATGTACAATCCTAAAGAAGATGGATCTTCCTCTATATATCCAACCCTCGACGTGGTTGTCGAGCATCTCGACTACTGTCCATGGGTCAACGCAAAAACACAGAGTGGTTCAGAAAAGCAACTCAGTCAGCGTTCTCCCGTGGGTTCTGCTCTGGCAGGCTGGGAGGTTTTGGAGCGTGTGATACGAAATGTGCACCGTCGAAAAACGTGGTCCGCAGATTCAGAGGCTGGTTCTGCAGGGAATAACGATGAGATCTCAGACCTCGGAGAAATCGATATTGAAGCACGGAAAGCCAAGGATCGAGAGTGGTGGGCTAGACTTCGAAGGGTAAGGCAAGCGCTGCAAGTCAAAGGGCCGAAGAAGAGCAAAGGCGCAGCATAGTGTGTTTCTCCTGGCTTGTGCCTGCTAATTCATCTGTTTGCAAGTTTTATGATGTTTGATGGCATGGACGTCTTACGAACCTTTGCTCTAGATACCCGATTTTGCAGTTTATTAAACTAGTTTCCCGCATCTTAATGATATCTGCCTTCCTTTCTCCATCCGTGTAATTGCAGTAGAAGGGCCCATTACCATTCTCGCTGAATGTCCATACCTAGCTACCAAGATTTTGGCTCTGGGAAAAGCACGCTAGTCCGTAATAGGCAACCGACGATGATGTCCCGCTTGGGACCTTCAATTCGGCCTTCACGACCGCCACCTCAGAGCAGAACGCCGACGGGCATGTTTGAGCTTTCGCTTGATCTCCGATACTTTCGAATACCTCAGTCGTGCGAATTGTCGGCAAGCCGTCTCTGCCAAACCAAAATCTTCTGTCACCATGTATGACCCTGCCCGGGATAGCTTTACCACGTCCGACGAATCGCCCTCTCGGAAGACGGGAAGCTCCACAAAATGCTCCCCTTTCCACAGCCAAGGCAATGTGTTGGGCGCGACTGACCTGGACTCAGAGCAAGGAAACGAGCCACATCCGTCAATGCTTTCGAACGCAATCGTGAGTTCTCGGGTTTTTTATTGAGTGACAAAAATATTCATCGTAACAGCACAGCCTTTGCTCTCTTTTATTTTTAATTATTTTATCGTTATTATTTTTACACTTGACATTGAAATTTCTTCTTTCTTTCTTCTTTCTTTTCCCCTTGCAGACCGGGACCCAATCCTCCGAACCAGGGTGGCTATTTGGAGAGTGGAGAGTGGAGATCTGCGCTAACCTGTTGTGAAGGATGCCACAGTGCCAAAGCCGCTTCATCCTATCATGAGTCCTGTTCCCACGACAGTTGAGAATCGTCGCCATACTTCTTCAAAGGTTCAGTCCAACTTACCTTTAGACGCAATGGAATCCTCGAAAATCGAAAATTCCTCATTACCTTCCGAGGACGTTACGGCTGAGCAGAATAGCATCGACCGGAAGGGATCCCAAGTTCACGACGCCGAAACGTCAAAAGATGATCATCAAAAGTCGACTCAAGGGTCTGCTTCCCCGATAGGGAAAACTGAAAAGCCAGTAACGGCAGAAAGAGCGTCGCCTGGTGGAGCGCATAGTGATAAGAAGAGAAAGCTAGCTGACGAACCGGCGGAGAACCCAGCATTAGACAAAGACCAGCCTCGTACCAAACGCAAGCGGCTTCAGGAACGCCTTCAGAAGAATCGCAGACGTGGAAAGACTCCTCCGTCAGCTTACTCTCGTAGGGATGACGGTCCTCGAATCCAGCCTGACGCGCGACCACCCAGATCACCATCACCCATAACGCGTTCCCCCTCCCCATCTGCTGCTCCCATACGCCAGCGTAAACGACCAGGTGGCGGAGCACGTATCAATTCTGCAAATATGGAAGCTTTAAAACGAAGACAAGAAGAGAGAGAACGGAAACGAGAAGAGGAAGCACAAAGAGAGCTTCGTGATCGTGGAGTACATGATGTCGTTCGGCAACATTACAACGCCGTTCCTGAACGAGGTCGAGAATGGCGTAAGACTGACAGCAAGATTAAGGGGCTCCGAAGTTTCAATAACTGGATCAAAAGCACAATTATTCAAAAATTCTCTCCCGATGAAGATTTCTTGGCGAGAAATAATGGCAATGGCTGGACTGGAGGGCCTCCAACGGCACCTGACGAGGAGAAGCGATTGATTGTGTTAGACGTGGGGTGTGGCAAAGGAGGTGATCTGGGGAAATGGCAGCAAGCACCTCAACCTGTTGAGCTTTACGTTGGCCTAGACCCCGCAGAAGTATCTATCGATCAGGCTAGAGATCGATACAACGGCATGAGACACGATAGGCGACGACGGAGGGGAAATCCTTTGTATCATGCTGAATTCCACGTAAAGGATTGTTTTGGCGAATCGCTTGGCAACCTATCCATCATCCAGCGTGTTGGGATCGATACCAACATCGGCCCGAATGGGTCTCTAATGAGTTCTCGCTGGGGTGGTGGTGGATTCGACGTCGTCGCGTCGATGTTTACTATGCACTACGCATTCGAAAGCGAAGAAAAAGCTAGACAAATGCTTCAGAACGTCGCTGGTGCACTTAAGAAAGGTGGAAGGTTCCTTGGTGTTGGACCAAATTCAGATGTTCTCAGCGCCAAAGTAGTGGAGTTCCACAAGAAGCGCAAAGAACAGTTGGCTGCCGCTGGGACACAGGAGGCGGACAGCAAGCAGGAAGGGAAATATGCAAGTGAAGTGCTCGAATGGGGAAATAGTATCTACCGTGTGAGATTTCCCCGCGCTACCCCTGAAGATGGAATATTCAGGCCTGCCTTTGGGTGGAAGTACAGCTACTTTATGGAGGAGGCAGTTGAAGAGATTCCGGAGTATGTGGTGCCCTGGGAAGCCTTTCGAGCGTGAGTTTCTTCTCGTCCATTCTTTCAAGTTAAATCTTTTCCCTGCTTACATATTTTCCTATTTCAGCCTGACTCAGGACTACAATCTGGAGCTGCAATATCGCAAACCATTCCTCGATGTTTGGCGGGAGGAAAAGGATGATCCTATACTGGGTCCGCTGAGTGAGCGGATGGGTGTCCGATCAAGAGATGGCACTCTGATGGTCAACGAGGAAGAACTTGAAGCTGCAAGTATGTATATGGCCGCCCTACCTTTCATAACCAACCTCAGGGATATTACGTATACTGACTCTTTAACGATAGGCTTATATCATGCATTCTGCTTCTATAAAGTGTAATATATGCGTGTATCCCTTATGCCACAACGCACCAGTTGCTCTCCTTTTGTACCTATGTAGACGATGTGGGTGAGAATTTTAGGTCTGGAGTATGCTTCCTCCTTAGACAATCTGAATCCTCCAAAGCTAGTCCCCGAATTATGGGCCCGAGAAAGTACTAAAATGAAAATGAACGAGCGCTTGCTATGGCCAAGACCCGGCTGTTCTCCAGTCAAATGTAAATAAGATCGCAAGAAAAGACCCAAAAAAAAGATTATTCTCAGGATATCATGTAAACGCCTGTCGCTTCATTCCTTCGCCGGGTCCTTATCCTCAAGTGTGGAAACTAGAGTCGCATTCTTATGTTCAGCATTCAGAATCGCATTCTCAACTGCGGCTTGCACGTCCATATGGAAGAATGGACGGTTGATGCCATGAACATTAGCAATCCTCCTTGGGATTCGGATCAGCTCTTTCCTTCCAGTGCCTCGGTTGCCGTACGGCTCAATCTCGTCGACGCCGTCAATCTCGGAGCTCTCAGACGCTTTATGCGTTGTGATAGAATCAGCTTCTGCGCCCGAAAGCGCTGCCACGCTAAATATAGGCTTCCAGTGGCCAAGTGATTCTATTGATCCGGAACTTGGATAACCAAAGCCTGCTGCGGACAGTGCACGCTTTGTCCAGCGGTTATTTATACTAGAAAAGTGCCACTCGACGATTTCGGGGGCAGCATAGCGGTCGAGTTGATTTCGAATGTCGATGAGTCCTTGGATTGACGTTACATCGACGTTGTTAACCGCTGAAAAGTCAAGGATGACTGCACGGAGAATTGGGCGATTGTCGTTGATATTGATTTGCTCCCCATTTCGTGGGCCAGGGTCATTCCACGGCCTATCCTGTAAAGAAGGAAAAGAAAGGATTAGTCAGGAACATATATAGAATTTTAATGAATCCAACTTACTCCTATCTTATCATATCTCTCTAGTTGAGTGCGTCGGGTCTCTTTAAAAATATGTGCCGTCAGAGTATCAAGATACCTGGCTTGATTTGGGTAGTTGAATCCTTCGTTGAATCGATAGACAAAAATGCCTGGATAGGGTGATTGTGCATCGATCAAAGGGTTTGAACCGTCTTGATGCTCCATAGGGATGAATGCATCTCTCACGGACCATCCTGGGTCCTCTTTGCACGCATGGCCATCGCCTCTGCGAGGAAAGTTGTCTGGGGTGACACGATAGACGCTCACTCTTCCCAGGAAGTTTCCTTTGGCTTTGGCTGTTCGGAATAAAAGGACTGCGGCCGAGGCGGCAATAGTTGCATAAATGCCGTTCTCAATCTGAGTGAATACAGTTACCAGCACACCAGAAAAAAAGATGATAGCTTCAAGCGGAGAGATTTCCCAAAACTGATAGACAACATTAGGTGGCGTTATCAAATCACCCACAGCATGGATGATCAGTCCGGCTAATGTGCTCATAGGAATGTAGAAAAAAACTGATGTCAGAGCGTATAAAGCCAACAGCACAATGAGTGCAGTGAACACCCCAGCGAGTGGAGTTCGAACACCAGCTTTGGCTTTAATAGCTGTACGTGAGAAAGACCCGGTGGCCGGATAGCCACCTAAAAACGGTCCGAATAAGTTCGTAAATCCAATTGCGACCAGCTCTTGGGAAGGATTAATGACATAGTTGTTAATCCTCCCGAACGACTTAGAGATGGCAATATGTTCTATGATAAGAACGATAATGCTCGCGGGGATATCCGACGCAAAGGATTTAACGAGCCGCTGATCCATATGTGGAACTCCGGCGTGTCGAAACCCTGATTGTGTTAACGTAAGCTGGTGCTCAGTCCATGAAGGGAATGGTTAATCCGTACCTTTCGGGACCGTCCCGAGGATTCTGAACTTGGCTTCTTTTTCGTCCGGAATATTTCTGTTGACTAACCAGCTTATCATCGTATATAGGAGAATAATAAAAGCCATCCTGAGAGTGGATATGAAAAACCACATTTTCCGTCTGTTTGGCTGCCTGTTGGACATGAATCCGCAAAACCATCGAACCCCATACAGTAAGAACAACGCACTCAATCCCAGCGCTGCATCAAGTTGGGAATTCGGGAGATTTTTCAAGGTGTTTATGATTACCTTGTACGCTGCTTCTCTAGTGTTGACGCCACGAATACCCATCATTGCAGGTACCTGGCCCACGGTAATCGATATCGCTGCGCCTGTCATGAAAGACGTAATTGTCACAAGAGGAATGAATTCGACAATCCAGCCACATCTGATTAGGCCGACAAAGAGCAGAAACGCTCCACAGATGACGGATAGGCCCCGAGCAATTTGCTCGGCAGGGATATCGGGGTTAACGTCTTGAACTTTGATGACGACGTTTCCAACAATCGTGGACATGACAGCGACCGCCTACAAAGCTTGTTAGAATATGCCGGGGGAGGGGGAAAGGAAGCTTCGATCACAACTTACCCCAATAGTGATGTCCTTTGACGTCGCAAATATCCAGTAAAACAGGAAACCCACAAAAGACGTGTACAGTCCATATTCTGCAGGTAGTCGAGCCAGAAGGGCATATGCCATCCCTTGCGGGACGACGACAAATCCGACAGTGACACCTGATAACCATTAACAATAGCCACAAAAAGAGAAAAAGCACTATTCCTGCTCACCAGCGATGATGTCTCCGAGCATCCATTGCAAATTGTAGTGGAAGATCCATGACGAGAACGGGAATAGGCTCTTAATGTATCTCTTGGTATCATTGACAGTGGGCCGACGGTCCGAGACCCATTCGGCAACCGTTGGCTCATTCTCGACAAAGGTATCTACAGAAGAGATAGACTTAGCTGCAGAACGAAAGGTATCTTCTGGCTCCTGGCGGTAGTCAACATTGATGCCAAGGATGCCAGCCAGAAACCGGCCAGCTCGATTTGTCGCCATTCTCGAGTTTGGGCTGAACTTGATGGGAGGCCACATAGATACGGCAGACAGCAGCCGGCTTATATATTTCGGGTTTCGGGGTTTGGACGAAGGACTATTGCAAAAAAAGCATTCATACGACAGGCCTCAAATGGTAAACAACACCTCAAGCCAATGATGAATAGTTCCTAACAAGGGGCCCTTCCGGCGGTTGGGATGTCAAAATATCTAAGGGGAATTGTCGACGCAATACCCTGGAACCATGTCGTCAAGGCGCGGCGGGTCTGCGGTGAGGACTCAAAACTGCGTGGCTGCGGACCCGTTTTTGGAATTGGCGAAGCTACACTCGAGAATTGGGAGGCATACTTGGATCCAAGCGGGATGAAGACTGCACCTCCTTTCTATTCTTTTTCTTTTCTTTTTTTCCCCCTCCGGAATTGAAGCAAACGGCACGAAAAACGAAAGACCCGACTGCGAAAACTTGACTGTCGGACAGCACTTTGCATCAAGCCAGAGAAGTAATTCGCCCAGGTGCCCGGGGCGGATGTGGGAGAGGAACCAAACATGGCAGAGAGAGAACGTTATCTGCGGAGTTCAGCACATGCCATTGCCATCGGTCATCCTCGCAACAAGCTCTTATCAAAGCCTATCCCGCAATTTCCTAGCGAGCTGGGAGACTGATTGGCTGTTCAAAAATAGATCTTGTTGTCTGGGCAGGTTAGCCAAGGTCTCCGATGACTGAAGTTGAGAGCCTGATGTCGCAATCGCAAACCTTGATGATGGCAGATCACGATAATAACTGCAACATCCCTGGCTTATTCCCAGGCTTGAACGAGCTGAATAAGTTTAAGCTTAGACCACAAGAAAGATACTGGGCTGCTTGCTCTGTTCTAACATCCAAACAGAACCTTCCAAGCTCGCGGAAAGGGCTTAGTTCCAGCACTGTGGACGGCACAGGAAATGTTTGATGTGTGACCGCCATCTCCGCGTGGCCAATGAAACAGCTGCTTTTGTCGGTGAGCATGGCTCTGCCCACCCCACTGAGCAAATAAACTCTGCATACAGTAACAGCTCCTTCGCACATGGCGTCCATGCACCGGCAGCAGGGTGCTTGTCTGGGGTAGCGAGAAGGTTAAAATAACAACCTTGATGAGATGGATGCCTTAGGTGCCAGCCCGCGCCCGTCTGCAAATGGGCCACGGTCACGTGAGGCTACCTCGCCCAGGGCTGTCCTGAGGTCACCTCTATCTATATGTGGGATAGCCAGGGACCTCCCTTGCTCGCGGCCTACGTCCCTGACACTACGGAGTACTCATCTATGGAATGAAGGCGGCTCTGGACCAGCAGCGTGCTCCCGCATCTAGCTCGGGCAACGAAACCTGACACCCTCTTCTTCGCCTGTTGACAGGTCGCGAAAGGACCAGCTCGTACGGTCCCGGGGAACGAGCTCCGAATATCATACGCATCCCTCCCGTGATTGAGCGCCTCCCCACCGGTGATCGGGCACGACTCAAATTGCCGAGAAGTGGTACCAATCGTTTTGGCTGCCGGAGACACCTTTGGGGTTTGAGGGGATGCTAATCTCGGCACGCAATCTTAAATCCAACTGCGAAGAGAAGAGAAGCCTGTCCTGCAACTGTGACACATTGTAGCTATCCAATAGGAAATCGTCTCGTATACCTGAAAACTACCGACGGACATACGTACTCTGCTGCGAGATTATCGTTTTTGTAACTTGATGGTGGTCTCGCAAGCCTCAGCCTGATAACGGAGGAGAGCGCCAAGAATTGATCTTCGGTTTCTGACTCAGCTTGACCCGTGCGTCATTCAACTCGTTAAACTCGCTAAACTAACTATTAGTTAGTTGGTTAGCGCGACTGTGCGGCGCGTCGCGTTCGTCGGCACTATTGCGTCGCGCAGCTCGTCGCAAAAGGCGATCCGCGGAGCGGCCAGTCCTTCGAACGAAACATGGCTGCAGCGACCCCCTCACATCGCTCTTCAAGGAGACAGCGTTTGGAGTCCGATATAGGGGCCGAAACACCTTCTGGCGTGGATCAAGCTCTGACGCTTCCTCGCTACCAGCGTCAGTCTCACAAATTGAACGCAGACGCCAAAATAGCCCTCCTGAACCTTGCGCAATCAGAACATTTCCGACACCTCGACCTGCACCTACAGCACCTCGCTTCTGCGCTGGCGAATACGACAGGTGAAATTAATGACCAATTGACCGACGCGAAAGCACGATACGAAAGACAGAAGCGGAAGAGGGGCCAGAAAGAAGGTAGTGAGGATGTGGATGTCGATGGCGACGGAGGTCGCTCGTCAACGCTTGATGATGCTGAGGAGAAACACTTCGCAGATTTGGAACTACGTGTAAATATGACGACTAAGAAGATGGAAGAAAAGGTCAGAGAGTTGGTGGACACAGAAATGAAAGCCGGTACAATAAAGGAGATCCTGGAGAAGATGGGTCACCCACAAGAGGAAGGAAGATCCGGCACACAAAGGGCGCGGGCTCCTAGGACCAGAAGGCGAAGGCTTGAGGATGAGGACGAGGATGGCGACGATGCCGATGTGGATTATAACCCTAGCCGTGAAGAAGATGATGAAGAAGGGGACGAGGTTGTTCCTGCAAGCGAGCTTTATGAGATACGATTAAAGGAGAAAGAGGCAGAGTGGGAGAGCCGGTCGCTAACACAAAGGTATAGCTATTTACCTATGAATGGTGATTGTACCCTGCTAATTATAGACGCAGATACACTACCCACAATACCTATATTGGATTTTACCGCATGCTCCACGATTCCAAGCATCCCGGCGACGATATCCCTCCCTTACCACACCCATCAACTTGGTTTAGTAACATGGAACTCCCAGAGGCCTCGGAGTCATCCATTCGAACGCGGGAAAGCAGGAAGAGTGCCACTGCTCGCCGTCCCGACGACGACATCGCTATCGAGAGTGAACGTGTCTCCATCCGCTGCCCAATAACGTTGCTTCCTTTTAAAGACCCCGTAACAAGCACCAAATGCCCACATAGCTTCGAGCGCGCAGCGATCGAAAGCATGATCAACTGTAGCAGCGAGACCGTGGTCGTACGGGCCCCCGGCTTGAGTCGCGGCAGGCAAAAACTAAAATTTGTAAAATGTCCGGTTTGCTCTGCTCAGTTGCTTCTTCAGGATCTGCGCCAAGATCCTGTCCTCCTGCGAAGAGTTCGACGGGCTATGGAGACCGCAGCCGCAGAGGAAGAGGAAGAAGCTGAAGCTGATACCATGGAAGAGGATGATCAAGATGTGGTGATGCACGATCTGGAGACAAAACGAAGTCAAGTAAGAGTAAAGGTTGAAAGGGCAGAGTCATTAGCCCGGGAGCGGAGTATGATCCCTGGAACCCAGTTTGAGACTGTACAAGATGACGATGGGGAGGAAGAAGAGGATGATGAGGGTTAGCTAAACAGTCAGAGAAATTTTGAAGGTAGATCAAGACATACCATCAATAGCTTCTAGTTGCAGATATTTTGCTTCACTAAACTCGACAGATTTTGTTGCTCCTGTTGAGGCCAACCAACACGAGGATTGAATTCTACAAGTAGAAAGCATAGCGAAAAAGTAACGGACCAAAAGGACAATTGTCAATTTTGCGTGTACTATACATACATAAAAGATCGACTGGCGGGAATGAAACGTTCCGAAATGCAACGCCTTCCTGAATAACGGCTAATAATAGCAACAACGTAAAACAAGATGCAAAATATCCTCCTCATCCAAACACCAGTCAGGCTAATATTCCATTGCCATGAACCCATTGCTCTGCTCCATTTCCCAATGAAAAACAACGCCCTGCTAAACATCCTTAAATACGCAATTCCTCATTTTGTTTGCTGCAGATCTGTATTCTCGCGACGAGAAGAAAAGCTGCTGCTTTCGGAAATTAACAGTTTTGAGGATATATCGCGAAGGAGCAAAAAAGAAACCGGTTTTGGTATCTGCTAAGCTGCGGGGGACTTAAGCAGAAATTCCTGCCAAGACATTTAAGTAGCCCTTCTTGGTCAATTCCGTGAAATCAATAAAGACCGGGTAATCAGCTTTTTGTTCTTCAAGGGCCGGTGCAGTGCTCAGCGACCCCTCTTTGTTTTCAGGTGGAATATTCCCTGCTGATGTCGCAGGAGGTGAACCAGCAAGTCCAGGCTTACCGCCAGCGCCAACGGCCATATCAGCAAGGTGTTGCAGAGAGCGCTGTTCTGTTGCGCCGAGGGGCAGGTGAGAGCCAGTAGACTGTTGATTTTCAGCCCGTTGTCGCAATGGGTTCATTCTGGCTTCAATGAAAAGTTGGATCGTGTTTTCCCAATTCTGGGTCGCAAATATTTTCTCAAATTCACCTGCGGTGGCGGCATGCTTCTCACGGAGGGAAATCACACCCAGTAACTTCTCGAGAATCTCTTGAACGTCACTTACAAGCTCAGGTATATCCGTGAGCTCCAAAAGAGTGATGACGGCAAGGGCAAGGAAATGGAAGTGAAATGGTGATGATATCGGTGTTGAGTTCTCAGCCTGCTTCTTCATGATTTCAACAATCACCTGTGATGGATAGATCAACTCCGCGGGAACGTAGACGTAGAGATGGCGCTTGAGAAGTAGATGAATGCTCCAATAGATCAGTGGAGAGAAATTTTCGAGAGTATTGACAATGGATGGGTCAGTGTTGGCCAAATCGAGGCGCTCAATATCCCTGATCCGAGTAAGTTGGCCAGTCAAGACTCTCTTCAGCGCGCGAGAAAGACCGTAAGTGGGGTTATTAAATGATTCAGAGAATGTTTCGTAGAGCTCGGCGAAAAGGGTCGAATATCCTAAAATGTAGGCGTTAGGCATTTTTATTACTGAGGATCTTCAGGCCAATACACTCACGGGCAAGCTGCATCGTTGTCAGATTAACAATACTGTTGTCTTCGGGTGTCGCAATTTCATGGTTACCAAAAAAATCAGGGCCAGCAGCGCTTAACATATGCCAGCGAGCTAATATGCCGATTACGATCCAGTTGCGCCTAGCCAGGTTGCCATCCGAGTCCAGATCCTTGTCCTCTTGGTTGCTGATATCCAGCTGGCCCAGCGGTTTGGCGATATAGTAGCCGAGAGAAACGGCCCCTTCCACGAGTGTCCCCTTTGGGATACCGCTCTGTCCACGGAAGTTCAGTCGGCCACGTTGGTCCGCTTCCAGGATCATGAGGATGATGCTATGAAGAAGGACAAAGTTTGCGGCTAGTGGACGCGAGGAAGGATCACCCCGGAACCATTCGTACAATCGGTCCTGGGCCTTCTCAAAGGACGGGATCTCCTGGAACTGGTTTGTAGCACGGAAAGAGCCTGCTCCAGTAACAGCAAGCAACGAGTGAAGAAAAACTTCTTGGATGTGACGGCTCGACTGGCGGAGACGACTACGAAGCCGATCTCTGGAAGCTGGTAGTATGGGAAAGATTGGGTGGATGTGATTGTAATAACTGTCGCTCTGTCAGTATGTTGGGTGCCTCGATAATCCAATAACCGGGAGATAATAGCTTACGCATCAAGAACTTTTTCGTCTATCTCAATAGGTGTCACCTCCTCCGCAGGCTCAAGGCCTGTTGCAACCTGTCCATGAGCCCAGAAGGGTTGTGCAACTCTAGCAGCTCCGTTGTGGGGGGCATATACTTCTAGGCCCGCGATGGCATCAGGATGCACGTCCTTACCTTGTGGCTGCGCTGGCCAGCCACCAACCGATGGCTGACGTGGTCCCTGATTCACCGGCAAGCCCATCATAGTAGGGACAGCCTCTGTCATAGAATAGGTACGCTTCCTCGGAAGAAGATTACTATCCACGGTTGGTGAGAACTCCTGATAACCCCGCACAGTTGGCGATCCTTCTTCATTTAGAGCCTGATAATGTACATCAGGCTGGCTACCGATGCCGGGTTGCATCTGGCTCTCCAGAGTGTTGATGCGGTCAGCCAGTTCTTTGATGTACCTAGCGACCATGAGATTAGTTAAGCGGCATGTGATAATTAGGTGGTAAAGAGTTTTAGTCTTCTGTACCCTTTACTTGGACCTCTTTTCATCGGCACCCTACTGAACTCACAAGTTGAGTTTGTTCGGCGACAGTTTGAGCACATATCTACACCAGCTTCAGATGTGGCATCGCACCGGACCTATGGGCTGTCAGCTGACTACAGTGACGATAAAGACGCTGCAGAAGTACATACTTTCTTACGTCGGCATTCATCGCAGGCGCGAGAGACCTTGGTGCGCTTTCGCCTTGCGCTTTGATCGCCATAGCTGAGATCGTGGTTCGGATCGACTCCAGTCTGTTGATTGGGGGTGAACTGGACCAGGTGCTGTTGGTGCTGGGTTTGCTGGTCCGCGGAATCGCCGCGGTTGACGGCGGAAGGATTGGGGTTTGGTGACCCTAGCACCATTGGCTGAGGCTGCCCAATACCATTGGCAGGATTTTCATTTATGTTTGTCGACGATACCTCGCGAGACAATTCCGCGGTGAGATGTAGCTCGTCTGCAGTCAATTGACGTTGGTTGGTGTAGTAAGACGCGGCGTTCTGGCCGACTTGGGTCGCGTTCGGGGACGGGTACGATGGCGCCTGGGCCATATCACCGTGGTCTCCGGAGGCCATCGTCGCCGATTCAACCTTTATGACACCGGCGCGGTGAGCCTGTGGTGCGATCAGGTTTTGTTCCTGAGGTTCATACTCAGTTGGAACGCGTTCGGACATGACAACAATAGAAAGAAAATGCTTCAAAAAGTCATCTGTACGGGAAGGTCGGAAGATGGGGGGAAGGTGATTTGTAGGGAGAGGAAACCACGAACCTTTCCGAGAACGACGAGCCTCAATCCACAGTGTCAGTGTCGATGCGCGATACCGGTCTTGCTCGAGGGACGAGTATTATTTGGATCGACGATGATCGCATTCCCTGGGGACACGGAGAACGGGTATTGTTTTATGCGGACAACGTTGAAATCGAGGTGAGGTTGCGGAATAATTGAGGTGCCGAGTGGGAGTTGAGCAGATTGTTTGTTGGGTCAGAAGCAGCCGAGAAGGGAAAGGCTCGACTAAGTCACATGATGTCAACAGTCACGTGTTATTGTGAAATCACGTGTAATTTGTGCCGCTGTGATCCCCCCTGGCTGCAACGGGGATATGAATCTTCCTGGAATCCATGATCAGACGGGGGATTTTCCCCAAGGAAAACAAATCGAGTACTCCATGAAATTGGCAGGGGTGGCCATCAGTTGGCGGCATGGAATGCAGCTCTCGATTGGATGGATGTCTGACCTCCTCAAACTCTCCTGTGTCTGATACCCTCTGGTCTAGAGGGCACAGGAACAACTTATGTCAATCTATACAATCTCATTGTCTCCCGCGTGATTATACTACTTGGTGTGCAGCAGATCATCTAGGTTTTATTTGTCATGTGGATGTAAACACGGTCCTATTACCGCTGAATTGTGAATTCTATGGAAATCCTTGCTTTTGGTTGAGTGTTTCAGACCTTCACGGCGCTTCAGCGGCACATCTTCGTCCGATGGCTCAGTGTCAGGAACAGGACTTCATATGAAAAGCGTCAACTGTTTCATATCTTCTCCACAGTTTCCATGATTGCATTGAAGGAATAATGAGGGATTATTGCCCCGGGTTGGGCATCGAAAAGAGGCCAGTCACTGCCATTCCTAGTGCCAGGATATTTCCTGAACAAGATTGGTTTCTATTATCCACTTTTATGGGATTCGGAGGCATCTCTTAACAGTTACTGACCAACAAAGACATGCTCTAAATTTACAACCGAAGCCGATGCTCTATTTGTGATGAAGGGGAACGCCTGACAGGCACCAGGCTAAGAAATGCTTAGCCCTACACAATCAAATACCTCTTCCTGTACAGGTCTATTAGCCGGCTATGGGCTTAGAAACATTAGGAAATGAATCCCTTTCATTCGTTGAGTTGACCGTGGTGATGTGTGATATCCGATGTTCACCCACATTACCGCCAGTTGAGGCATCTGCCAACACTCCATTTCACCGCCGTAGAATGCATCGAGAAATATTGATACGATATCAGGAAATTAGGGTGAATGAAGCCCCATGTTTAAATCTTCTGTTGAAAGAAAAGTACCTTGGTGGGCTATTTTAATTCTTGATGATCTCCTCTGGCCATAGTAACCATCTCGACCCTGCTACTGGCGGCGCAACCCAGGTCTCTTCTCAATGCGCACGACTAATTCTACAATTTGACATATTAGTCGTCGGGGTCCGAAAGCGTTAACTTTGACCCGAGTCTTACCCATGCAACTTAATCACCTACTCTTTTTGTTAAAGCCCTATAGGGCGCATTAGAGTTTTTCTCCAAATTGCAAATCTCATCCCTCTTACCCCATGTTTTAGGTTGCGCAGAAAAGACAATGAAGAATGGCGGTAAAGAAGCACGAACGCCGGAAAAAAAAAAAAAGAATGCGCCACGTTGGACCAAAGATGATCGGAGGGAAAGCTTAAGTTAAACCTTTTTTTTCCTGGCCTCATGATCGAGATCGATGAGACGGACAGACGTCTGGATGGGATTAAAGGTTGGAGGAACGGCCTTGATGCCTAGGAACTGACCAATTGAGGGTGCTATATGTTCACAATGGGCTGCTGTTTCGTATCGAACCTTGAAAACAATGGCATTCTTTCCTTTTCCGGTGAACATAACAGCCTGCTTTCCAGTCCACGGAAGCCTGGAGATGAGTTTTGCATATTTTGAGCCGTGCCTCGAGTCCCCAGACCGTGCAAAAACTTAATGTTCTAAACGTTGTCTGTTGCTGGAGTTGTGTTGTGTTGATGTGTATTTATATTTTTCTTTGTCTGCCCAACGGAGCCATCCAAATGCGTCAGCAAAGTTCGGTCTATCTTATCTCAACTTCCAAACTTAAAATCTTTTTGAGTTTCAGCTTCCTGCACCCCCTTATCCATATAACTACTACGTACTCCGTACAAGTCACTGCAATTGGAGAAAGCGGTCTTAGAGGCGAGGTGCTCGGCGTCAACAGCTACAATATGTGGAAGAACCGGCACAAGCTATAACGCCGCTTTAGGAAACACGCTAGAAGGCATCAGAGAATCTTCTATGGAGCTGCTTATGTAAAGATAAATCAGAGGCCGAGCGAACGGGTGGATCCCGATGACGTAGATGGTCAGGCCGGCAGCGGCTTTTCTCTGATGAGCAGAATGCTGGCGTGCGATCGGAGAATTGTTCCATGCTGAACTCTGTGGCTCCTTGGAAAGTAAATCATATACCCTTGAATGGACTTGAGAACGTCAGCACTGAGCCGATCGTAAACTGATATTATTCACCGAACACCCGGAATCAGCAAACTCGAGCAAAGCTTTCCAGTACATGGTTGAGTGGCCCGCCATGTGAAAGGTACGTGTTTATATGTAGTACTACATACATCGCTATCCAGACCGCCATGCTTGTGTGCTACAGCTAGAGATTGCTTTTTGTCCCCATAATACCAATGATCAATGACATCAATACAACTCGCTCCCGAGGAGGGTCGACTACGGATATGCAATTGTCAAATGGCTGTATTCTAGCCGTCGTCCAGCATGTCCAACATGCTGCAGACTTTTGCGTAGATTGCCAATCAAACACTTGATGAATGAGAGCCTGGTGACCAACGCGGGGGTTTAAAGGCTCGAGCATGTCCTTTACAGCTTCATACATGAAGTGCTCTGTAGATCTTGTTGCAGCTAACCTCTCTTAAAATAATAGCGAGTGAATTTTGGTTAAAGATCTTGTGTTAGGGTATTGTTATGCACGGGCTCGCTGCCGGTTCGCCGAACGACATACGTATGTACATACTCCTACTGCCACCACCTTGCAACAGCGTTGGTTCCTGGAAGTTACAGGTAGGAGATGGTACTGGAATACGCACAAGGGTACTCCAGTACGGTATCGTGGCGTGAACTTTGTTCTCGGAGCAGCACAGGTAAAGTTACTCTCCGGGGTACAACGGTGGCATTGTCCCTTTCTACGTGGGGCATTCAGGGTTGCAAGTTCACTTGACGGTGTGGGGAGGTCGAGCCGTGACTCCTAGTCTCTCACCAGAAAGGTGTGTTTCAACCTGTGCATTCCAGCAGTCGAGAGCCGCCACCAATGATGATCTTCCAGCTAACCTGTTGTGAAAAAGTCGGATGATGAGGGGCGAACTGGTGGATTTTGAAAGTCAAAGTCGGTGGGCTTGAGCCCTGGATCACAAGTTGGACGCCCTTCTAATATGGCGTAACAACGGACTGGACTCGGGGGTGAATGGTGCCCTTCGGTGGAGCCCTGTGACTTGGACGAACGCATTTGGTCAAGCGCACATCTGCATGGGCGGCCCCAGCGCTACCAAAAGCAGAGATGCCGGGAAGCCATTCTAGAAAAGAAGACGGCAGACACCGAGATGGAAAAGGGCATCGTGTATTTCCCGTGCTCTGCTGGGGTTGTATTGTCGATAAAAGCTTGCCTGAAAAAATTCAAAGCAATGCCAAGAAGGCTTGGGGTCGCTGCTCTCGAATTCTGGCCTTTTCAGGGGGGCTGCGGAGGGGCGGGCGGCCTCGAAAGAACGCCCAACGCTGTGCCTTGCCCAATAACTCACCAGTAGGAAACGGCCTGGATGACGGCCTGCAAAAAGAAAGCAAAAAATCCAATTCCGACACATCCTGGCGCACGTGCTCTTCTCATGATAAATCGACGTCTTATCTGCGATACAAGTAGATCGATGAGAAGATTTACGTCCATATCTCCATACACAGAGCCAGCGAAGAAGGCCTGGGGAGCCAGGGGGGTGAGGGGGTGCTTTGGTGGCTAGACAAAAGGATGAAGAATCTGCTCGACGAGATCCTGGATGATCTGTGGCCCGCCAAAGTGGTTCTTTGTTGACATTGCGCTGCGATGCTCATTCGTCAAGTCGAACTAGATTTAGAGTGTGTACCTGGCTCCTGGAAGGTTTCGAAACAAAAAGTCTGGATTATATTGTCTAGAGGCGTTCGCGTTGGAGAAGGCGACAAGGAAAAGAGAGAGAGAGAGAGAGAGAAAGAGAGTTTTCTCGGTACCCGCCAGCCATGCTCTGGTACACCCAAACTTGGGCAGCCGATTGGCGTGCTTGGCATCCCGCCTAACTCCATGCGGCTAGACCAGCTAACGCAAACCTTATTATTAGCTAAGAACTCAGATCCCAGCTGCGAGTCAGCAACAACCTTTCTTATTTTAACCTCCCGTCATCCATCTCGCTTCGAATGTCGCCGACAACGCACTGCTCACCGTTGGGATCTCCGCTTCAAAGCTCTTATATGACCTCCTGGACTCGTCGTCCTCTCCTTTTTCTCTCCTCATTCTCCGTCAGTCCCCTCCTGCACCCGTTTCTTGGTCACTCCTCTCCTTTGTTCGAGCCCAAACCGCCTGAAGTACCGATGGTTCCTCCTTTATAGCCCCTCCTCGATCCCGCTTCGTCCTGAAGCTTTGCTCCCCGCTCGATTCTCCCCCGCCATCCGGTGTCTACATAAGGGAGCGTTACCATCATGGTTCTTGAACGACGAACGTTGTGAATTGCCTTTCCGTTTTCGTCTCATCTGGCTGCCCGCTATCTGCCTCGCTTCGCCTCACGTGCAGCCACCACCCCTGCTCCAGCCACCACCACGATCTTTCGTCCAAATCAACCTTGACGTGCAGAAACTTCGGAGATGTTGATAAATGGCGAGAAGTATGCTTGCGATGCGTGTATCCGCGGGCATCGTGTAAGCAGCTGCCAGCATCATGGTAGGCCTTTCACCCGTACCTGCTCCATGCCCACGTCCCCTGCGAAGTCTGTGAAGCCCAACAGTTAACCCTATTCCTCAGACCGGCCGTTAAGCCACATCAATAGAAAAGGTCGACCCGTGTCTCAATGCCCACACTGTCGCGGTCTACGCAAAAGTCGAACAAGTCATGTTAGCTGTCAATGTGGCGAGAAGCCGCATAGCAAAGGTGACTGCAAGAATGGGGTAGAAAAAGGTAAGCGTGCTAACTTGGCTTGTAGGATCTAGATTGCTCTCTAACCACTGGATGTAGGAAGCCGCAAGCAGTGCTGTTGTGGCCATGGTAGCCGGTGTATTTGCGCCGCCAAACGGGATTCCAACTTGGCCACCGTCCCAGAAGTTGGCCCTGCCCCAAACCAAAAGTCAACCTTTCAGACCAAACAAGTGCATATTTCCGGGGCCAAGATCGACCCTACAACTGTGTCGCATCGCACTAAAGTGAAGCATAATAATACCAGCAAGCGTGCCCATCCGTATCCAATGCCCCGATCGCACACAATACATTCTGTATCGGAGCTTGCCCGTCACTCCGCTGAAACCCTCCCCTTGCCAGAGGATATGACAATATCACGGAGTGTAGCGGCTCATCAGGATTCTATCACAAGCGCACCCCGTCATCCCCGACGTGCTAGGTCCGAGCATGGTTCCCCGGTCCTTGGTCTCACCCGGCTTGATACACAGGATCCTCCATTCGATATTCCGTACTCCACGTTCGATCAAGGAAGCTTGCCATCCCCAGCCTTTGATTATCCGCAGCAATGGGCAGGACTATATTATCCGGACGCCGACATTACACTCGAAGCCGCAAGTCTTGGGCCACCATCTGTTGACTGGTCTACGTTTGACCTTGCGTACGGATCGGACGCACTCACGGCCACCTACAGCCAACCTCCATCATACGCAAGTTTCGACCATACCAACTTCAGCCACCCAGAGTTATCCAGGTCATCATCTCACGATACCTCCGATCCTGAGGAGTTTGCCCCAAGGGGCCTTCCAATGCAAACTGCCAAACCGGATTATCCTGAGATTCGTACTATTAGTGACGGTTCAGAAGCGGAAGCCTATCACCTTAGCGCCTCCCCATCGCATCTAGACATGCCCCAATCTCACATCTTAGACCCGAATCGCCTGGGTTCCCTGGACATGGACATGTATTGGCAACGAGTAAGCGAGGGCTTAAGTCAACCATCTCCGCTGGCAAACATTCCTTTGGGTCCAGAATTGCCAAACTACTCCCTGCCGCAGACATACCCAGCGCAGCAGACATCAGTGCCAATTGACAGCACCATTCCACTTGATGCTGCTTCTGTCTTTACAAGTGCCGGGACTAGTGATCCTATTTGGATACCCAGTGCATCTCCTTTCCCACCTGTCCTCTCACCTGTCTCGATGGAAGCAGGTCGGATAGTGGACCAAGCCCAATGGCAGACCTAGAACCCCAGGAACCACAGCTCATTTGGAAGAATTATCCCGAGTACCGTATCATCCAGCGGCGCCCAAACGATTATGATTATAGATTATTTTATTTTCCACGGCTGTTATATTTTGTTATACCTGCAACATCTCTTTACTACATACGTGAGAATATCCGTATCTGGTGAGCAGGAGTGTTGTCATGCGCCACGGAGTACCAGTACATATTGATCCAGATCTCAGGGTATCAAGAAAGCCACATATGTAACGTTTGTTTATAGATAAGATGGGTGGAATCGGTCCTTTTTTGCCAAATTCGACTTTTGGAATACGTCTATAGAGTTTGATGTTTGATGTTTATGATGTTATATACCTTGTTGAAATATATGAATATAAATCATTTCTTAATTATTCTTTGCGAAAATCAAAAATGTTGGAGATATTGGACACCTCTCGATAGGCCCAGAGGCCACCGCACGATGAGATGTTTCCCTATGATTGCAATCTCATTGTCGAGACACGTGTCTTTAGTGACATTTACTCTACAGTGGCCGCAGGTATTACGAGAACCGAAGAAGAAAGTCTCATAATAGTACATACATACCGAAGGTGAAATCCACATGTACAAACACAAAAAGACCTATGAATCCCATCTGAATTCTAATCGAAGGTGATAAAGCAGTCTTGTCTTTATAGGGGAATAAAACGACCACCCAGGGAAACTAGCTGTTTAAAACATAGATAAAAAGAATTACCATAAAACATGACATGTTTAACATGGGAGATTTCCCAACAGTTTAAGCGGTCTTCTTCCAAGCAGACCAGGCTCCTATCAGACTGCTGATCGTTCCAGCAATGCCCACAATGCCATCATCGAGATTGGCATACCCGAGTGTCGATGTGGGGATAGTCAAATCGCAGATATCGGAGACCAGTTGGGTCGTTACGGCGGCACGTTCACTAGATGGAAACACCAAACAGTTAGAAAATAAAACTGATACGCACATACACATAGTTCTAGCCCAAAAAAGCAAGAGGAAAATATCTGGCGCCACTAACCGTTCAATCTTCTTTCCTTCCAGCGCCCCCTCGCCATCCTGCTTGTTGACAGTCCTCTCCAAATCTCTCAGTCTCCACATCGAATAGATACCCGCGATCGCAGAGCACAGCAATCCAGCCATCCACGCCTTGAGCGCCTGGCTCTGCAACTTCTTCACCGTGCTCAGTTTCCGAATGCCCGCAGCATCGAGGTAGGTGACCATGTCGTACGACAGGTACACTGCATATCCCAACTGCCGACCGACGGCGAGGTATTTCAGCACCGGATCGGCTGCGGCGGAGACGGCACTGGAACCACCCGCAGGGGCAGTTTTCGAATCGAGTGCGACGGCGGCGGCCTTGAAATGTTCGACGTTCTTGCCGACGCGCAGCAGTTTACGGGTGAGGGCGAACTGCTTCTTGATAGCTTCGAAGGGAGAGATGCTGGCTTGAGAGTAGTTGGTGCGGTAGAGGTACCAGGCGAGGAAGCGGGAGAGGTATTGGAGGGTCCGCAGGACCTTGTCGCGGCCGACTGTGGTGGGGTGGAATGTTAGTATGGGGAGGTGGAGAGACGGGGAATTTCTTGGGATATAGTGCGGGAGCGATTACCGGTCGTGGCGACAAATCTCAAGTAATGAGCGACGGTGGGGTGGTAAGCCAGCGCAACAGCGACCATTTTGACGGTGTGTTAGAGCGTTTTACTCCCTCTCTTGTCCAGGAATAACGATCGGGTTGGAGGAAAGGAGTCGCTCTGCAACTCTTGGTGGAACGGACACGTTAAATAGCTCAGCTTGTGATTCGCTCGGTCGCCAAACGTCGGGAGGATGATCGTCGACCTCGTTAACTTCGGGACCCAAACAGATGGGAAGGTCGAGGAAAATCACCAGTGATATACTAGATAATTGAAGACGGAAGAAGAAGGAAAAAAACAACCCCCGGTCGATATCTTTGAGGATCGCTAACGATCCGAAGCAGTCGTCCCGTCGCCTCTACTTCAGGAGAGCAGGCACGTGATAAATAACCTCGGCACTCCGCCTCGGTATTCACTTGCAGCTTCAGGGCGGCGAGGGCGCGACACCCGGAATGAATGCCTTTTGGGATTGTTGGAACGCGAGTATCTCCTATGGCCTCTATGTGATTAGGCTGCTTCACTGTGGCTTTTACAGTAAATATTCGACATTGTCGCATCTACTAACTTGCATGTTTTAAAGAGAACGCATTCCACTAACTCGTAGCTGATTCGAATGCCGAAGAAGGCCGTTAACTAAGTGAAATTTGGGGTGGATATTTAACTATACCGACAGCTTAACCAGATATTTTCCACTACTTCACCTGGAAGATTTGTCGTCAAACCCCGCGCTCAATATGTCACTTCTTGACTAAGCTTTCTCCTCGGTCCTTTCTTGCTTCTTGTTGCCCATAGTGCTCGTATCATACCCATTCTCTTCGAGATATCTCCTGAACCGGATGTCTTCATACGTGATTGTGTCCTGCACCGCAGGGATAATGTTAGCGGATGCATCAGACAACATCATACGAAGGACTGGAGAAATCTTAAACGGGGAATCCCCTTACCTGTCCAATGTGGGGTAGTAAAAAGGCCGACAGCGCTGCGCTAAACAAGCAGAGCGCACTAGAAACGAAGAACGGATCTTGCCCAGCGCGAATTTCGTTTGGTGCATTATTTTGAATGATAGGAAAGACATATGTCCCCACGAACGCCCCAACTTTACCCAAGGCGGCCGCAATTCCATAATACTGACCTCGAATGGCGGTTGCACTGCTTTTGGAAGCCACCAGGCCAATGTTATCTCCAGGACCAAGTTCTCCACACGACAGGAAGAGTCTAGGACCGGAGTTTTACTGTCAGTGCTAGTCTCCCTATGAATAGATCATTCCGGCAGAACAATTCTTACCCGTAAACGACAACAAACGCGGCTACATTCTCAGACGTAGCAAGCCACTTATAGCACCCAGCCATGATGAACCCGATGACACCCTGAGAAGCAACACCCAGAGCCAGGCAGTACCGTGGACCGATCCAGTCACTTACCCATGCTCCCAACGCTGAGCCCGGAATGTAGAAAACATTGATGACGGTGTTCCAGCCAAAAGCTTTCCACATCGGAGCAGTGTCAGCAAGGACAATCTTCAACCAAACCGATGAGTAGATTCCGAACGAATATGCCGAGAAGTCGTAAATGAACCAGATCAAGGAGACAAGGGACTACTCGATCAGTGAGTTATTAGGGCCGGTTATAGGAGTCCTATGGATTATCTGCTTACAAGTCTCCACCAGTAGAACCTACGGCAAAGTCAGCGGCAGATTATTCATAATAGGAAAAATAGGGACTGTGGTTTGCTCTGCAAAGGCCGCGAGGGGGGATTGGCATACTTGGCAATCAGCCAAATAGGATATTTGTGCATCCTTTCTCGGTTGAACTCTTCGGGCTCCTTCAATTTCAATCGCAGATAGAACAAGCTCAAAGGCGGAATCACACCCAGACCCAACATCACGCGCCATGCAGCCCGCAGATGGTTTTCGGTGAAGATAAGAACAAGAATCATGGGCACAAAAGCTGACACGACGAATCCAAAATCGATCTGAAAGTTGGTAAACATGATAAACCAACGATTGCGGTGACCCCTTTTGAGCTCTCCAGAACTCTCCGCGGCGGCGACGCTACCTGCCGGGTACTCCCCGCCGATGCCCACGCCCAGGAAGAAGCGGTATGCCGTGAGGGCTGCGAAGAGTCCAGACTGGCTTCCTCCGGCGCCATAGGATCCGGCTGAGAGGGCGGCAAAAACGATAAGAAGAACGGTGGAGATCATAAGCGACCATTTTCGAGAATAATGGTCGCTCAGATACCCGAAAATGAGCTGACCGACGACTGTCCCGGCGAAAGCGATGGACGGAACATTTTTGACCGCTGTCGAGTTCGCATAGGCCTCCGGATATAGCGTTCTAAGAACGGTGTTTACAGACCCGATAATCTGTACGCGTGTTTAACAATATATCCTTCTCACTCGCCAAAAAAAAAAAAAAAAGAAAAAAGAAAAAAGAGATTGCTGTATATAATATTTTGAAAAGAGCTGCTTACGTTGTTCAGGTACCCATCAGAGAAGAGACCGGCACCACAGGCGATGATTGGCCAACTGCGCTCCCAGCGTGACTTGCCTGTGTTTTCGAGTTCCTGTATTCGTTCCTCTGTTTTTGAAGGTGTGTTTCCTTCAGGCTTTGAACGCCGAGGGCTCAATATTGCATCGTTGGTGGTAGCCATGACCAATCACGACGTGTTCTGAAGGTGCCAGGTACCACAGAAAAAGAGAGTGCTGTATATCTCTCGTTGAGGGAGAGGAGGGTAGCAGAGATGGAGAGATGGATAGAGAGGGGTGGGGGAGAGAAAGACAGAGAGATAGTTGAGGGATGAAAAGGAGAAAGAAGAAGGAAGCGTTCTCCAACAGCTCACCGTTATACTCCCCGTGGAGCATGGCCTGATAAGCTTGATAGTCCGAAACATGTATTAACTACTCCGTACCCTGAGGGGAAAAAAAGATAAAAAAGTAAAAAATAAAAAATAAAAAGCAAAAGGAAAAAGAACCTGGAATCATGGAGAAAAGGGCTTTAGGTCAGCTCCGGGGTGAGGAGGATGGTTTACTGGCTAGCTTGAACTCTCGCAACCAAGAGCCTACATCCGATAGCCTGTGGCGTTGATCTTCCACATCTTATGATCAAGTCTCCTCCGTACTCCGTACAGTACTCCCTAAAAGTGAGTTTAAACGAACAAGAACGCATTGTTTCAGCTCTCCATATCCATGCAGCGCTGTCATTGGGCGGCTCGACTGAATGGACCAGGAACATGGATTGGAGTGGCTTGCAGAGTCTGGTAGCTCGTTAACTTGATCTGAGGTTTCTCGGCACGGACACGGACCCCAGTCCGAGAAAGAATTTCATCATCGTAGATCGATCACCTGCAGCGACAAGGCAGGGAGGGATTAAAGAAGACCCAAACGCCTCTTATCGAGGGCCCATGGTTGTATACTGATCCTCCGCATCAACACAGCGGGGATTGGGGGGAAAGTTGTTGAGTGGTATTTAGGTTCGGCTTCCCATGAGCGGACGGCCCTCAGGTTGATGGGCCGGAGTCTTCCGAGACGGTTCCCAAAACACCGCTTGTCCGGATACGGGTAGGGAACGATCGTGTGAGATGCCCCACCACCAAGCCTTTGAGGAGGCGAGGAGTGACGGTCATGGCCCCGATCGCAAAATATCATCGCAGCTGAGGATGTGTTGTTCTGTTAAGCAGGGGCGGGTTGCCAAGGGTGCCCGCTTTCAGGCCTTAGGAGCAGTTAAGCATCGCGGGGCCCGGGCTTGGTACGGGCTAGTCCGTTAAGGTCAGCCAAACTCAGACACGCCTAGCCCGGAACCATTCCCGATCACGATTTTTCGTTGCTTTCCCGACCGACTATCGGGGCTCAACCAAACACTTGCCTTTGAGAAATCAAGATTATTAAGAAACCGAGTAAAAAGAAAGAAGGGCGAAGAAAGGCATTAGCAATAATTAGTACCACTTTCGCGGAGTACGGAGTGAGTATGAGTTGCTCGAATTACGGAGGATTGAGCAGAGAACTGCGCTGCGTGCCCATAATGGCAATGTGTTTCCATTTACTTGTTACTTGGCATGAGTTATTAACCAAGCACACCCTGAGGATGGTTGTTTGGATCCAGTTTGAATTCAGAGTGTAAAAGTCATAAATTCTTGCTACTATTTTTCTGAGACGCTTTGGACCGTTGAAAGCAGAAATGACAAACTCCAGGATTCCTACTCGGATGGTGGACGCTCGGGTCGGCTTGAACATTGACGCTCCTTGACAGGAATCGAAGTCCCTGTTGGCTGCAACATTGATTCTAGCATGCCTGCCTCGCAAAATTCCGGAGCATTCTGGCGAGTTCCTCATGATTTCCGTGGTCGGTACAGAGGACTCCGAAGAGGCTTAATAACAATTGCCACCTTACAGCCACCAGAGAGCTAGCGCGAGGTTGACTACGGAGTATGTCCGGAGTACCTTCTGTACAGCAAACTGCAGGTTGCGCTCCTGCAGGAGGCCAGTCTCGATTGCTGAAATATACCCCCAAAATCGATCCATTTTGACGCAAGTAGATGTGGCCAGTTGGGCTCTAAATTTAGGAAAAGTAGACGAAACCGTCCGTCGACAGTCTCAGCTATCAGAATCGAAATGCGGCTTGGTGAGGCGTATTGAATGAGTTTGGTAACAGGGTTTCGAAGAGAAGATGCTAAATTATATGGTCTTCAAAATTGGCCTTTCAGGTAGGATGGTCGACATTCGCATCTGTTGTACTCCGTACCGAGTGGGCATTCTGGGACTGTACTCCGTAGCTAGGTAAGTAAAATGGATATTAGCGGCCGGAAGGGCTACTGTAAGTCAACGCCACCAGATGCCCTTTTCAGGTTGTTTCCTGCTCCATAACGTGTCCTTTTTTTTTTTTTTTTGGGTGGGGGGGGGGGGGCTTAGTGTCATATCAAGAGCATAGCAACCGGGTCTTCATTCATATTACGCTGCCCCTCTGCCTCCGATTCTCTGTGAAAAACGTGGTCCATTTAAACAGTCTCGCATCAACCGGCAAACATTGCAGATGGGGGCTGGGCAACCGAGCTTGACGCTAGTCCCAATCGAGACCAGCTAGCAACCTTGACGACCATCATCAGCTCAAGCTCCACGCAACGCTGGAGGCAGACAGACAGCAGAGCTTCAGCGTCGCAACACAGCACACCCTTTCAGATACACCCTTTCTCTCCTTATTCCGCCCCCCTTCCTTTCTTGTTTCACTGTTATTTTGCTTGGTGGCAGTCATGGGTTCCGATCCCCAGTATGCGAAGTACCCCGACCTCACGCTCGCCCAGGATGTCTTCAACATCGCCAATCCAGCATGTCCGACGGCCTTACGAGAAGGCTCCTTGAAGAAGCTCCAAATCGCCATTGAAGAGAAACACATGGCCCCACTGTACCGTCACCTAGCCCACCCAGTAGAGGGCATTTTAAATCAATCAGGCGAAGGCGTTTCCCAAGCTACGGGTACAAGTTCCAACAAGCCAGTTGTTGCAAGTGACATGCTCCCTCAAACACGAACATCTGCCACCGTCGATCTTCCTTGGGATGAAAAGCTATACGAGAGATTAGTGGCTGAGAATAAGAAGGAGCTCGATGCTTTGCAGAAGGAGGAGGATGAGGCCGCAGAGGCTGCTGGTGACACAGAGGTTCAGGCCGCCCGGGGAAAAGGCGCAGAGTTTTGGGCGCGCGTTGGAGATCGGGTAGGAGATATGCTCTACATTTGCGCTTGGCCTTGTTGGCAATTGTGTCCGTACTGATACCGAGTGTACCTAGGACAAAGCCATCGCTGCCTATGAAGCCGTCTTCGAAAACACCGGGGTGCTAGGAACAAAAATTGACCTTGTTCTCGCTATGATACGGATTGGATTGTTTTTTGGGGATAAACTATTCGTTAAAAAGCATATTGAACGAGCCAATTCTCTTGTGGAGGGCGGTGGAGATTGGGATCGTCGAAACCGGCTGAAGGCATACAAAGGTTTACACTTGCTTACGATCCGCAACTATAAGCTAGCTGCGCCTCTTCTTCTCGACAGCCTATCTACTTTCACCAGCTACGAATTGTGCAGTTATTCGTCACTGGTCGTATATGCGGTTCTTGCCGGCTCCTTATCCTTGAAGCGGGTAGATTTCAAGGCTAAGGTGGTGGACGCGCCAGAAATTAGGGCGATTCTGGGTGAAGGAGAAGACAGGTTATCGGCGCTAACCGGGGCCATATCGTCTGGCCCCGGTGCTGGAGACGAGGAGATGAAGGATGCGTCTAGCGCGACCCCAGGTCAAGCGTCAACCATCGTCAACCTCACAACGCTAGGTACTGGAAGTGGCATACAAGCAGAAACCGAGGCACCTGTCGATTTTACTCCACTGTCGAATCTTGTCGGTAGTCTTTACAACGGCATATATCGCACGTTTTTCACGGCCCTTGCCGCTGTCGAAGATAACTTTCTCACCCAAGACCGCTACCTCCATGAGCATAGATCCTGGTTTGTTAGAGAAATGCGGTTGCGAGGGTATCAGCAGCTCCTACAAAGTTACCGGGTGGTCGGCCTGAACAGCATGGCGAATGAGTTTGGTGTGACCGTAGATTTCCTTGACAGGTACGTATCACCGCTTGCCGAACTATATTAACTGTGCTTGATGCTGATGGGAATTGAACAGAGATCTCGCCAAATTCATTGCTGGTGATAGAATAGCTTGCACAATTGACCGGGTCAATGGTGTAATTGAAACCAATCGCCCAGATGACAAGAACAGGCAATATGCTGATGTGGTCAAGCAAGGCGACGCACTAATCACAAAGCTTCAGAAATACGGCCAGGCTGTTAGAATGAGAGGCAGTGAACGAGGTTAATGATGCATGACTATGTTTCACCAGCTCGTGGGTTTGGCTCAGGGAAGGCATATGCAGTTCAGAAATGATGAGAGAGCGATTTTTTGTACTGTATTACCATCTGCTGTAAGGTGCGAACAATAGATGATGTTCATGGGTTTCCAATTCAAAATCCGAGCCGAATTCACAAGGCAAGGAACAGTCATAAATTATGCGGGTTGTGGTCAGGCCTCTTGCATGATAAGGATGACGAAACTGGTTTGGAGGTACTCCGTATTTCGAGAAGATATATTTGTCTTGTAGCCGGCGCCAAACTCAGTGGAAGTAGCAGCAGGTCGACATGTTGCAATAGCCGGACGTTCCTGGTGAACCAAAGTTTGTCTCGGATTCTCGACCGAGACAGCCACCGCAAAGTCAAACCCGCTTGGTGGACGCCCTCAGAATTTGCGATGGAGCAGCAAACGTGACGGCGAGGAATGCGACCGAGACAACTCACCCCCAGACAACTACGAGGGGAAAAAAAAAAAGGTTATGTCCCGTCATTTGGCTTAGTTCTCCGCTGGCCCTGAACCCAAAATCCTCGCCATGCCTCCCTTACCCCGGTACACTCGATCTTTTGCGCTTTCTTTCCCTCCCCGCGAGCGCGTATTATCTGGAGCTCGATTGGTACCGTTGACACGATTCGCAGCTGGTTCTGCGAGCCTGGTTCTAGGTATGGCCCTTTGTCGTCTTTCTTCAGTGGCTCCCCCTCTGTGCATAAAAATACGAGGTGCACTTTCTCCTCCACGTTTCCTCCCCGCAGCCCAGCGCCATGATCTGGTGATGGCATGCATTATTATTATCCGGGCCATTCCGCTCCTTTTGCCCTAGAACCTTCATACCCCGCGGTCACCCTCTGTTTGAGCAGCAACTGACACTGTGTATAAATTCTTGACCCCTAGATATCGCTCGCTCGTCCTCCCTCGGTCCTTGGATATCATCACGCTCCTACTCAGGCAACAAGATGGGTTCATTGCCAGTTGGTCGCCTTCATAAGGGAAATATAAACCCGAATGTCCTTGCTGCCAAATATGCGGTCCGTGGCGAATTGGCCGTCAAGGCCGAAGAATACAGGGTCAAGCTGGAACAGGAGCTCGATACGCTGCCGTTCGACAAAGTCATCTTTGCCAATATCGGGAACCCGCAGCAGCTAGATCAGAAGCCCATCACATTCTTCCGCCAGGTGCTAAGTCTTATGGAATACCCTCCGTTGCTGGAGAACGAAGAGACTTTGAAGTCGGTGTTTGGATACAAGCAGGACGTTATTGATCGTGCGAAATACCTTTTGAAGGACGTCCAAAGCGTCGGGGCTTACAGTCAAAGTCATGGATCCCCGTTAGTTCGCAAAAGTGTTGCTAATTTTATGGAAAAGCGTGATGGCTTTCCCGCCGATCCCGCTCACATTTACCTCTCTGCCGGGGCGTCGTCAGGGGTGAACACTCTCCTTAATATCCTTTGTGCCGGCCATGACAGTGGGGTGCTCGTTCCAATCCCGCAATACCCACTTTACACCGCGACGCTGGCCGTTCTCAACGCGAGATGCGTTCCATACTACCTTGACGAAGAAAGCAACTGGGGTACAGATGTTGACGGGATCAAAGCCTCGGTTGCCAAAGCCAAGGAAGAAGGCACAGATGTTCGCGCAATTGTCGTGATCAACCCAGGAAACCCCACGGGTGCTTGTCTTAGCCCCGAAGCCGTCAAGAAGGTGATCGACCTCGCGGTCGACGAACATCTCGTCATCATTGCCGATGAAGTCTACCAGACGAACATCTTTAAGGGAGAGTTCACATCCTTCAAGAAGAGACTACGACAGTTGCAGCAAGAATCTCCTGGAAAGTACGACCACGTGGAGCTTGCATCGCTGCACAGCGTGTCGAAGGGTATGGTGGGCGAATGCGGCCACCGAGGAGGCTACTTCGAGCTTGTCGGATTCCATGCCGATGTCGAGGAACAGGTGTACAAATTCATTAGTGTCATGCTCTGCCCGCCAGTCATCGGACAGTGCCTTGTCGAACTGATGGTCAATCCTCCAAAGGAAGGAGATCCGAGTTATGAATTGTACCAGAAAGAGTACAGCGCCATCTCGACCGGATTATACCAGCGTGCCGCTGCCTTATACGAGGCATTCAAGCAGATGGAAGGCGTTGAATGTCAGGAACCAACAGTACGTTTCCCTTCCATTTTGACCTCATTAACTATTGAGATGCGCGTTCTTCTAACCACGATTTGCCTTCTAGGGCGCTATGTACCTTTTCCCGTCCATTACTCTTCCGCAGAAGGCCATCGCAGCTGCTGAAGCAGCAGGCCGTCATCCCGATGAATTTTACTCTCTCCGTCTTCTTGACGCTACGGGTGTCTGCATCGTCCCAGGTTCCGGGTTTGGTCAGAAACCGGGAACGTACCACTTCCGCACGACATTCTTGGCTCCTGGCACCGACTGGGTGAACAGAATCGTGGCCTTCCACAAGAAATTTATGGATGAGTTCAGATGATTCCGTTCTTCTCTGATTTTAAAAGACCTTTTTCTTTTTGTTTGCTTGGGTAGCGGTGGTATATACCCTTACCGTGCCTCCTTTTCGCTTGTGGATTTCTTCTTCAACAGAGACGTATGATGATAGGGATCTTTTTAGGATGTTTCTCATAGACATAAATAAGCAAGCAAGCGTTGAGAGGTTATTATAAGCTCTGAGTGATATGATAGCAGTGCGCCCACTGCAAGTGCCCCTTATTAGGCCTCGTCATTCAATATAGACATACGCGCAAGGAGAACGCATTGCTATCCAGCATGATCCTCTCCTTTAAGTAAATTCGATGTATCCAGTTCACCCGAGACTGTCAACAAGAGAAAAGGGAAGGGAAGGAAAAGAAAAGCAAAAAAATAAAAAATAAAAAATAAAAAATAAAAAATAAAAATTGCCTGGAGGTCGAGACATCCAAACGTCACCGACGCAAATCTCCGCGAGCTTGCAAGGATCGCACGGAGCCTGATTCTCCGTCTCTTTAGGGGTTGAGCGCAGGGATCGGGTCCCAGTCACATGGGTCGGAAATTTTCGGATTTATTTTTCTCTGTTTCTTTTTTTTCCCGCTTTTTATTTTTAGAGCGGTTTGGGGGGGAGGGATGAGTGAGAGTGCATGGAGAGAGAAAGAGAAAGAAAAAAAAAAAAAAAAAATCAGAGAGAGGATTTTCGTCCCTTGAATAGCCGAAGGGAAGAAATTAGGGGTTCCGGAGCATTTCTGATTAGTGGGGGAAGCGAAAACATAACAATAATCCCCTCAACCCCGGCCAGTGGTTTCAGGTAGGAATTTCAGGTCTCAGCCCTTTTTTTCTTTCGGGTTTGTTCTTTTTGGTCGTCGGTCCTTCTGGTAGGGCTAGCCAGCCTAAGGGCCTCGACGCGGCGAAGGTTTAGAGGTAAATCGGCCTGGTGATGTCTCTAAATTTTACGGAGTACGTACAGTACGGAGGAATTGGTTTCAGAATAACTTTTGAAATGATTCTTTCAACAAACGTATGTGTACGCCATCTGGTCTACGTCGGTGGAAGTGTCATGGGCTAGTTGCTCCATATCGGCGCTGCGCTGGCAAGTCCGTAGTAACACAGGATTATTTCCAACAGGGTGCGAGCATGGTTGAACATCAGTTGTGTCAGAGCTTCTCCCCAGTCAGAACAGTAAGAGCGTCACATGCTATATAGAGATGAGCTATATTATTTAACCGCTTGGGTGAAATGGACATGATTGAGCGGCGATAATTCTGCTTGCGAGGCAACGTAAATACATAGGACACGCGCGATCAAAAAGGGGCAATTGGAACTACGGAGTACACAAAAATAGATCCACACACTTGACGTATGGCTACGGAGTACGGAGAACAGGGTTCTCTTCATGGCACCTCTTCGTGGACTGGAATGATCGTTCTAGTGGCAATCATGTATCGGTCTCTGAAAAGGGGCTTCTCGAGTCGAAAAGAAGAAAGCCTTACAGAGGTCACCCCTGTATTGGACTTCTGGACGGGGCTCATAGTTTACTACTTACACCCGGAATATCGTCCGCCTGTCATCTGATCGCACAGAAGATGTTAAAATAGACTTTTTAAGGCTTTTTTTTCCTTCGTTCGCTAGCACTGTCTCGAAACCAGCCGGTATGTGTCATAGGATTAAAAAAGACGGCTTTTTGTCTTTTCAGGCGCTTCGAGGTTCAGGAGTCACCGAGATTGGGGGAAAAGTCAAAACGAAGGATTGCTTGACTCGGAGCTATGTTATGGAGGGTTGAATCTGGCGTCGTCGTTGCACAAGACGGGAACTAACGACGACTAGTCGCGAATCCCCCAAAGTTCTGGAAACGTCGTTTCCAGGCACGACGAATCCGGCAAGCAGTTTAACACTGTCAGGTACGGATGCCGGAGCGACGGAGTAGCGTCCGCGTCCCCAGGAAATCCCGTAGGGAAAAGTTCGGAAAAGTGCTTGGCTGGAGAAAAGTGGGCTGGAACCTTGGGACATGATTCGAAGATGGAGATTGCCCGTTGAAGAAATTTTCGATACGGAGTACTGTGGATGAAAATTTCGGATGGTCGCATGCAGGGATTTGATGGTTGTACATATGTAGTGGAGGAGGAGGGAGTTGGAGCACGAAACCGTCGAACTTGCAACTTCTCCCGAATCACGCTGGTCCATGACAGCTGGGATGTTGGATGTCAGTGTGTTTGTTTGAGCGTTAAACTGACACAATGCTTAATCCCTCAAGCGTGTAACTACCGTAGGCACATCCTGAATGTAGTTTGCTTTTGACGAACGGCATACGCGGGTCGGCGTCTTTTCGTTGCTGCTCGAGTGAATATCGCCATTCGATCAACGACAAATGACGACGTGCGCGGGAAGGGAACTTGGGGGGGGGGGACCCAGAGCGTCATCGACTTCCGTTCGTCCTGATTGGCCATGTGGCGCTTCTTCCGATGTTTGCCACGAGAAGCCGAGTTCAACGAGAATCGCCTTTAGGCTGTGGGCCCGTCACCATCGGGAGGAGAAGAGTTCTCCCTTTGGGGACGGAGTACGGAGTACAGAGCCTTGAGAGTCAATTGCGCATTCGACCGCGTACTCCGTACAGCAGAAGCGTTTAGCAGCAGGCAGAATATAGTTACATACTAACTATTGTCGAGCAGATCGCTCAAAATAACTATGTAATTGCTTCGTTAGGGGCATCGACATGTCCATGATGGATGGCGAGTCCACCCACAGCATTTTGCTATCGGCTAATTGAACTAAGAGGCGCCCACCCCTGCCGTTCAATCCTTGGAAAAACGGAGGATAATACGGACTCTCCCTCCCTGTGTCTGTATGTACTGTCGATCGTGGGTTCGCCCCGGCATCCCTGCCTGCCCATGCAAACCGGCCAGGATGTCGCTCGTCTTTGGGTTTCTGGCGGTTTTGGGCTGTGTCGGTCATGTGCCCAGCCACACTCTCCGCTTAGTCAATCCAGGCCGCAGTCTCGCCCGGTCGAGCGCCCGCAGCGAAACCTGCTTGCCAGAGTTGTCGCTCCCAGCACCAAGGACTGCCGGAGTGCCATGATGGAGAAGCTGTCGCGATATTCCGCTGTGATTCGACACCGTAGACCGAGTGCGCTGGTGGCTTTTGGAAATGTAAGTAGCGGTCAACCTTCACTGGGAGGAGGCAAACCAAAGCATTTAAAAAGGGCGAACAGGGCACGGAGCTGCTTCAAAGTCTTTTTCCTTTTCAACCTCACCTCTTCGCTAGCATCCTCGCAATCCCATTGAACCTTTTACCTAACCCCTCCTCCAGGGAAAAACAGCCTGATCGTCACTGGATTAAGTAACACCCGTTGCTTGCAGTCTCCCTGAATAGCTTTGTTTCACTTTTTTCATTCGTCGCCCGGAACGTCATCCAATCCCACAGGTCCCCTCCCCCCCTGGCAAGCCCTTCCACACAGACTCCATTTTTTCCTTCTTATTCTCCATTTTCACAGCCTGGGCCGTTTTCGGGTCATTTCGGAGCAGTTTGCTGCCATATTTAATTTCGTGTACGCTAAAACCTCTGACAAAATACTACGCCACTGCCCAGCTTGGTCACGGTTTACCCGGTATCTCCCGTCAGCTGTGGAGAAGCACGCATGGTACGGGAGGGCTAACCATTCCGTGGGACAGGGCAGCAGACTCGCAGTGAATTCGATTTCGCCGTACTCCGTAATCAAAAGCCAAATCATGGATCCCGCACCCGCATCTTCAGCTCCTCGTGCTACCGTTAATATACCCCCCAATCACCCACTTCCTCTTGACTATTTCACCTCAGATTTCGTTCGACAGCAAGCTGCCAAACAACAGCACTCGAACTACCATTCCACATCCCTGAGAAACATGGTGTCGACATCTGTCAATCGCACTGCGCTGCACCCCACTGGTGTTCAGTATGTTCCCCTTCCCATCCCCTGTCCGTTCTGTTGTTGAACCTTGTTGCCGCGGTTATTGTCGTCATTGTTCATGAATTGTATCCGCCGAGACTGGCCTTCTCCAGTGGATATATATGAAGGCCATGTCGGATCTCCATGAGCACTACACAATCGACACCCACAGCAAACGTATCTTCAACTTAGCGGCGCAAGCTACCACCGAAACCATGATTGCTAACGGTGACCTCAGACCAGGAAAGGGCCACACTGAGCTCGAGGAGGAGCTTCACGAAACAGCCCACATTGACTATGAAAGAGTAGCAATTGTGAGTTTGCTCTTTGCTGCCCTGTTCCTCCTGCAACTTTTATACATGCTACTATCTGATCAGCAACATACTGATTAACCACCGGAATAGATCGCCAATCCTTCTGTTGCTGCTCTCTACGAAGATGCCCTCGTCTACGAGACCGGAACCGCTATCACATCCAGCGGAGCCCTGACCGCATACTCCGGAGCCAAAACTGGTAGATCACCCCTCGACAAGAGAATTGTCAAAGAAGAAACATCAGAGAATGAGATCTGGTGGGGTCCAGTCAACAAGCCCATGACCCCTGAGGTGAGTCACCTTTCAAGTTATTTTTATTTCTTTAAGGTTTTTTTCCTTTCCTTTTCTTTTTTCTTTTTTCTTTTCTTTTCCCTTTTTTTTTTTTTTTTTTTTTTTTTTGAAAACTGTTTCGATCGTGTGACTGCCCATGCTGCCGAGCCCACGACCCTTTTGCTCAGCCCTTTTCCGCTTCCCGAACTTTCTTCCACCCCTGCGCTCTTGGCAGCGTATCGGGGCTCCTGTGGCTTCCCCGCAGCTGCTGGGTCGCGCCCGGACCCTCTCCGAACCTCACGTGGTGTGACGTAATGACTGATTACTAACCGTGTTGTCCCGATTGGCAGGTCTGGAGAATCAACCGAGAGAGAGCCGTCGATTACCTCAACACAAGAAACCGAATCTACGTGATTGATGGCTATGCCGGCTGGGATGAGCGCTACCGCATCAACGTCCGCGTCGTTTGCGCACGTGCCTACCATGCTCTGTTCATGCGTAACATGCTTATCCGTCCCAAGCGGGAGGAGCTACAGCATTTCCACCCAGACTATGTCATCTACAACGCCGGATCTTTCCCCGCAAACAGATGGACTGAGGGTATGACATCGGCTACCTCCGTTGCCATTAACTTTGCCGAGAAGGAGATGGTCATCCTTGGCACAGAGTATGCCGGAGAGATGAAGAAGGGTGTCTTCACGGTTCTCTTCTATGAGATGCCAATCAAGCACAACGTCCTCACCCTCCACTCCTCTGCCAACCAAGGCCCAGATGGTGATGTTACCCTCTTCTTCGGCTTGTCTGGTACCGGAAAGACAACCCTCTCTGCCGACCCCAAGCGTGCATTGATTGGTGACGACGAGCACTGTTGGAGCGACCGTGGTGTCTTCAACATCGAGGGCGGAGTATGTTACCCAATTCTTCCTTTTTTTTTTTTTTTTTTTTTTTTTTTTTTTTTTTTCCCTTTTATAACAATCTTCTAACGCAATTTCTAGTGCTACGCCAAGTGCATTGGTCTATCCGCAAAGAAGGAACCTGATATCTTCAACGCTATCAAGTTCGGATCTGTCTTGGAGAATGTTGTCTTCAACCCAGAGACGCGTATCGTGGACTACGATGATGCTACCTTGACCGAGAATACCAGATGGTAAGATTGGAGATTCCAAAATTGCGAGATTCATGGTTGCTAATTGTCCTCATAGCGCCTATCCCATTGAATATATCGAGAACGCCAAGATTCCATGCCTGGCTGAGCAGCACCCATCCAACATCATCCTCCTTACTTGCGATGCCCGTGGCGTTCTTCCACCGATCTCCAAGCTCACCAGCGAACAGACCATGTTCCACTTCATTTCCGGTTACACCTCCAAGATGGCTGGCACTGAGGACGGTGTCACTGAGCCCCAAGCTACCTTCTCTTCCTGCTTCGCTCAACCATTCTTGGCTCTCCACCCAATGCGCTATGCTCGCATGCTCGCTGACAAGATTGCTGAGCACAAGGCTAACGCTTGGTTGTTGAACACCGGCTGGGTTGGTGCTGGCTGCACCACTGGTGGCAAGCGTTGCCCACTCAAGTACACTCGTGCCATCCTTGATGCGATCCACTCCGGTGAACTCGCCAAGGTCGAGTACGAGACCTACGACACCTTCAACCTTCACATCCCCAAGTCCTGCCCCAATGTTCCTAGCGAGCTGCTGAACCCACAGAGAAGCTGGACCGGCTCCGCCAGCTTCAAGGATGAAGTCAACAAGCTGGCTGAGCTCTTCAACCAGAACTTCACCAAGTACAGCGCGGAAGCCACCCCAGAGGTCCTCGCCGCTGCTCCAGTTGTCACTGGTGCAGAGGAGGCACCGGTCGCTGATAAGGCCGCTCCCGTTCAAGTCAACGGCGAACAGGCCCAGGAGACCACAAATTGACTAGCCAAGCAAGAGTCGGCGTCACAACCGGAAGAAATCTTGACGAAAAAGTCAAAACGTCGATTCTTGAGTTTACGAAGAATGCTGTCCAAAAAAAAATAGTTTGAATTGGGTTCGAATCCTTTTTTTTCTTTTTTGCGAGTTTGCATTGACTTGTATTCCAAAAAACAGTTTTATGGGACATTCCCTCATTTTTTTTTTTTTTTTTTTTTTGTTCCTCTTGATTCTCTTCTGATATGCATAGTTTGCCTGGGTTCTCTGCATCATACCAAAGGTTTTAATTGCCCCCTTGTCTCTTGTCGTTCTGCGACTACCACTTTTAAACCCATTTAACCCCATCACTACAGACAACGACCTCATCCTTCTTTACAAACCACGCTCTATTCTCCTCGTGAGAAATATTCCTTCATGAGTCTGCACATGTCCTCCTTTTTCTCTTTTCCTCCCCCTTTCTTTTTCCAATCATGATATTCCTCAACGCGTTTCCTGTTTAAGTGCAGATTAATACTGTGATCACCTTCCAACACCAAGCAGAGTTGACAACAACTTAAAAAAAAAAAAAATCTTGCAAAAAGCAAGAAAACCATGTACTGCTGGTTTGGTCAAGGGACACGGAAGTTGGTAAAAAAGAGGAGGAAGAACAGAAAGAGTTATATTTACATTAAAAAAAATGAAATAAAAAGAATATAACCCTGAACTCTTTTCTCCCTTTGGTCTGAATTAACATGAAAGACTGTTGTAGGTGAAACGAAATATTTAAAATCATCCTTCTAGATTGTGATCTGCACGCCTTGATTTGGTTCCAGTCTGGTAAATAACACATGTAGATGCTCTGAGGTGGGATCCAAAAACCAAATGCAGAGTTGATAGTGATAGTAGTCTTATGATGGACGAAGATCTTAGCGTATAGTATCGCCTACTAACAAGGCACAAAAAGCTGATGAGCAGACCCTGGGCGAATTGAAGACATGCAGCACTAACACCCTATTTGCAGAAAATAAGCTGACAAGCAATGCGGCGGAATTAAGTCTAGAAAGCCTGGTAGCCGGTGGGTAGGGGATAAGAAGGCCTCAACAGATACTCGGCAAGCCTTCCATATTTACAGCACCTTCCCAACAGTTACGGTTCAGACACGGGATCCTGACCTGGCCAAATTGGCTAGGGACGTATCACAGCAGAGCTCAGGTCCAGTCGTCAACAACCTTGGCAAAAGTCGCAAATTATCTTCCATACTCGTACTAACTATGCCAATTGAAATCGAAAGGAGCCGCAATAGCTCGGGTGATATCGGGGGCCGGAATGACCTTTTTCCACGAGGGCGAAGGATTTTGGGAAGATGGGCTCGATTTGAAACACGACGGCGGAGTTACGGAGATGGGGGACGGAATAGTATCCTCCCAGCACTTCACTTCCGCTTCCGCCTTTTCCTGTGTGCCTTGGTGCGAATAATGGAGGCCGACTTACATAGCTTCCTCCCGTCAGCCGGGACCGGGAGAACGGGTCTTGCTGGCGGGCAGGAGGGCTCGGACAGGAACACGGGCAGGGTGGAGTACGTAGTTAGTTACTAATGTATGTGTAATGCGATATATTGCGGAATGGGAGGCTTCTTTTCCTTTATTTTATTTTATTTTTTTATTTTTATTTTTTTATTTTTAATTGTCTTGCAAGGTGAGAGCTTCTCAGCAAATATCGAGATCGCCTAATAAGTGGTTAAGCAGCGGAGGAAAACTATTTGCCGAGTAGAGTTTCCTCCGTCCAACAAGTCGGCCCGGAATGGCTGCCGAAGCAGGCCAAGAGCTGCTGGGCCCCAACAGAGCGAGGCAAAGGCTGGATATTTTCAACGGCCAGCCAGGCGTCTGAGTGCATCTTCAAACTCTCTTGTGGGGGCCATGAGTGCATCGTTGGGCAAGTTGGGCCAAATTTTCGTGGTTGCTAGTTATTTGCAGTTCAGTGTTCCAGGGCCTTGATACGACCGATCTTGGTCATGCCGCCGAAGAAGAAAACCACAGAAAAAAAGAAGGGATTCTCAGTATGTAGGGGGACACTTCTTCTGGTGGCGAGCTGGACTGCAATGTCAGTCTCTCTTTGAAATCCAAGAATACTAATCTCGATTAAAAAAAAAAAGAAAAAGAAGAAAAAAAAAAAAGGGCCATCCGCCAGATCAGCCGGAAATTAACTGGGTGGGCCAGGCTAGTTTGCTGACTAGTCCGTTTAAGTAGTGAGTTAGTTACTTAACTGGTTGGTTTATGTACTCCATAGTTAGTGATGACGTCCACAGAACCAAAACGTACATGGCTGGCAGGCTGGCAGGATTCGCAGCGAGATCGCGGTGTGTGTCGGCGGGATAAAATCGCGATTTTCGCAGCCATAACTATCTTTTATATAGGTACCTTCCAAAGGGACGGAGAGGGGAAACGGCACATGACGCAGGCAGGGGCAGCCAGGAACACCCAACACGGAAGGCGTGTCAAGTCCTGCAGCTTAGTGTTTACCCCGCACCTCACAGTGACCTGCGCTGCTTGTACAGCTACAAAGCCACGGGGTCGGCTCGGGGTAAGTTTGGGTGTGTCCTTTTCATCTGAAGAGCAAGACGACGACAAATACATAGTGCGCACGCTCCAGGACTTGTGTGTGTGTGTGTGTGTTTCGCCAAATGCCATTTATCCGGCCCGTCAACAGGGGAGCTAGATGCCGACGGGAAGCTTTAGTTAGTTAGAGTGGCCCTACGGAGTATATACCCGGATCTACTTTGAGTTCACCTCGCAATGCTGTCATATTCTCGAAGCTGGAGCATGAGCAGCAGAGTGACTCGCTCTGCCCGGGACTCCACAGTATGTAGATATACTTAAACCTTGGTATCCCCTTTTTTTCCCGCGTGCTCAGGAAGGAACAAAAGGTCTTCCCCCGGTATCCTACAAGTACAAAGTACAAGATACGGCTGGGCTCCCGCCTGCAACTCGCGCCCCTTCGAGGTACTTGATACTTGAAACTACCTTCTCCCCTTTGCCGTTGCAAGCTTTGCGTCAAACTTTTGACTTCCCTTCTCCAGCCCTTCTCTTCCTGCTCCTCTCCTCTCCTCTCCTTCTCTACTCTCTCTCCTCTCTCTCTCTCCCTCCGTCTTCACCTCCATCGTCCTCATCCTCGCTCATCGTCCGTCAACCATCTCTTTCACCTAGCTATCGTTTCCAATTAAACGTTTACTCTTCCCTCTTTTTGCTCCCTAGTTCACCTGTTGACTATCTGCACGGGGTACCGTTCAATCCGATCTTGCCGCCAACTTTCATTGGGTCCCGATTCCTCTGCCGATTACCCCCAGGCTTCCCCGCGCGACAGAACCATCCGTCGCTCGCCACTCTATATTAAGGCTGTCTGTCCCCTCCGAGTGGCATCCGTCGAATCGCCGTTAATCTGATCAAGTCTCGAGACGCCAACGGATCACGCGATTCTCTGTTGTTTTGTCATCTCCCTCCCGGCTGGTAAATCTTCTTCACCAACCTGGCTGAAGTTCGACTGGTGCTAGAACCCGCTTCTGCTCGCGGTCAACTTACCTCTCCCCACTGAGTGAGTTTTGATTTTCCTTTTCTTTTCTTTTCCCCCTTTTTTTTTTTTCCCCTTTATACCTCTCCTCTCCCTAAATTGCCCGCGGTTTTCATATACCCCGCTCCGATGAGCTTGTGGGGTTGAAGCTTTCCTCTCATTAATAGGAGCTTTCGCCACGTGCAAACACCGTAATTTGACCCATGTGTGTGTGTGTGTGTGTTGGGCTGATGGTATTCAAACTGTTTAGTATACAGTATACAGTCCAGCTTATATCGGTGACCACCATCCGATTTTCAGGGCCATTCTCATTCTTTTCGATTGCACAATGACCTCCACATCTCTAAAAGAGACGGCTTCCGCAGCTGCCTCCGAGGCCCCAAGAGACGCAAAAGCGGCCGTTGAGAGCTCCCCCGGAAGCGCTTCATCCGTATTTCAGTCCCCATTCGTACGTGCGGCCTTGCCTTTCGTCAATGGCGGTCTCGCAGGTATGACGGCCACCACTTGCATCCAGCCTATCGACATGGTCAAAGTTCGACTGCAACTCGCAGGTGAGGGTGCCAGAACCGGTCCTCGACCTTCAGCGCTGGGTATCACAAGAGACATCATTGCTTCTGGCAGAGTGCTTGACTTGTACACTGGACTATCAGCTGGCCTCTTACGACAGGCAGTTTACACTACCGCGCGCCTCGGGTTCTTTGACACCTTCATGGCTATGCTGAACAGCCGTGCTGCAGCTTCTGGAACTAAAGTGACTTTTGGCGAGCGTGCTGCAGCCGGGTTGACAGCGGGTGGAATCGCTGCGATGGTTGGAAACCCTGCCGATCTCGCGCTCATCCGCATGCAGTCCGACGGATTGAAGCCCAAAGAGGCCAGAGCCAACTACCGCTCCGTCATAGATGCCCTGGCCCGCATTTCCAAATCCGAAGGAATCACCGCCCTCTGGGCTGGAGCTTTCCCGACGGTAGTCCGGGCAATGGCGCTGAACTTCGGTCAATTGACTTTCTTCTCCGAGAGCAAATCCCAGCTTCAAGCCCACACAAACCTTTCTCCGCAGAACAGAACTTTTGCTGCATCGGCAATCGCCGGATTTTTTGCTAGTTTCCTATCGCTGCCATTTGACTTTATCAAAACTCGCCTCCAAAAGCAACAGAAAGACCCCAAGACCGGGCAACTGCCGTACAAGGGTGTCTTCGACTGCGCCAGGAAGGTTGTGCGCGATGAAGGCTGGTTAAGATTTTATCGTGGCTTTGGAACTTACTACGTTCGGATTGCGCCCCATGCGTAAGTGGATCCCCAACTCAGACACCGTCACTTTCTTTTATCCGCCCAGCAGCGGATCTGCCCTGGCCCACCATCCAATGCCCTCGCTAACAAATAATTCTTTTTGCCTTTAGCATGGTGACCCTGATTGTCGTCGACTATCTCAACCTGTTGACATCATAAAGTCAACTTCGAACTTCATGACTCTCCCTCGTCTGTGACGATCGATTGCCGAATCTATCTCCCTGCATATTATCCCGTTGAAGTGGGCTCCTCCAGACATGACAGCAAACCAAATAACGATGAAAACGGACTCGATAACGCGAGAAAAGAAAGGAGCAGGAAAAGAAAAAAATATATTTAATAAAAATAAAAAATTTTCCTTGAAAACAGCCAAGCTGGACAAGCCCAAAGTGACGACTTCGTTTGAGTTTAAGATGCAGCGATAGAGATTATTTTCCTTTGTCTCTTATTCGCAGGAGCAACTTATATCACTGTAGTGATTTGATGATCTACTTGGTCTTGTGTGCGATATTAAGACTTCCACTTGTTTGCTTTTCTATCTGATATCACTATACCATGACTCGCCTTAGGGATTATTCTCATTATAACTTTTCCAATGAAATTGAATTGACAATTTACAGTTAACTTTGTCCTTATGTTTGGAGTTTTAGAAACACAGATCTTTAACGGTCGAGTAAAGAGGAGTTTACTTTCCGCGGGAGATTCGGCAAGTCGGTTTGAAAACAAACACTGCCAAGCCCAAAAGGCAGATATACGCCCGCGACTCCAGACAAGGCTTTATCAGCTGTAATCGAGAACCCCCGTGCATGCGTACACGCCGTTGCATAGGTACATCATAACCACCTACATCACCGGGATTAGTTAAGCTCTGGCCGTGCGCCTTCGGGGCATTTCCGACGGCTAAGCTGCATCGATCAGAGCTGCACATTGCACAATATGTTACTCTGAATGTGTTCCAGGAACAGGGGAGGAGATAAGACTAGAATGCAATTGACATCACGGCCGAGTAAGGATCGTCCGGTCGCACAGTAATTTTAACCACCGTGTATATGTGTATGGAGATCGTAACCGGCCGTAAAAAGGGCGTTTTTCCTCTCGGTCTTCGGTGTGGTTCCGTGTTTCTGTTCTTCTGGATCGTTCCTCTCGTGCGAGCATGGTTACACATTTCCAGGTCTCTGTTGACGTAGTGTCAACCTGTCGGGGTACGGAGTAGGTTATTATCGTTGCTCGATGTGAGCGGAGCTGGAGTCCGATTTAAGTATCAGTAAATTCAATACAGAGTAGTATGGAAATATATATATGTGTGTGTGTGTGTGCGTGTGTGCATGCGTGCTTTTACATAAAGTCGTTATAAAGAAAGGGGCGGGGAGTTTTCCTTCAATCCGATTAAAATCCACCCATCCGAACCGACAGGAGAAAAGGGTATATGAAATCGAAAAATGTAGATCATAAGAAATGCATAAGTATTATATGAATTCCAGGTATCAGAAATCTTTGCTCGCTCCAGTTTCCGTGGATTGGGGTAGACAATCCGTCAAATCGCTTGTATGATCATAACCGAGCCTTAGAGGCCAAACGCGATCCGCTTCCATACACATTCCACGTCCTGACACAGAGCCAGAAATCCGTCACTCTCTAGCTGCTGACATACCCAAGACTCTACAAGTGCAGACCGCTCTGTTGTCGGCGTTGAAAGGTAAGATGATAGGTCTGTTGTAGTGAGTAGGTTGCTGGTTACAGGAACAGTGGATATGTTTGGTTGACTGTCGATGTGGCTTTGTTGGCTTGGGATTTGGGGCGGGTTTGATGACGCACTGTAGCTTAAATTGCTAGTTTGGGGTAGAAGCTGCACAGCGCTACGAGCAGGGTTAGGGCGACCATCTATTATATTTCCATCTTTGTCAGCTAATCGTCGGGAATTAAAGAGGCGTATAGACCGGGAAAGAAGCATTCGACGTACCAAGTTCAGTGCTTGTACGGCTTTCTGCAAGGATAGACTGCGCGGCTTTGACCGGTGCCGCGTCAGACGCGATTTCCAGTGCGGCCCCCAGAGTGGATATACTTGACGGCGTGAATGAGGTCGATGTGCCCGTTGAAAAAACGTCACTTTTGGCTATACTATCCATCGCACTCCTAGCGACAGGGGACTGTATTCCTTCCGAATCGAGACGCGTCATTGAAGCCTGGATACTCGACTCTGGAGGAGGCGTCTCGCCGCCGTGGGTCTGAGGATTCAAGCGTAGATCTATAGAGTTAGCAGTAATGCCCATTGTCTGTTTGGGCGGAATGTAGCGTTGCTGTCTACGCTGAGGCTTTGCAAACGGTAGCTCTCTCTTTGGAGGAAGCTGCTCGATTAACGACCCTGCATCAAGGAAGATTGGGGCCGTCGACGGCCGTTCAGAGGAGTTTTCATATTCCGAACGTGCGTTTTTATTCATAACTTGTGTGTTCCTCGACGGTTGAGTTGTACCTAGAGCCGAAGAAGATCCCTATTTGCGTAAATATGTGCATGTTAGTTATGAATCACATGTTGTTAATAAACTTATGCTTGAGAAACCGAAATCCGCGAGCCGTCCCCGATGATGGCGTAGTTATAGAGGGATGAATGGTTTTGCAAAGTTTACTTACGATGGTAGATGGACGCGTCTCTGGCACTGTAGCTGGAACTGCTCGTATACTGTGGCTTCCGGCCTGGGATGAAGGCATTCCCAACACAGGAGACGCTGTGCTATGAGGCCAACTTGCTGTGTTTGGTCTTGTGAGGAATGCAGTCGATGGTGGAAAGCTACCAGCGGTCGATTCGGTTATAGGACATCCGACTTCGCTCAAAATCGAGACAGCCTTGCGGTAATCGGCATCAGAAGTGAATTTCAGCTGAAATCTGCGGATCTATTAACGCGATTAGTGTTTCTTTTAAAGTGTGACTTCTGTAGACAGCTCTGCGATGAGCTCCACACCTGATTGACACGCGTAGGATACCGGATAGCAAGGCAAGGAGACTTGACGAGCACGGCGATGGGGGCCTTTGAACTCGAAATCTGTATCTGGCTCGATGAGCTGGCCACTGCTTCTCTCGCGAGGGCATCGAGATCCAGATCTTCCTGAGGATGTGATTTCCGGATCAGTAAAGGATCCTCACTGAAGATACACATTGCCATTGCCCCCTCAACGCACCAGGACATCCAGTCCTCGCAGCACCTTCAGGGTAGGGCTCCCCGTTGTCCATGACGAGCCATTCTCTCGAACTTGGGTACGACCAAAAACCGCCCTTAAGTCGACACCGCCAGATATATGAGTCCAGCCGAGAGGAGAGGTTCGATCCGTAGTCGTTGTAACGTAAGAGAACTTGAGCACCGTTAACGAAAGGGGAATACCTCCTGGGCTTTCCATGGTGAGCGAGGAGAAATGCTAGCAGAAAGGCCCTTGTATATGCTAGTTATATACAAGGACGTAGATTTATCTTTTGATATCCTACAAGAGAGGAAGATATCAAATTACCCTGAGCTGGATAACTACACCTCCACTGATATTGCGCGACTGCCTAAAGAGGAATATACACACAGTTCTGGCTCTTTCGACGCGACCAAGTTCATCCTGCAGGGCTCTAACAGCCGCCTGGGCGATCGAAGCCTTCCAACAGTAGAGGCATATAGGCCATTTTAAGGGCAAGGACGCTACGATATCCATATCCACCGGCTGACCGGTGCGGCCATCATCCCAGACCAGGCTCAACCCCGAGACAACGGTTGGGAGTGGATTACATCATCAGAGAGACACTCCGGAATAACATATATCCGACGGAACTTGCTTACCTAACGGGACTAGCGTTTCCCAAAGCGGTTTAGTACCATCCCTTGGCGGCCCCCACCGCGCCCACAACATAAAATTTCTGTCACGTGCTTTCTTCGCTTTTTCACAACCTTTTCATGTCCACGTGATTTGTGCCTGCACTTCATCCAATCAGCGTTTTGTTGTGAATATCTGTGGTGGTGGATTAACTTTCACGTGACCATGTCTTTCTCCCGGCAGCAGCTCGAGACCGACGGCCGCTACTTCGCGGAGAGCTTGAGCGCTGCGTACTCGCAGTCTGGGTAAGCTTCGCTTCGTGTGCCAGCTCCGGTCGCATTCTTCGCCTTCGTTTCCGTTCCCCCTTACGGATACTGATTATTTTCCCTTCCAGACGGGTCTATTCCTGGCCCCTAAACCCTGCTCTGGGTTGGCGCATTGGGAACAAGCGGGTTAGCCCGCAGGCCCTGTTCAGAGAGGTCGGGCGCCGCGGGGGATATCACCAGGCCTCCGTGGACAAGAGGCACTGGTGGGCAATCGCCCAGGCAGTGGGCATTGTAGCCGGAGCGGCAGGGGCCCTGTCGTTCCACGTAAAGCGCCTCTACGAAGAGCGGCTCCTGTAAGCATACCATCCTCCTTACGGAGTACAACATTCCCCTTTGGATGCTCCTTTGAGATTGCTGTAAGGCTATTGCTGACTCTGCTTGAACCTTCTAGGGACCTGGAGGCCCGCACTGTTGGCTTCGTTGGGCCACAAGCAGTTGCTGGTGAGTTGATCACGCCATCGCACACTCCATCTCACTTTTCTCTCCAAGTGTTCCTTTGTTGGCGGTGTCTTCCGGTTGCCATGGGCTTCTTGCCAAAGCACTAACAAGGCTTTGTCAGCTGCTGCAGCTCCAGCTCCTCCTCCTCCATCTCTTCCCCCTCCGCCGCTTCCACACCCTCCTCAAGCCGCTTCCTTCGATCCTCCTTCGTTTCCTCCATCGTCCTCAACGATGGCAACTCCTGCGGCTGAACCCGCTCCTTCAGAAGCGCGCGGAGATTCCCGCCCTCCAACCCCAGACCCCGGCCCGCCAACCATTGTTCTTGATCGTACCGGTAAGTGGCATCTCTAAACAAGCTATATTCGCCTTTATCGGCCAGTACTGACGCGTTAACTTGCTAGGGGGGGATATCTATCACCGGTCCTATATGGGCCTTAAATCAAGAATCCCAGAAGAGGTCGAGCAAGGGCTGTACCATCTGGTACGCCTCTCAGATATACACCAAGAAGTGTTGCTCTTCGACGAGTACTCGGGACTTGCAGAGGCATTGCTCCAGCAGATCTTAACCATCGGGGAGCTAGTTCACGGTATCTCCTGGGAACCAAACTACGATTACGCGTATTTCAACGATGAGTACAAAGCAAACGCGCGTTTTGACGATCTCTGCGCCGAAGGAACGTTCGATTTGCTCGATCGCCTCCGCCGACTTGAAGTCATCTTCCCTCAAGCAGATGTTCTGGATGACGAGACTAATATCAAGCTTCGCTTAGTCAACGAGGCCGCATTGGTCCTCAGAAATATGTGTCAGGTCGACCTCAATGCTCATTTTTTGAAAGAGCTTCCTCTAGCGAGAGACACCGCGACCATCGTGCTCAAGCTTCCCCCTATGCCTGTGTTTAACGAAATGAAAAACCACATGCTTGAGGTGGTGTCTGAGGCTTGTCTATGGTGGCCCTTGTGGGACAACGACCATCTTTTCTGTACTCTGATGCTATATTTGGACTCCAAAGACCGCTTCCACCTGCTCACTGCTCTAAAGGCACTGGTAATGTTCTCTTACGAGCTCGAAGGCATCAAGAAATTCGGCCTGGCAAAGAGTGTGTTTACCACGCTGATAGACTACCTTTACCTTGAGCAAGATCCGGAGTTGATGTCGGCGGTACTCGATTTTATCTATCAATATGTTTGCGAGCCGGATAATGTTGCGTTCATCCTCGAAAACTTTGATCTTCCCACAACGCTGATTCCACGTCTTGTCGCCCTGTTGCTGTATGATGCCGAACGTCAACACGAAATCAGAGTTTACGCCGACGAGCAGAAACGCCCCACCCCGACCCGAATCACAATCCCTCCCGAGAGATGCGTCAACAGTTTGCTAGGATTCCAAGAACCTGAACGTACTGCACGCTGGGCCCAATGCGTTTTTCAGGAGGATTCAGAGGGTGAAATTGCTCAAAGGGCTGTGTGGGTTGCCTATCAGCAGACTTTTGCCGATTTCCTGAAGCCCGAACATTCACCTCTTCTTCCTGCTCCAGACTTCATCAACACCGTCACCCATGCCTTTAGCATTGCTCGGGCTCGCGTGATTAATGAAGGAGAACAAGGTCAAAAGTTTGTTATCCAAGGAATCCGTCCTAGAGACGTTTGTCGAGATATGAATGGATTCCCTTACTATTATTGCAAGTGGAGAGTGCCAAAAAATCCCAAACCGGCAGCAAGTGATGAACTCCCTGCGCTCCCTCCCAATGCAGACGCGGGTAAAGCACAAGGCGCCTCGGTGGCCGATGGTCAGGGTACTGCGTCCAGCAGCCAGTCCTCGGCACCAACTCCTCCCACCAATTATCGGCTGTCAACTGCTGAGGATGAGAAAAATGAACAGCCAGCTCCAGGTAGGGCTTGGGAGAAAGCCACGGTGGCGGGCGCACCGGTTTATCCACAAGGGCCGCCAAAACCGCGCAATCCTGAGAACGACAAACGTCTTGCCGATGAGACTCCAGCACGAATCCCACAGTATCTCGAGCTAGGTGACCTCAGTATTATTGGCCACTCCATGAATCATCCCGACTTGGAATACTGTAACCGCGTTTGGGTTGACCCAGAGAAATACCGAAAGCACGTGTTGTGCGTCCATATGGGAATTCGAAACTCGACGGATGGCAACTGGTATCCATTCGATCGATTCAAGAAGGTCCCCAATCCAGTCTGCCATTTCGATAAATGTGAGGAATTCGAGAAACCAACTAAGAATCTCAACTTGGTCGCTGCCCATGTTTCCGGCCATCTTCCACCGCTCATCAACATGGAAGACACTCCCCTCGAATGGGGTCGACCATTTTTCTATCCAAAGCGCTTCATCCGCTGGGATTATTTCGCCACCCCACAGGACGAAAACAAGGAGCCCTACGGCATCGCGTACAAGGCACTACTCATCATGCGAAACATCCTGCAGAATACCCCTCGAACCAAACCCAAAGGTCGCTTCGAAGGCACTGAATCATGGGGCGTTGCATTGTACTATTCCAGGCGCGCAAGATTGCTCGAGGTGGCTGACCTTAACCCTACTCTTCGCAAGGAAATCTTCGATTTCGTTAACGACATCGACAATTCTCGTTGGGGTTTTATTTTCGAGCTTTAAGGGTACCAAGACGGGGAAGAAGAAGGGAAAAAAAAAGGGAGAGAGAGAAAATCAAAAAATCATGAATCCTGAAGGGGTCTTCCTGTGTTATGTCCTAGCTACGGCTCATAATTTGTCTTGGAGGTGTTCTTGTATGGCGCGATGACTGCTAATTTTCTCAGTTCGTTCCCGGCTTTGCTTCAAGGGTTAGAAAACAAGTGCAAAACACAGCGGGGAGTTTATGGATGGATAACTCAGCCAGCCGTGTCGCTGAGATTTTTCTTTGAAATGCTGATGGTGAAAGGTTGGTGGTTTTCTGAAATGCCTTTCATTGTAATAGGGATCCTGGTCTTGATGCAAAATACTCCTGTACGATTAGTGAAATTGATTTGAATGACACGATCCCAGTTGAGAACTCAAAATTTCCTCCATCCTAATCCTTGCTGTGGACATCTGTGTTTTCCCATCGATAATAATGAAACCCCTAGGTGGAGGAAAGATTACCTATTCATATTTATTTCATCGAAGGAAGCTATATAGTCATGCAAGGCCCAATAACGCGGGCTAGAGATACAGGAATTATTCCTAATACGCTATCACGAGTTCTCATAGTGGCCCATGTTCAAGCTGAAGGCGAACCACTGAACAACAGATAGGAACAAAGCGACCACCGGGCGGTTCAATAGAAATTTTGTTTATGGCAATCACATCTAGTATTGGCTTAGACGATTAGAGCGAGAGCGAAGAGGATCAACCCATTAGCGCCGCTATACACTTGAAGGGCAGGGGCTGCATTGGTGGCGCGTTGTTCAGGGGCTGAAGAGGTCATATCCGCTGTAGTCGTAAGGGGACGGCGGGTACTAGTGGATGTTGTGGAAACCTTAGGAGTGCGGGAAGCAGCACGAGATCCAGAACTGGTAGTCGAGGCTGTAGCAAAAATATCAGCCTCAGCTTTTGAAGTTGAGTTGGAAAGGATGGCTGAAGTGATGTATGTACTGAATTTGGATCCGGGGTTAATAGAGGTACTGGTAGCGCCCGACGATGAGTTTGTGGGGACACCAGCTGAAGAAGCAGAAAATTGCTGCGACTGGGCGAGGATCCCCGGTTTGCTGGGATCGTCGGATAGAAAGTTGAATTGATATGTATCTCTAGAAGTTTGTCGGAGAATAATCAGCCTCCGAATTCCAGCTATTTAAGAGTTCAGTATGGATGAAATGCGCATACCCTTCCGGAATCTTCTCGATTGGTTCTGTGCGATATGAACCACTGCTTGTCTTGACACCCCTTGCAACCTTCATAATAAACGGAGGATAAACGCCCAGATTCGCCAATTCGATGGCGAAGGTCAATGGATCAGTGCTGTTTAGAGTACACAGTCAGGCCAAATCATTCTCATTTTAGTGGCCGTCTCACTTGGTAGAAGTCCATGTGATGGTGTGGCTCTTGGATAGATTCCAGGTTGCACCGCTGACTGGACTGGTCACTTGGATTGCTAGTTAACCAGGAAGATATAATCAGCGCTGCTATAGAAGGGTATAATGAGGATGGGAGGTTCTCGCACCAGCGGCAGCGGCGGTGAGTGTCAAAAGGGACACGCCAAACTTGAAAGACATTGCTGTAAACGGAAACCTTCCGTAAATTCTGGAAGCGATGGACAGAATATTATGCTAGTAAAGGACGTATCGGAATCCAGACAGAATCTATCATACAAAGTAACGAGATCGGGCTGCTGAGATGAACATGATAGAGAGATGAGGCTGTCTTGATACAGATCAAAGAGCAGACAACAAGACAGATGACGACGGAGGCAATCGCATCCAGAGGAAGCAGGCACCTTGCATGGGCAGCTCTTCTTCTTCTCTGCTCCGGTGGAAGCTGCACCGGACGCTGCACCGCCTTGCGCATCCAGCACAAAAAGGATGAGAAGAAGTACACAAAGTACATCATTGAACCCGCTATGCCAAAACATTTCCATACATGGACGTTTGATATCGGATAGTCATGATGTAACTAGATGGTCTGGAAACGCAGCTTCAACAAGCACATACGACCATAGGAAGTGGAGAACAGGGCTTCCCGTCCGCTCAGCCGTACTTAAACCACTTGCCGGCCGGCTAGTAGTTGGGTGGGTGACCACCAGCGAATCCCGGCTGTTGTATGTTTTTTTTCTAGGTAGATATATGTTTTTCTCCCTTCCTCCGGCAATTCGAGGTTTGCAGAGCTTGGGGAATAACGGGGTGGATTGCGTTGAGGCTGACCGCTCGGGTAGCTTCTTCCAAAAATTGAAAAGAATTGGACTGACGCACCGTATTCTCATTTTAACGGGAGACAGTGACTCGAAACTCCAGGGTTAAGCGAGAAGAGGCGGTCCCGAAACATCTGGAACTGGGAAAGCTATACGGAATCAACCTGATATATCCTTACATACCTAGTTATAGATCCTTCACACCTCTAATTACCATAAGAACAAGGTTAACTCAGCAATCTAGGCATACCTCATAGGTGAAGAGATGATGTTATAATAGGCTGGCATAAGTCGCAACAAATCAATCACAGAAAATCATCCAGCTCTGGAATACAGAAAACATGGCCTTATCTCGCTCAAACGACACTAGATTGGAGACCACGCGATAGCCTTTCTCCCGAGATAAATTGCTAAAGAGGCGGCTTGATGAAGGCGCTATCTTTCATTCTCGCTTTAGGCTTTTGATTGCAGAGTCCAGTTTGCTCAAAACCCGTCGCAAAGCATTATCTGCTGTCTTGAAACGCCTCGCAACGTTATAATAGTGGGCGTTCTTCTGCTTCTCGGTATTGTTAGCCTCAGCAGCATCGTTCATGTATTGTTCATCGCCCAAGCTCGGCGGCGCTAGATCACAGCGTTAGTGTTAACTACTTTTAGCCTCAGTCTCAAGGGTTGATTCGGATGATTTTCTCACATTTGACTTTGACCCATTTGTGGTGTGCATTTAAAGCATATTTCCTTGAATAAATGCATTGGAAACATGGCTTTTTGCTGTAATAGAAAGTGCAGTCGACATTTTCACCCAGTGGCTTATAAACCTTGGTGCTGGATAGGTCAATGATATGGCATCCAGCATGACCACACATGGTGACGACGAGAACCAACTGCATTTTCTATCTTCCATAGTGACAGTCAGCTCACTAGAGTCCTATTTTGCCTATCACAAACACCTACCAGATTCACGGCTGCGCCTGGAGATATGACTAAATCACTTAGTTTCAAAGCACGGCGATGATGCAGCCCGGAGTTGTAGTGTGTGAAACTGATGCATGCCAGGGAAAAACCAACGCTGGGACAATGGTTGGAGATGGGGAGACGTCTCTTCTCATCCGCCCGCTGAATCCAACAGCACGTGATGGGTCAGATTGGGATGTCCGCGCAGCCAGAAAGGAAAGAAGCAACTCCCAGACAGTGAATGAGGCACGTGAGCAGATTCACCGCCACGTTTTTTCTTGCATTGTTGCAGTGGTTGCATTGTCTGGAAGGTGGTGAGAATAATGAAATTATGAAAAAGACGTTCTTCCTTAGAAACACGGGCTGGGAAATAACCAGACAAGGAGGATGGCTCAATCTGCGAGACTTTCAACCAAAAAGGCGTGCTATAAAATATCAATCCTGCATAAGAAAGTGAGCACGCTATCAGGGATATGTTTAAAAAAAGATGCAATTGAACTGGCTGTCTCCGAATGATATTTATAAAGAAATATTTTCCGCAAATAAATAGTTATAGCATGAATAGCCAAACAGGCCAATGTTTGCTCTTAGCTGTCGAAAATTTCTTCAAAAGTACAATGGGGATTTGACAGTAGCAAATCTGCCATTTGAAGCCCTCCAGTTAAGGTCGTGGCACGCAACATAAGTAAACTTGCGGGGAGGGATACTTCAATTAGTCTAGAATTGATATTATCAGCGGATGGATGAAAAAGATAGGCCCCACTGTTGTTTGGAAAACACAGAAGCCAAAAATGTTGCTAAAGAAAGGATATGTAAACATTGTTGAGAGGTAGCTGGCTGTGGTTTTCCATCTGGGTATATTTTCGTGGTCATCGTTATTTTGATAGCGATAGAACCCACGGACTGAGCGAAAAAACAGCATGGCCAGCAAGCAAAGAGGGGATCCCACGGCATTGTTGGGATAGCTTGGGATAAGGATACAGGACCGTATATCTTCGATCTCGAGTTTCTTGTGCAAGTCGACGTTGGGCTCGTAACTCTCTCGGCGGTTGAGTGGACGGCTGTCGATGGCACCACGTGACACCACAATTGTGCCGCAGGCGCCTTGGAACCTCGACAAACATCACGATGGCACAACCGATAGAGAGGTTGCCGATCCAACCGCGAGAACAGTCATACCCATTACTACGCTGTTAGTGATATTGTGCAGTGATAAATATACGCGATTTGTCTAATTTAAGAACTCAGAGAAGGAAGAAAATGTATCATTTAGTTTACCGAGGAGCGCTCAGCACAGAATCAACAACTACACTCTCGTTAACACCCAACTATGGCCGAACCCGTGACTACCAGTCTTATGGAGGTAAGATTTCTTGTGTCGTTTTTTAATGACTGAACCTGCTAATAAGTTACATTTTCTACCGTCGCGATCAGGAGTTGGAGAGTGAATATTGCCCTCGTTTAGACCCGGCACTTTTCGCAGCGATTGCGAGCGATTTTAATTTGGACGATAACCCGAGCGGCATTGCCGAGTTACGTGCTACCTTAGATTTTGTGGCTGCGCAATCAAGCTGTGATTCCGACCCGTACGGAACAGGTGAAAGAGATGTGTTTGAGGAAGATGGCGTCGTCTCGGAGCCAAGTGTTCCTCCCTCGCAGAAGACTCTGCAGTCATCCGAGACGAATCCTACAAGCCTAGAGTCGAGTCCTTGGAGCGTGGAGAACGAGGAGCCAGCCGGCAAGCAGAATCAAACCAAGGCTAAGTCCTACAATCCAGGTCCAGCGCCATTCCTCTCACAGAAAGGGGCCGCGTTTTCTGGGTTTGATCTCGAGGAGAAGCAAGAATATTTGAAGGAAATGTTTCCCTCCATTGCCCAATATACGATTTCTCATACCCTGGGTAAATGCAATGGTGACATTGACCGATCGATGGACGTACTGCTGAATCTGGCATTCTTTGAAGACAGCAGCCGCAGCAACAACGGCCATAAAGACGCGGGCGCGGACGCGGATGACGGTCAAATATCTATTCCCAAGGGCATCGAGGGGTTTGATGGTCCCATAAGCCATAAAAAGGGTCGAAAAAGAGGAAAGGGTAAAGGTAAACAGTCCAAGACGAAACAATTATTAGAGCAATCGATCTCTGCGTGCGCCGAAGATGACTTAAATCCAAATAAAGTAGACAATAGATGGGACAATGGCAAGAAAGATGTGGACTTTATCTGTTCTAGAACTTACCTATCAACTCAGGCATCGAGCTCGGCCTATCACTTGAACGCTGCACATCTCCCAACGACAATTCACTACCTGGCGAAGAAAGAAATTGAGAAGCATCCGCAAGTAATGGAGGATGCGGTTACTATTCAGCAAGTAGCAGAACTCCGCGAAGATTTTTCCACGGTTTCCCCTGAGAAGCTAGGCGGTTTGCTTCGACTCGCGCGGAATTCCATTTCTGCAGCAAACGAGCTTGCAAGGGTGATGATTGCAGAGCCAGAAGCGCCTTTAATCGAAGCCACAACACCACGGGCGATATTGCCACCAAATTTAACGCAGACGGGTTTCACTCCCGTTCGGAAGACTAAGAAAGTGGTCTCCCCTTTATTAGGTACCGGAAGTGCTGCGGCAAGTCTTGGCGCAAGTCGCGCCCTTGCCAACCATCATCGACGTGCCGGGGAAATAGCCTTCAATAAAGCCCACGCAGCGTACCGTCGTGGTAAATCGGACCACCTCATGGGTGGTGCTGCCGGGTATTACTCTTCTGTCGGTCGGGAGCACATCGAAATCGCCAAGCGAGAAACCTCAGCTGCGGCAGATGCCCTTGTAGATTCACAGTCAACGGGTAATGTGTTGGATTTACATGGCGTCAGTGTGCAGGATGGAGTGCGCATTGCATGCGAGCGTGTGGAAGCCTGGTGGGAGTCTCTTGGAGACGCAAGGTATGCGCCTGGCGGAGGAGGACCAGTTCGCGAGGGTTATAAGATCATCACCGGCCTGGGAAGACACAGCAGAAATGGCACCGCGAGACTTGGACCAGCCGTCGCTAGAAGATTGGCGAAGGACGGGTGGAGAGTGGAAGTCGGACAAGGACAGTTAACGGTGGCAGGGCTGGTTAGACACCGATGAACCTGACGTTACGTCTTTCTTGGCCCTTTTCTTCCTGGGGGAGATTTGTTTAACTTATTTATGGGAGTTTATTTCCATACCTGATTCCCCATTTAGTTACATGTTGAGCGTTGTATACGGAGTACGGATGCGGACGCAAGATATGTTTTTGATTGTCGGATATTGGCCGCATGTTCGGCGTTTTGAGTAGAGACGTGCCCATTATTAGACACAGCTTATGACTTGATGTAGTGAAGTTTTTCGAGTGCGTTCTAGAATACGGAGTACGGAGTACTTCCCGCACAACATGGGCTTGGAATTTTGCATACATAAAATGTTCCAAGGGTTGTGGCCTTGGCACACGTAACGGGCGGCAGCCGCTGAACATGCCGAAACCGTCCATGTCTCGGTCTGCTAAAGAAGACATTAAGAACTTGGATGCGGCTTACATCGAACATTAATACCGTCCTTGATTCCTAATTTTAACAATTCTTTGGTCCTACAGACCTAATTTTGTTTTACCCAAGCCATATGGACTTTCGTCATCGTAGTCTTCCCCGCATCCTCCGATCAAACGTTAACAGCACCTCCCTGAGGTCAATATCAGTCTCATCGTTAAAATACCCCAGGCTCCCCCGGGCTCAGATAGTGAATAGATCAGCTCTTATTTCAACCTCCCTCCGGAGAGTTCCATTCATGTCCTTTTTTGGAGGTCTCCTCAATCGCTTTTCTACATACGCACCCACCTCCGCGCCGATGGAATATCCTGATACACGAACAGAGGATGAATGGCGAGCAATTTTAAGTCCTGGTACGTCTTCTACATATTTATACCCTTTTACACGTCATCACCAATCATGAACAAGACGTATATGGAAGACTCCGTACAATTGCGGTGCTCGTTGTTGTGCACTTTAGTACAATAAACCTTTTCTTCCCGGGTCTCGAAAGATGTTTACCTAATGAGATCTCTATTTGCTCTCTAGAACAATTCCGTATCCTGCGTAGGAAAGGTACCGAAGCCGCCTTTACCGGCGAATACGACAAGCACAAACCAACATCCGGCGTCTACCACTGCGCTGGTTGCAATGCGCCTCTCTATAAGGCCGAGCACAAGTTTACCTCTGGCTGCGGCTGGCCCGCGTATTTCGACTGTATCCCTGGTGCGGTGACGCGACATGAAGATCGTTCATTTGGTATGACACGGACAGAAATTGTGTGTTCAAATTGCGGAGGACATCTAGGCCATGTATTCAAGGGAGAAGGATATCCAACGCCCACGGACGAGAGGCATTGCGTTAATAGCATAAGTTTGAAGTTCTCGAATAAGAATGGGGAAGGGAAATAGGCAGCCTTTTGGCGAGTTAATTTCCATGGAGTTATATCGCATTAAATTGTATATACGTGGGTATAGACTTGAGGACCAGGCGTTAGATCATAAGAATAATCTGACCGTACTGTTAAGTTCATCTAAACTGCCGGGGTATTAAAAAGGTAGTACCAAGCAGCATTCTACCAGGGGGATTTTCCTTTTTAAGGCTGGAAAGAGTAAATATCCCAACTTCAAGGGCAAAACAAATAGGCATATGGGAGTAAAAATGTATTTCTATTCCTTCATCCCCTTCGCGCTGCGCTGGCTTTTGGTAGATTTCGGGCGGAAGGCAGGCTGGAGCTGGGTACGCCGTGACCTAGCTGGAGACTCAATAAGCTCTGTGGAGACAGTCCTTTGGCTCTGTGTGTCGCCAGGCTCTGGGCTCTTTGCAACTTCGGATTCTCGCTCTTGTACACTCCCAGCTCGGCTGGAGGTATTCGAATCTGAAGGGTTCTTTGAAGGACTTTGCTTCGTCGAATCTAACACGCCAGCAGCAGGTATAACTTGATAAGGGAGGGCAGCGATGCGCTCTGCCTCCAGCTTTTGATCTTCTTCCCGCTCTCTTCTTTCATTTATCTCAGCCATATACGCATCGAATTTTTCTCGTTCACTGGTTTTGGCCCAGCCCAGCTGAGTCCTATCCGAACGAATAGACTCGACGGTGGATGGTGTATTTTCAAGAGTAGCTCTAGCGGGACAACCTCATGTTCGGAAAATCGCTGATATGGTGGAACCGACTTATGTGATCCGCGTTCGATGTTAGCATCACCCTGTCGTGAACGTTCAATCCGAGCAGATTTCCTAGTTGCTTCGGTTCCTTGGTCTATAACGGATCTTTTGCCTGTGGACTGATCCCTAAATTCTTCTAGTCGTTTCATGAATTCTGCCACAACAGCGTACTTAAGCCCGAATCGATCAGCCAATGCCATGTGGGCTAAATCTGGGTACTTTTCGATCAACTGCTTTAGTGTTAGGGAGGTATATGCTTCAGTTTCCTTGGTGTCCTCGTCCATATCAAGCCCAGTAAGCTCTTCACGGGTGATCCCATAGAACAAACACAGAGATATTAACTGAGGTACTATTTCCATCAAATGTCAGCCTTCACCTGAATATGAAGCGAAATTAGCCCCATTGCTTACATTTAGACGTCCTCTTTAATTTCCAGAACTCCCCCACGGTTCGAGGAAAATTTTCTGGAACAAAATATCCACGATTTGGATGGTATACGCCAACTGGTTGCAAAGTCTTTATGCCTCTGTCTGCGTTCCCATTTACAGCCATAGCACGAAAATCATGAATTGCAGCTTCGAGTTCTCCAAATTTCTTGTCCATCCTTTGCTCCATACCTCCAAATTTCTTGTCCATCCTTTGCTCCATACTCTCCAATTTCTTGTCCATCTTTTGCTCCATACTCTCCAATTTCTTTTCGACTTTCTCGAATCGACGGTTCACACCCCTATACTGATCATCCATATGGCTTTGAAGCCCACGGTCGACCATTTCAATACGTTCTTCAACGGTCTCGAACCTTTTGTCCATGTAATCGCGTTGCAGGATGAACTCTTGCCTGACAGCCTTCTCTTGAAGTTTTTTGTGGTACTCGGAGGCATTTATGATAATAGCAAAGCCTTGGTCAACATAATCTTGAGTCGTCCCATCAGGCTGTCTTTGTTTGGTGGCAGCCGCAAGATCCCTAAGAAGGGGGCTTGAGCGGGGAAACGATTCATCCATCTTTCAAGACAAGAAAGTGCTCGTCGACGGACACAAGATCGTATGAATGTGTGTGTATATATCTTCGGAAAAGGATGGTAAAAATTATTCTTTCATCTAAAGCCTTGAAGATTCATTCTAGATGATCGAGAAAGTCGTAGAAGATGGGAACAAGGAATTGTTAGGCAGCAGGACTTCTTGCGAGCAGCCAATCCCGGGTAGTCATTCATTAATGCCCAGAAGCGGCACCGATGCAATCTTGCTGACCTGGCATTCTCCGTTGTACATGCAGCAGATGACCAAAGAAAACAAATGTTGCTTCGTTTTTTACTCCCAGGGCGTACTGGGAAATAGTCGTGGAGGACAGCGATCCATTGCAACCTCGATGTTGGGCTGGCGGGAGAGATCAGCCTCGCCGTGCTGATCAGTGAGTTTCCCAGGGCGCTGATTCATCTTATCACGTGATATGGGTGGTGGAATATGGGATTATCGCCGCCTACCACGGAAATTCAAGAAACCACCTCTACCGAAGGTTAGTCTTGTCGCTCATACATGGTCTCTGGCGGTCATTTGAAGTTTCGGCGATCGAGGTCAATTTACCACACTGCAACGTTTACTGTCACCCCTCTCCACCCCGCCCGTCCCTTGAACGTCCAGCATCATGTCACTGCGGCCCAAACCGGGGGCAGCCCGAGCCGCCCAAAACCAACAGGTCATAAAGGACTTGCTGAAGTTGAATTGCAACAAGACATGTGCAGATTGCAAGCGGAATAAGCGTAAGTGCTTCCAGACAGTCGAATTTCGAAGTTTCTTGCACAATGCAGCCCCGAAGTCCCCCTTTTAACACTCCCCCCCCCCCCCCCCCCCCCGGCAAAAAGGTGTTGCCATTCCGACACGCGTAGCTAACATTGAAGTTGGATAGATCCAAGATGGGCCAGCTGGAATATTGGAATTTTTATTTGCATCCGTTGCTCTGGGATACATAGAGGCATGGGGACTCATGTCAGCCGCGTCAAGTCGGTGGACCTGGATTCATGGACCGATGAACAATTACAAAGTGTGGTGCGATGGGGGAATGCAAGAGCGAACAAGTTCGTCTGCCCAGCATTGAGATTTGAGCGTAGCGCGAGTATATTGCTTGATTTATCTAAATTACTGATATCGTATTATAGGTATTGGGAAGCTAAATTGCCTCCTGGCCATGTCCCATCCGAAGCGTAAGCATTCCTTATCTTGGAAAACACACACGGCTTCTAGATAGGAATTCTGATCGGACTTTAGGAAGATCGAAAATTTTATAAGGACCAAATATGAGTCGAAGAGGTGGGTTATGGACGGGCCAATACCCGACCCGTCGACCCTTGATGGTGATGGTGATGAGGACGTGGTGAGTGTGGGAAATTCTACCCACTGTTGGGATCTTTGCGGCTAACAGTAAATTAGCCATTAGCTGTTGTGCAAGAAAAGGCAAAATTGGAGCGATCAGCATCACATCAAGCAACATCTACCTTAGCACGACCGTCTCCGCCTGCACAACAGCAGTCGATTAACTTATTTGATGATGATGCTCCGGCACCTCCTGCTAGACCTAAGACAACTGATATACCTGGAACACATGCACCAACAAAATCTTCACAGCCAGCAGCAGCTCCGAAGCAAGGCAAGCCTGGCGACTCCCTCCTTGGATTAGATTTTTTTGGCACCTCTCAACCCACAACCGCAAGCAGACCATCGAGCACTCCTTCAGGTCCACCAACTACAGGGCCTTCACGGCCTGACCTTAAACAATCTATCCTATCACTCTACGCATCTACCCCTAAACCGCAGCCTGCTTCTCAACATGACCGTACCACGTCATTCGGGTCTTCACCTTCTTTCCAATCGCCACATAAGCCGCAAAACGACGCTTTTGGAGGGCTCACGGACGCTTTTAGCGGCTTAAGTTTTCCACCTTCCGTGTCATCACCTCCCAAAAAAGAGACATCATTTTCTGTTTTTGACTCTTTAACAAGTCAAAAGTCATTATCTTCCGTTCCCCAAACAATGTCTCCGGCGCCAGCATCAACTGGCAGCGGACTTCTCGATATTGCGTCGCCTAAACCCGGAAAGAAGCCGTCGCAAGGTAAATCTCCATCTATCTCAACAGGATCTACCGGACGGGCCTTTGACCTAATTGGCGCAACGATGGGTTCTACGAAATCAACTACGACCCCGCCTACTGCATCTAATGATATTCTTGATCTTTTCTCTTCCCCGCCGGCTACAACCTCGCCCCCAGCCGTATCGCCACCAAAGCCAAACGAAATGAACTCCATTTTCAACCTATCATCTTCGAAACCTCAAACTATCACTCAATCTCCTCCCTCTAATGCTGCAACTACAACTAGCATGCTTTCAAGTGTTAATATAGACCCATGGGGAGGAAACGCCTGGGCATCCACAGACCCATCACCACCGACAACCCAACCTACATCAATGATGAGGGTTCCTGACACGCTGACTGCAAACGATATAGGTAGCGGCTGGGGTGCTTCGTCTGGTCTTGGAGGAAGTTCCGCTCCCAAGCCTACCCCTACCGTAACTGCGGACGAAGACTTTGGAGGCTGGACCAGTGCAGTGCCAACTGAAACTTCTACTTCTGCACCCAAAGCCAAAACAACAGGTGGTTTTTCAGGGAACGATGATCTATTCTCTAATGTATGGGAATAAACATGATGGAGCGCACTACTTACGACGTGACCACGATAGCAAACTTGAAAATAGAAGTGACGTAACAAATAATTTGATTTCAGTAAAGGCACCTTAGAAACGTATATAATCTGGTTAAGTTTTCTCATTAGGAAGCTTAATTGAATACTATGCTTGACAGTGTTTGTACGCGCACGTATACAAGTGTACATACAAACAACCATCTTGATCTGGTAGGCCTCCCCTTTGGTCGGAGTCCTGGCCTAGTTTTCCGCATTCCCGCCGCTCCATACCCGCCTGGCGGTATTACCAATTGAGCAATCTCGTTTTGCTCCCTGTAGATCAATCGCCTATTTATACTAACCAACCGTCAAGCGCCCTTCAATCAGAGCTTCAAGTCCAGGTTGCTTCCCAGCTATCCTACCTAGTACGTGACTTTCGTTGTCGAGAAATTTACGGGCGCTCCGCCTGGAGACGGGCTTATAACGTCTTTTTGTTCAGAGAATCTCTTCTCATTTGTTTGATATCATCTGGTCATTGCCTTAAATGGAGATATACACCCCCAGATGCGGGTATAAAATATTCAGCGGGTGGACTCATTTCGGCGTCGGCAAAGCCCGTATTATGCAGACATTACCTGCTCGCCTTTACCTCCGAGGAAAAACAGAAAACAACGTGCAATACATCATTGCAGGGTATAGCGGTATCTCTCGTGGACAAGCAGCTCAAAGAATCCGAGCGCCAAATATTATCAGAGTCAATCCCTCCCAAAACGCCAAATTCGCCGCCGGTCCCAAGGCACAAAGGAGATAGTATAACAGCAATACATAATCTAGAATATCCAGCCCAGAACAACCCAAGCGCCGACACCGGCACCTGCCACGATGCCGGCGACTTTCAAAACTGCCACTTTATCACCCTGCCTTGCGGCGCGGGTTAGGCGACCCGCGCTACCTCTCAGATTCGTAGATAAGGAGGAAAATACTTCGCTCTATACGGCCCAAATAATACAGAATCAGTCAGTAATCCGCGGAAGTTTCGAAGCTTGGGGGTCAGGGTGGAGGGCAAGGGATTTGCGGAAGGGAGGCGAAAACCAACAGTACTATCGATTGTTTCTTGGTTTTGTGCGTTGTCGTAGATATCTATAGTAACGGACTTTAAAGCATTTGTTTTCTGCGAAAGAGACTCGAGGAGCGCATTGTTTTGCCTGTTTGTGTTGGGGGGGTTTCCCGGTATTAGCTGCGTTCATCTGGGTCGGAATGAAAGGGAAGAGGATCTGGAGCAGCGGCCTTTGGGCCCTCGGGAAGCGATAGGGAATCCAGCATACCGCTCACGCTCATAGGCATCACTCATGGCTGCGATATCAGGTTTCTGATCACTTCTAATTCTTCCGAGCTCCGCCAGGTAATCAGTGCGACCGGGTTCGCAGAATCGGCGGTTGGGGAGACAGCAGAAGTCGGAGACACAAATGTGTACAAAGTGCAGTTCAAAATACTTCAACTTGGCCAAGACAAACTTAGAAGCAGAGAGACAACAGCAAGGATTTTTGTACAGGGAGGCAATTAAGATACCGTCTACGGAACAAGCAGTTCTTGACAGGTGGATGGCAAGGTCACACGCCAAGCCGTTCGGTGTGGCGCTTTGCCCCTGGGAAACTGCATCAAGCTCATCCGTACGGAGTACTCCGCACGTTGCTTCTACAGTACCACAGTGCTCTTCTGGAAGAACGGAGGGATTGATGCCAAATTGATGTCTAACCAATTACATATCCAATTCCTCATCCGTTACTTCAACTATTGCTGTTTCTATGATTTCATAAAATGGTGCATATGGTCTCCGCCAAATAGTCTCTCCCCGAATTTCTGCGAATCAAGTCTAGCTTCTTTGCTAGGTATTCTATAGCAGGATCTGGATTCCTAGAAGTCTTTGAGCAGGTGAAGACAATGGAAGATAGTCCCAGAGCCCTTGCATAGGGGCGATTGAAGCCATCACGCCCCCGGCCCCCCCCTCTTTTTTTTTTCCTCTCGCGCCTCTGCCCTTCAAGAAAATGTGATGATCCGGCCACCGCCTCTGACAGTCTTCGCTTTGGAGATAGAAGAGCTAGGCAATCATTGTCCCTCAATATAAACTTTTATCCCAATAACTTGCCATCTCAGCCAACCTTGTTATGCCGATCTTCCTCCTCTCCGGTTCGTTGTTCCTCGCGTTCTTCGCGTTTCTCGCGCAATCTATGCCGGTGCCGCCGGACGTAAACGTCGAAGTCAAGCTCACCAACCAGTAGTTTCACGTTACTGCTCAAAACAAATAAGCAACATTGCAAAATGGTACCAGGTATAATGGTAACCAATACATACCTAACAAGGGTCTTCAGGTTCGAGTTCACCATTGAGCTCAAAACTTCAACCGCCACAAAGGCCGAGAAGGAGGGATCCTCGATGTTCCGAATGTCCAGCAAATTTTCGTTCATCCGCCTTAGATTCCTGGCCAGTGGAAACGCATGGGGAGGGGTTAGATAGGGCGGCAACGAAAGGCCGTTTGATACTGCAGCGGATAAATGATAAAGAAGGGAGGTAATGACATGAGAATGGAAGTCCTGAGAACTTGCTGCCCGCGCAAGATGTTTAATCCATTTCTCTCCCCCCGAGGAACTGTCGCTCCACGTACTTGCGCTCCATCTCCGGGTGGAGCTGACAGATCCCCGGTATGGAAATTCTTCGGGCATCATTCTCTCCACGTTGCGAGTGACATGTGCCATCAGAGCCATACTTGTTAATATAGTCTGGATCTCTGAGCTGATATTTTCATATGTCTCCTTGGGAAATCGGCCTCCGATGGGTGGCTCGTATTTAACGAATTCGATGTGGCTTCGAATCTCGGCAAGCAGGAACATTTCTTCGGAAAATAGCTTATTTCTAGCTTTTTCTAGCAACCGTGCTGGCGATTGAGGGTCGCTCAAATCACCTTGTTCCTGGTTGATCCATACTTCAATAGATGTATGCATGCAATTGTAAAAGGTCGCAAGAACAAAAAGGCCGCGCCCAAGAGTTTTACGGACGTGAGAACCAGCCGTCGTTGGGCTCGGAAACATTACCCAAATAAACGAAATGGCACATCCGGCCATCACTGCAACCAGCCGATAGGGCGCAAACAGATAGATAGGGAAAACAGTCAGTCCAGTTGATGCCGAAACTGCATTCCCTAACTTTCGAACCTTTTGACAGGATGGTTAGAAGTGCAGGTTTTTGCAAGGATAAGAGCCCGTGCATACCTGAAGCTCATACCCTATGGTCAAATTGAAGGTGATTAATGCAATGATGCATGCCGGAATCAAACGCGGAAACTTGACGTAGAAATAATACTTCGACAACGTCAGTCAGCTTCCATACGAACCAGCAGGAGTCTAACACTCACTTGAAGAAAGTTTCCAATATAAAGAAACACCAAGATTCCCGCAGTCCTCTCAGCTACAATATACCAAACCACGAAAGCCAATATTGTAGAGAGCACAGTTCCAACAATCCGCCCCATCAGGCCAAACAGCGACTTCCCGCTGATAGGGCTCATACCGATGACAATCACAATCACAGCCCAGTTGATCCGATTGCTATAAAAGAAATGTTGTGTCTGTTGCAAGTAAGCCAGGATTGCCACGCAGAATGCTGCAACGGAAACCCGCAACCCAAACGCGCTCTCCTTGGAGCTGAGTAAATGCGAGAGTCGACGAAGCCAGTTTCCAAATCTCTGCCACCTATTGACGGGGGGAAGGTGCTCCGGGTCGGCAAAGCGGGTTTCTAGGGGATCCTTCCCATGGACAGTAGGCTCATGGTCCGTCTGCTCGCCTACAACAGGAATTTCGCTTTCCACCTTTTCGTCTTCGCCGGGCCAGCCGCCGAAAATCCATTGTTTGATATATTCTGATTTTGGAAATATCACACGTTTTCGTCTCATGGTGCCGTCCGCAACTTTACTATCTGCGAATTTGACAAGATCTAAAACCGCCTGGAGAAGGATATCTTGAAGGTGACCGATAAACAGCAAAACAAAAAATTCCTTTCGAATTTCGCGAATTTCAGCCGACCGGCTTTGCTCCTCGTTTTCAACGGGTGCAAATGCGTTAAGGGAAGCCCAATGGCGCGGCAGATTCTTGCGTTGGGAGTAAAAGTCATAGAGTTTCTTCTCAAAATCAGCAGTGAAATCCTCATGCCCTGGCCTTGTTGTAGAACCATCTTCTTCATCCCTCGAAACGAAAGAAAATCTTCGTCCCCTAATGACCGTGGCAAAATCCTTAGGTTTTGAAATTTGAAGAGTGACAAAAGCATGCTGTATACCAGAGTTAACAAGTGCTTTAGCGGTCTCCAGGCGATCACATAAGGGGCGAACGAAATGCTCCTGAGTGGTCTCAGGTGTTTCATATAGAGAATCCTCCACTATAGGGCTGGTAGTGATATCTTCTTGCCTTAGACTTTCGAGGTTTCCCGCGTCCGTAGCCGCGCCTTGTGGTGGAATCGCCTTGGTAAGTCTCTTAAAAATACGTGGAAGCATAGCAACACCTGCCAAGGACAAGAACAGAGACCTCAGCAACGAAACAAGAGTTTCAAGGTCTTCAGCAGACAACGTTCCCCAAACTACCTCTTGTTTGGCGTAGTGCATTTCAGCATTAACCCGGGAATGGATAGCGCTGATCTTCCCGATGGCAGCCTTCAAGCCAGGCGATTCAAAGGTCGTTGCTGGCTCCTTTGCACTATGTTCATCGACATTACCAGTACCTAAGGAGCCCAATGTCGCTCGCCTTACGATTGTTGCCATCCGGGTAATTTTCCAGGGACCGTCACTCTCAGTCGACTTGACGTATGAGATCTGTTGGTCAAGCAATGATTTCACAACAGCCGGATAGCCTCTTAGTTGGTGAAAGATTACACTCCGGCTAGTTGTCGGAAAGATAATCAGAGACACTCCGGTAGCAACCGCAAAACCGATTAAAAACGCTATCAGCAGCAACCTCACGTAGGTCAGGCCGAAAGATAGCGTTGGCATAGTGGGGGCTCTGGTCATGGTAACCGCAATGAAGACGGAAAATGAGGCCATAGGGCTCTGCAACTCATTCGGGTGCCACGCACGCAGTGAATTGGCAACCCTACAGTCATGTTAGAGTTGCAAGCAGTACCAAATGGTTCCGTGAAAGAATCCAGAGTAACGGTTTTACAGAGAGAAAACCTCTTACCAAATGGCAAATAAAAACCAAATCGCTGCCACTGCACTCGCGCTGCTGTTATACCCTCCTGTTGGGGGAGCCCCCGGTGGACTGGTGTGTTCCCTCGCCTTGATCGTGCAGTAGATACCCAGGCAGCATAACGACGCAGACACACATGTTGCCAGGGCAGTAAATAGCATTATCTTCATATATTTCGCACGCGGCAACAGGCACTGCGCAATGACTGCCATTATCGGCGTGATATATCCATAATTTTGCGTAAGATTTGCGACTGGGCTAGCTTGGAACCTGCCGATCGAGATTCCTCATTAGTATCTCTTTTCGAACAGCCAAAGGCTGAAAGGAGCCCATTTAAACATACATGCATATCACAATCGTTGGCGGCAGCGCTCCTTTCAGCATCATGAGGAACGTGTGCTTGTCCATACCCAGCGCCTGCCATATCTTCTTGGGGGTCCAACCCCTCAATCGCGCCTTAGCCATTGTGTCCGTTTGTACCCCTTGTCCGGCCCTGAGCTGCAAGGTGGCATTGACTTGATTTATAAAAAATAAAATTCGTGGGGATAATACTTCTTGAGAAACTTGCGGGGAGCGGCTCCACGAATAGCATGACGATATAAACCTGCCTCCGAAGTGGGTACCTCCCTTCAGCTCAGAATAAAGGTACGGCCTACCTCGGACAACCGGCTCAAATCGACAGGAAATTGAGAGGTAAAGGCGCAGATAGTAGTGGCTTCATATTTCGAACGGATTGGCAGCTTGCGCGGGACCTGCAGCTTAAGTCTCGGTGGTCGTTGCTGGTATCTGCACACATGCCGGGGTCGGCGGCCAAGTGGGAGGAGTTCCGGCTTAGAGTTTCATGGCCGAGACTGGCCCAACTCCGCACTCTCCGCCAAATCTAGAAACGACGGAGCACTTCGTGGTGCAAGATCGCTCGGGATTGGCGGCGGCGCACATCGGGCTACTGTGTCTTCACCTGCACGCGACTATGTAGTTTTTTCACTTGTAAATTATCCTTGCTTGATATAAAATATATACATCTATCCCAAGCTTTTAGAGGTGTCCAAGAGGGTTATACAGAACCAAACAGCAACAAGGGTTGTTGCAGGGCACACAGGGCTGCGAGCCACGTTCAGACCACATCACAGAGCATGCAAACAAAGCCAGAAGAATGTTCCCCCAAAGGCACAACCTGGGGAAACAAAGATGAATCATAAAAGGATTTAAAAACATAGATTATGGATATGGTTAAGGAGTAATACGGCAAAACCACTCCCAAGTCCTTCAAAGGGGAATAAAAACAGTTTCGTGAACAACCCGCTATGCCATAGGGAAATAAAACAGGAGCAGAGGTATCCGGAGTAATATGTGCAGAAAGCTTTCATGTGGTCTTGGCTCCAGGCTCATAAACTGGAGTGTTAAAGACACCCATGGCCGAAAACGCATAATATAGGAGTTATGGGGGGAGGGGAGGGGACGCAAAAGGCCCGACAAGGTCCAGTCATTAGTTGCTCGGGGTAAATTTAACGAGAAACAGGCCGAGAGAAATAAACTATTAAGATCCTGAGAAACCGAGTACTTTTTTTTCGGCTGCATGAAATGCAAGATCGAAATTCTATCAAAGTCACCACATGTCATCGTCATCTAACTGAGAATCGTTTCCACCTGAAGTAGCATGCGGACCATGCTCGGGTCCCCACGCTCTTCCGGAATCATAACTTTGGTTGTTTCTGGGACTGCCGTTCCCATCCACGTCATAATACATTTGGTCATCATGTGTGTAGCCTGAATGATCGCCATAGTGATCCTGTTCCTGAACTTGCGGGTCAGAGTGAAAAATTCGATGGGAAGACGAAATCGCTCGAAGACGCTACTTACCTGATATCCTTGGTACTGAGAATACTCATCAGTATGCTGGTGTTGGGGCTGGTGTTGTTGTTGTTGTTGATGCTGTTCCTTCTTCCGCTGCTGGTTCTGTGCCGGCGACGTAGGTAAAGCCATATGCGGGTGCATTTGTTGTACTTTTGCAAGATAGGAATACATAAAATTGCTCAAAAGGACTTGTGAGTACAGTGCACGCCGTGGGTTCGCAAGCTTGATATGGGCCATACGGTATATAGCTCGTTCTTGGAGAAGAGAGAATCGGGTCCAGTTGTAATCGATATCGGCTCGGAGTTCCCGCACACGCGGTTCTGGAGACAGATTCCGCGAGAGTTTCCTGTGACTGTCACTCCCTTTCTTCTTACTTCCGAATATTGACGAGAAGAGGCTGGATTCCTTTTCCTTCTTGACCTCGCCGCTCTCGGATCTCCGATCTTTTCGCCGGTCCTCGTCCATTTTGACCTCCGAACGATCAAGCACCAGACTTTCTCGGCCTTTGATACCTCCATCAATAGATGTCTGCAGAACGTCAAGGCGGGTGTTATCATGCATTCTATCGCCCGACTTGCTCGATTTGGACTTATGTTTCTTTCCATCATCGTCCTTCTTCTTATCTTTGTCGTCTGTGCTTCGTCGCCAGTGCCAGCTCGATTTTCGACCACCCTCGGAATCTTTCTTCTCCTTTGACTTTTTGTCCGGTTTTTTGTCTTCTGCTATAGTAGGTATGATTGATAAGCTATCTGTTCTTGTGCTATTCCCAGGCAGCGCAGATGGATGCGCCGCGATATCGCTCAGTGGCGGAGGAGTATCTTTACCTTGTTTGAGTGATGCCTTTCTAGACTTGTTTCCTGTAGGCTCTGGTGGTAAAGGCATCTGTGGTGGAAGGGAAGGTGGCGGGTCATGGGAAGATTTGCGCTCCGGAATAAAGGGTTGTTTAGAAGTAATAGCAGAAGCCTTGTCTGCTGCAGACGTCTCAGTTCGCGGCGACCCATGTTGAGATACAGGGCTTTTAATGATTGGACGTGGTGTAGATTCCGTTTGCGCATCTGACCCTTGCATCTGAGTTGCTGAAGTGGTTCGAAGGCCTAGACTTGGACGTTCTTGTCGCAACTCTCGGTTAGAATCAGGATTGTCTCCGAGCTTTGTGTTTGGAGAATATCGGGAAGAGCTAATCGTGCTATCAAGGACTGGGATTGGATCAGTAGACACTCTAGTTAGTCCAAGGATGGGTGCATCAGCTATTGAAGGCGGAGATCCACATCGTGCGGCATCTGCATTTGAATCTGATTGTCTCGGGAACCGTCTTGGAACTCTCTCTCCTGCCTTCAAGCTACCCTTCCTATAAGTAGTTCGAGTCGACCTTCTTAAGCTATGGCCAGGAGGAGCGGGTGGGAGGATAGGCCGATCATCAGCGAAATTATTCAATAATGCGCCGGACGATGCTTCTTCCGCCAGTGCTTCTAAATTCGGAGGGGAGGATCTGATGCTGTCGGAACGGCTATTGACACTCGATGAATCTACTTGCCTAGACAACATCGACTTCTTTCTCCGCAGCTCCCCACCTGAGCCTTGCTGCCCACCTGGGTTAGGATCCAGGAAAGACAGCTCTCCAGATCGCCTTTTAATCTGCTCCGACTTGCTTTCAAGAAAGGATTTAAACTCTTTTGGTGCTATTCCAGGATGGAGCCGTGCTGGAACCCAGAACAATCTGGAGGTATCATCTTCGTCAGCAGAGGCGGACGGCGCGATAGACGGCATGTTGAAACTCGAGCTGAAAGATGGTAAGTCTGGGTCAAGCGCCCCAATATCCATTGACATTCTCCTGAGGGCTGCCAGGTTATTTAGCTCCTGCGCGACAGCCGCAGGGTCCGATTCATAGTCGAGGTCGTCGACTTTGAAGTTCGTGGTGGTAGTCTCCGTTGCCGCAGCGAGGCTCAACCCCGGCGACAACTCTCCGTTACTTCGCTGTGCAGCACCCTCTCGAGGGGGGGGTTGTTCTCGTAGCTGCCCATTTGTTCTCTCCCCGTCGATTGAACTCGTTCTAATAGGTAGATGGTGTAGCTGGTGCGGTGAAGGTCCGGAATTGTTCTTAGTAATCGGAGTGGTAGAAATAGTTTCGTCCTGCTGTGTTGCAACAAAACTCAATCGCTTTGAATTCCTCTTGTCGTAGTTGTCATCGTACATTTGGCTGATGGTCTCCGTAACGTGGTGGCTATCGTCGCTGATCGACAGTTGTGGAACATGCCCCCGCCGCGATGTATCTCTTCCAGTGTCTCGTCGATTGGAACCTAGTGAGGACTTTGACACGGAGAAAGAAATATTAGCACTACCATGAAGCGAAACAGCTTAGATCCGAGAGAGCTGATCGGGGTGAGGGGGATCTATTCCGGTGTGAGCACGGAACCGAGGTGTGCAGTACGGCATGGCCCAACGGCTCCTAATCAGCCATCCGTTTAAAATAAAGAGTCTTTTGTTTGGCAGGCCGCTTTTCCATAGACACATTGCGCTCAAAACCAAATCCAAGTCCACCATCTAACGTACCTTCATCATGAGGAAAGTGTAGCGTCTGGCTGCGCGATCTCAGGGAGTGTGGACAAACTCAAGCGCGGAGCGTAAGCCTTTCTGGGGATAAACCGCCGGAAATGCGTAGTAGTAAAATAGAGTGGCATCGAAGCGTCGACCAAATCGTAGGGCAGTCGGTTACGGAGGCGGGCCTCGCTCACCCATCAGGCAAAAGTGAGTGAAAGGAGGCAAGAGGGAGGATGACGGTCGGGCACACAGTAGGAAAAGAGAAGCGTCAAAAAAGCCGTGGTTGTGTCCTGTTGGGAGAGGAGTTCTTGAGTGATCGCAAGCGCAGTGAATGGCCAGGGGGGGCCTCTTGACTGGGGGTGCGGGCTGGGATCTTGGGTTGGATAGTGGTGGTACTAGGTGAAGATGGATTGTTGGCCAGCGCAAATTAGAATGCACGAACGAATGCTGGGTGAAGGTGGCACATGAGCGCAACAGAAGCTAGTGGAATGGTTGTGAACACGCTTGAAGCACCCCTTTGGTTCATCTGCTTGCACAGACTCAGGGTAGATGTGCTGAGATGGTCCCTGTTCTTGGGTGTGAACCTTGAGGAAGAAACGAGGTTAAACTACGGAGCAATGAGAGGTAACTTCTGGGATGGTTCCATAAAACAGGGCCTGACCACTCCCCTTGGTCTGATTCACAAAACCACTGCCGAATAGTCGGATGCGACAGAAAAATCATGTACAACCAACCAATAGTTATATGCCTCTGGGGTCTGGAATCATGAGCGAGCTACAGGTTTGCTCCACTGCTTTCGTCTGATAATCTTCGCCAATATCTGCACGGAATGGCAGCGAAAGAGAAAATCCCCAAACGTCCAGATTCCACCTGAAAGGCTCACCGTAACTTCATGATCCACATGTGGCTGCCATTAACCAAAGAAATCACCGCATGATCAGATCTGAATTCCCACCATAATCACTGGAGCAAACTCCCGAATGACATGTCTGCACACTACATGATCTGAGGAGAGCAGTGCAAACGTTTGAAACGGGTTGACTGATCGCCGGTGATCGTTTCCAACGGCCAAATAATCAAACCAAATAACTAGCTAAAGCATCATCTCTAATTCTACAGCCCATGCATTTGGACGGGAATGCATAAAGTATTCCTTGAGTGCTGTCATCCTGCGTGCCTTGCCTTGTCGGGAGATAATCGGTTACTAGCATCCGGGGACTGTTGGATGCCGTCTTGCGTTACGATCCCTGACTGGCTAAACAATAATATCGAATGTTAGGATGCTGTGCCGTTTCTATTAATGCCTCATTTCCCCTACTTTCCAGGTCATCGATCCCAAAGGAGAAGGTTTGATATCGCAGAATACCCTAGTGGCAATTGACTGTCATCCATGCGGCCACGCTACTGAGAAGATAGGTTCCCTATATGTCCTAAACAGTATATCGAGTCCAAGACATGATGAGTGAGAAATATAGACAAAGAATGTAATTCTTCTGCGAAACAAGCCCATATGCTACTTAACCAACTCTTAAATACAGAGAGCCAATTTGTTATGAAATACAGAGAATCATCAGCAGATACAAAAAAAAGCAGCTAGTTACATCAAGAGTAATAGATGGGAAAGTAGAATAGAATAAGTAACGCCAAGCTTTCCAAGATGAAAGATGCATCGAGATGAGAAGCGAAATGGTGTGAGTTAATGTCCCGCATCGAATATCAAACGAATATGATCCCGGAAATTTCATTGCTCATGAATATACCCATCTTCTCTCGAACTCCGACGCTGTAGGCCGAGGCAGGCGCGATAATTGGCGAAGGCAGCACGAGAAGCTGCCACTTAATCCATGACATCCACATAATTGCTGGTAGTGACATGGCGTCAGAAAATGGGCTATTAAAAGTGCCTGTATCAAGATGCATACAGATACTAGGGGAAATATTACCTTGGGAAGACCCCAGTTCTATCTCCTATCCTTCCAGTCCACCAATCCTCCTTTTTATCCGTTCGCTTCAAAATCGTGATGACGTCCCCTTTTTTAAATCCCAAGTCCCCTTCTTGATCGGGATCAAACGTAAACAAAGCGATGGCCTGATTCTTTTGGAGAGCACGCTGGGATGGCTTATTCCCAAACACGGGTTTCGGTGCTGTTGGGCGGGCTGGCTTCTTGTCGCGGTACACATAATCACCCCCGTAGGGACCCGCAGTAAAACTGCGACCGCGACTGGAGAAATGGTCATTTGGGCCAGCCATGGTGCTGTAGGTTCGGCCTAGGCGTCCAGTAGGCTGGCGATCGTAAACCTCATCAGCCCATGTATTTGCCCTTGCTGGTCTGTCATGATATTCATATTCATCGTTCATGGACGCTGATCGATTACGAGGGATACCTTCACCAAAGGCGTCGCCTCTTCTTCCTTCCCAGACGACGTCGTCATTGCGATCTTCATAAACGGGGATATCATTATACATTGTGTCGGAATATGCATTTGCGCCAGAAAATGCTCGAGACTGCAGGACTCTCATAAGAGGTTCTGCGCCTGGGGGAGGGGGTATGCTTCCTCCAAGCAATTGACTCGCAGTTACCCTGGCATTATAGAGCTTCGAGTTGGCATCTCTCCGCTCAACCAAGACACTTCCTTCCAGACTCACACCGGCGAACAAGCCCTTTGTTTTTGAATAAGAAAATATGCCAGCTACGCCTTTGGCGCTGGCTGCTCCTGCTGCTTCTGCATTCCTACCAATGGGCCCTGCGGCAATCGAAACGTTGCCTCCGAGTGTGATCGATCCGAGTTGGGAAAAGGTGCGTACAGCGGCGTAATCGTTGAGGATAAAAACGAAATCTGTCAATTCAAACCCGATCTGGCCACCAACACCTGCTCCGGCAGTTGCGATTGCAGAAGGAGCAGACCAACTGCCATCAGAAAGGCGTGCAACCACCACACCAGAGCCGAATCGGCCGGAGCCTATGAACCCCGCTTTCAAGACAGTTATGATCGCGAGGCCCTACCGCAAAACATGACAGTTAATATCGCCACAATAAAAGGGAATTAACACTCGAAGCCACCTAGATTCAAGATTATCTCAAACCTTTGCATTTGCTAAGATTTGTGGCGGAATGATCTTATCTGGCCCGAACGCCTGGCGGGGATCGACAAATGAAGCTAGGATCTTGCCAGCTTTCCTGCATTCGCCTGTTTTCCACGGTTTTAGCAGCGATGAGCATCACGAAAATATCAAAGAGAAACATACTCCTCATAGACGAGGGCAGCGGATTGTGGATTCCCAGCGGCATCGTCGATGCCGGACCTCCGGTCTCAATGGACCGTGGGGATTCCCGTAAATGGTATGCAAGGAGGATATAACCAATCGGTCAGGCGGCAAATAAAATCCAAGAGAAATGAAATCAGGCTTCGGCGTTGGCAGCGGGAGTCTTGCGGCGTAGAACGAATGCTCGAAACCTGCAGCGCTCTTCGTATCCAACAGCAGTGGAAGATGACGGAAACATCCAGCCTGGACTTTGCCGGCACTCAACACATCCTGTGGGGAAAGCCCGCTTTGGCCGTGGCTGCGCATTGGGGTCGGCCAATAGCAAACTGCCATCTTGTCCCCATGATTACGTCAGCCCCTATCGTTGCGCCTTCGCTTGCCGTGGCCCGCGTGGGTCACAGTGGCTGCTTAACTAGTTACCGGGTGTTTTGTTTTTCCGCGCTGAAGCTGCAGGTCCACTGAGGTCAGGTTCCCGACGGAAGGCCGGAGCTCCCAAAGCGGAACTGTAAGGCACTCCGTGTCCCGCTGGAAGACAGCACGCGGATTCCAAGACACTACCCGATGGGAAGTCATTGTGTGCTTCAACTAATGCAAAATGGGCACTGGTAAGTTAATAAAAAAAAGAAAAAAAAAAAAAAAAAAAAGAGAAGAAAACGCCGTGTGTTCGTCTACAAAACTGACCAAGGTTCATCGACAGTGCGAATATGTGTCTGCGGTGACGAAGGGACCGGAAAGTCCAGCTTGATAACTTCTCTCGTCAAGGGCGTTTTCGTAACAAACAAGATACAACCAGTGCTTCCTCAGGTAACGATTCCACCGACAATCGGCACGCCCGAAAGTGTAACCACCACCACCATCGTCGATACCTCAGCGTTACCACAGGAAAGAAGCAACCTTGCAAAGGAACTCCGGAAATCCAACGTGATCCTGTTGGTCTATTCGGATCATTACAGCTATGAAAGGGTGGCTTTGTTTTGGCTGCCGTACTTTCGATCCCTGGGCGTCAATGTTCCAGTCGTGCTATGTTCCAATAAGTCGGACCTGACAACGGAGGGAGTGGATCAGCAGACGGTCGAGGATGAAATGTTGCCGATAATGACAGAGTTCAAGGAGATCGACTCTTGCATACGGAGTAGTGCCAGAGAACATCGAAATGTGAATGAGGCTTTCTTCCTCTGTCAAAAAGCTGTCACCTACCCTATAGCTCCTCTCTTCGACTCAAAAGAGGCCGTGCTGAAACCAGCGGCCGTGAATGCACTCCAGCGTATTTTCTACCTGTGCGACAAAGACCACAACGGCTATCTGAGCGATAAAGAAATTGATGATTTCCAGATAAAGTGCTTTGGGAAGCCGCTGAACGACGATGACCTCGAGCATATCAAAGAAACGATACGAAGGACATACCCGCAGTCGGTGACTCCGTTGGGAATAGATTCTCAAGGATTTTTGCATCTTAACAAGTTATACGTGGAAAAAGGCCGCCATGAAACTGTCTGGATTATACTCAGGGCGTTTCAATACACCGATAATTTGTCACTCCAAGAAGATTTTCTACATCCACGCCTTGAAGTTCCCCCCTTCGCTTCGGCGGAACTCTCGCCTGCCGGCTATCGGTTTTTTGTGGATTTATTTTTACTCTGTGACAAGGATAACGACGGAGGCTTGAACGATGCGGAGCTCGCCTCACTATTTGCTCCTACTCCTGGCTTTCCAAGCTCGTGGACCGATGATTCCTTTCCGTCGTCTACCGTGCGCAACGAAGCTGGCCATGTGACTCTTCAGGGATGGCTGGCTCAATGGAGCATGACCACATTTACGTCCCCAAAAACTACGCTTGAGTATCTTGCGTACCTCGGCTTTGAATCTACCGACCGTAGCAACCCCTCAACCACGGCGGCACTGAAGATTACCAAACCACGGAAACGGCGACGGCGTCCTGGACGAGTTGGACGTAATGTCGTTCTATGTCATGTTTTAGGTGCGGCGGGATCGGGAAAATCTGCCCTGCTCGACGCATTCCTCTCACGAGGCTTCAGTCCGACTTATCGCCCTACAATCCAGCCCCGAACGGCTGTGAACACGGTAGAGCTTCCAGGCGGACGACAGTGCTACTTACTTTTGGATGAGCTTGGTGAGCTGGAGCCGGCGATACTAGAGAATAGAACAAAACTGCTGGACCAATGCGATGTCATCGCATATACATATGATTCGTCCGACCCTGATTCCTTTGCTTATATTCCGAAATTACGCGCGAAATACCCACACCTCGAAGAGCTTCCGAGCGTTTTCATTGCGTTGAAGGCCGACCTGGACCGTACGACACAGCGTGCGGAATGTCAGCCCGATGAATACACCAGCCGGCTGAACATGCCCGGGCCTCCGTTACACGTCAGCGTAAGGTGGAATTCGATCCAGGAACTATTCGTTCACATTGCAGAGGCAGCCATGGAGCCGAGTACCGCATTCCCAAGGTCGGAAGAGGATGTAGAAGGAAAATGGATGGCTTGGGGTATCGCTATTGGAGCGATTGTTTGTGCTGGAGCAGCGGCTGTTGTCATTTGGCGACGTGTGGCGGGGAGCGCCAGTTGAGTACATACTCTTTCAGCTCCAAATACGAAAGAACTCGAAAAAAATCATGACAGATCGGCCTGTGCATTTATTTGGCTATTTTAGATACCCTTGTTCTATTTACATTAATCTTTTCTCGATCGCCATCTCATCGCGTAGATGATCGTATCTAACAATCCTATTTATATTATTCCTCCTGTGCGGAGTACCTGTGTCTCGCTCGGAGATCTCCCCGCACTTGTGGGGGCAAGCGCTGTTGGCCAAGCAGGCACGTGGTTCGGGTCCCACCTGCTTCCGAGCCAGCCTACGACACTGGCACGCTTCTAACGAAGGTCGAGAGCTGCAAACACCAGGGCCTTCGACGGTGATAAGTGCATTCGAGCCTCTTATTCGGGAGCAACTAGCCATCAAGTGCTGTCTGAAGAACTCATTTTCTCCTCCCAATTGCAGATGTGCAGATGCGACTGTGCGCACTGCGCATAACCCCTTATTCAGACCGTGCTTTCGTCCGATCACCCGCGGCATCATCTTGATGCCTTGAGACCTCCAGGATAAAGTATTAAGTGGGACTGGCAAGAATCATTGCAAGATGATGTTGTAAGTCTCTTTCTCGTTCATCCTTCCAACACCGGTTCTCGATAATCGTTCGAGATCTCCACCCACTGTGATTCTTTAAGTCGTGCGCTGAGTGATTATCGCAATTGCAGTGTTACGGTCGCAATCGGTGCCAGATATTAGTCCCTGAAGCTGACAGGCCATAGCTTTTTGCCTCCTCCCCCTCCGCGCTATTCTACACCTCTCTCTTACACCGCTGGAGTTGCAAATGGACTTCCTGTTTCCTTGATTGAGACAACCAACTCCCTCACACATCCTGAGGGCGGGTGTCCCTTACAGGTTGGTGAAGGTACAACGCCTACCTTGTATCTTCAGGAGCTTGCATTTTTGTCTTTGTTTTCCTTCTTCTTGGCTCTCTAGGCCTACTTTTCCATCACTAACTATGGTATTGTGGCCGAATCTAGGAACCTACGAACTCCGAGATGACGTTCACCTTGCGACCCCACCTCCACATCCCTCCGAGCCGCTTCCAACTAATCAAAATCCTCTGGTTACCGCTCCCTCACCGCCTACGTCCGGTGTGAAGGTCTCTCCTGTCATAATCGCGCCGCGCAACAACACTCCGGATCTGTTTCGAGCAAATACTTTAGAAAGTACGCAGTCGGATCTCAGAATTATCAGAGAAAGCGAGCATGAAGGTGCGCGCTCGTCAGAAGCCAGTAACAGCAACTGTCTTTCCAGCGCTACTGCTCCGGCGTTTGGAGAAGGCACGCTGGCCCTTACAACCTCGCAAGGAAGGGATGCGCCTGGTGTGAAACGCCGAAAGCCGAAAAGCAGTATCGTCAAGAGCACCTCGACCTTCATTTCCCGCGTGATCACGAGTGACCATGCGCTGAAAAGGCTGGCAGAGAGGAGCCCAGATGGGCTTTACATTTTTGCAAATATCAACCGGGCTTTTCACTGGTTGGATTTTAGTGCTAAAAACAAGCAAGATCCACTCGCAAAGATACTATTTATGAAGGCTCATATGCTTTCTCATGATGTAAATGTGGTCACAAAGAGCGTCTCTCACCTAGATGTTATAATGGGCTCTTCTACGGGTGACATTATCTGGTATGAGCCAATGTCGCAAAAATATGCTCGTATCAACAAAAACGCAAGCATCAATGGCTCCCCTGTGATGCATATCAAATGGATTCCAGGTTCTGAAAACCTCTTCTTAGCTGCGCACTCCGATGGCTGTCTGATGGTCTATGACAAGGAGAAGGAGGATGCGCCGTTTTCTCCAGAGGAACCCAAGGGGAGTTCGGATTCCATTAACAAGAAGGCCGCTTCTAGACCAGCGTTAAAGATTTTGAAATCTGTCAATTCACAAAGTCAAAGGGCAAACCCGGTCGCATGCTGGAAGATATCGAATCACCGCATTAATGACTTCGCCTTTTCCCCCGACCGTCGTCACCTTGCCATCGTTGTGGAGGACGGTACTTTAATGATTATGGATTATTTAGAAGAGCGGTATGTTCGGCTCCCTGTGTGATAAACCGTCTTCAGAAGAGTCCTCTTGCTAAACAGCCGGCGTGGCACAGATTGCTGGATGTCTTCACGAGTTATTACGGGGGTATCATTTGCGTTTGCTGGTCGCCTGACGGGAAGTACATCGTCACTGGAGGTCAAGACGACCTTGTCTCCATTTGGTCGTTTACAGAGCGTAAAATAGTTGCTCGCTGTCAAGGTCATAACTCTTGGGTATCCTGTGTAGCTTTCGATCCTTGGCGTTGTGATGAGAGAAATTACCGCTTTGGAAGCGTGGGAGACGACCGTCAACTTCTCCTATGGGATTTCAGCGCGGCTATGCTCCATCGCCCGAAGGCGGTATCACACCCCAACCCATACCCAACGCACTTTCAATTCCAAACTGACTTGTTGGTCGTGTAGCTGCAAGCTACTGCTCGTCAACGAAACAGCATTGCTGCAAGCAGCCGTACTCGAACGGACAATAACCGCGCAGGACGTGTGAGGTCAAATTCGACTCAGACTGATAGTCAACCGGGTAGAGTAGATGCCGGGGTCACGTATCACCCTGTTGAACCACGCGCATTTACTGCACAGTTACCTCCTATTTTGGTACGAGCAAATTCCTTGGGCTACGATGTCTTCTTTAAACTCATATATTGACTAATCTTTCTATTGTATAGTCTAAGGTCATCGGTGAGGACCGAGTAGCTTGGATAGGCTTTTTGGAGGACTCCATTATGACGTCCTCACATGAAGGTATGCCTGTCCGATGTTCCGTTTCTGGCTGGAAGCTCAAAGCCCATTCGCAGGACACATTCGAACCTGGGATCGCCCTAATGAAAAAATCAGCAAGGAGAATGCTGAGGCAAGCACCCCAGAAGTCGATTGAGCTCGACGATAGTTACGTCTTGGCATACGGAATTCACCTCGCCCTTTTTTTTTGGTAGCTCGGCCGTTGGTCCAGGCCTTTGATGCATGACGAAGCTGCTTTTTTCCCATTGTCTTATCTCGAAACGCAGTACTTAGTTATTTTGGGTCACTATTTTGGATTCGTGACTCCACTAGACCTTGAATACCTTCCAGAACGTTCGAGGAATACCTCTAGAGTATTATTAGACGGAGTATATACTATCCATACCACAGCAGGACAGTCATTGATACCGAGTAGGCGCATTTGTTACTCTGTTATCAAAGTGCGTTATCGGGAGGTTTATTCGATAATAGTACGTAGTTCGGAGTAGCTGTCCGAGTATCTCGTCCACGGAATTAGTTTTTTCGAACATCATACGACTCGTGGTCTGACCATCGAAAATGGGGAACTTCTCACCCAGTTGACTTCACTCGAAGCATTGAACCCCACAGTCTATAGTAAAAAAATAAACGAAAAGAAAGGAAAAGGGTTAGCTAACGACTCCTTACTACGTAGAAGCCGGAGAGCTTGGTGCACGTGCATATTCAATGTAGCTACTTAATCACGTCAGCGACTCTCGAGCATGATATAACAGCTAAAGTCTACTAAGTACTCCGTAGCGAACTTGGTTATGATTCAGCATGCGTGTTCTTGTAGCTCATCGTTACGTGGAAGGGGAAAAAAAGGAGACAGCTCACAAAAGTATACATGGCTACGTGGAAGCGATCAAAACAGCAACCATGAAGAAGCGCGATTTCCGGCCTCTTATCAGCTTCATTTTAATGCCGTTCGGGCATTTGCGATCGGGCCGAAACATCTACATGGATCGTTTCGGGGATATTTCTTTGCAGGGGCCGCATGTGACCGGGTTAGAATTTCCTCACTCCTGAGCGGTTGACTGTTGGTTTTGCTTTTTCTGGGCCATGGAGTTCAACGAATCGGCTTGTTGAACGAGTTTTGACGGGATGATGCACCGCATTCCGGCGCTGTGTGACGACGGTTATTGATGGCATCGCATTTTTCTTCCACCCCTCCCCCCTCTCAATCCAGCTACTTCACTACCAACGGAGTAAAAAGCAGTCAACCAGTTAACTCAGACTCTGGCCGTCGAACTTAATTTAGCTAACGAGTGAGCGAAACTGGAAAAGAACAGATTCTCTTGCTGCGTGGCACGCCGAGGTCGCGATAGTAATCACGAATTTCCTCAAACGAAGGTGCCCTCCTTCGTGAGATCAACATCAAGGTTAGCAAGCATCCCAGTAGCATGTGACTGTAATCTCGACCGGCCGATTTTCATAGTTAATCAGCAGGAATTGATTAATTTGTCCTCATCTCACGAGCAAGGAACCTCGGTCGATCGATCCACAAACATCAATCTTGTTTCTGTAGGGTTTGTCGATTGTGCGAAACCAATCCAACCTTCTGCAGTTATACTTCGGAGTCCGGACGGGGGTCAAACGGTGTATGGACTGGACATATGTACGGAGTACACTTCCCTGGGAATAGACGTCGTCACGGAGCATGGGCATCGCTGGTTCTCTCTAAAATTGCACTTCATGCAGAAAAGCCGGCACGAGCCAAGATCGATTTGCTGTGTGCATTGTGGATGTTCCGCCTGGAATGCGGGCTTGGCCGATTGCTGGCTGGGATCTCTTACATAGCAACCAAACACACGAATAGCATTTCTCCGACCTCCGTTTGTGGGAGCTGATAACAGCGGGAAGGCTGTGAGGGACCCTGGTGAAGTTCTGGCCCTGAGCCAGTATCTTTCCTGTGAAGAAAGATGTGACTATGCCTTTCTCTCGGTCGACGGTCGCCCAGGGTCTCGAATTTGGGGCGCTCAGGCGGAATGCTGGCTTGGCCTCAGGGAAGAGAAGTTGACTGCCGCCTCTTGGCCAGAACCCCACCACGATGGATCAAAATGTCAATCGTCACGAGCTAAATGCTTATTGGCATTTTTAGTGCATTGTTCCCTGGGCTCCGTTCTCGCTATTTTTACGGTTAAAGCGGATCCCGGCGAGCATTGTCAAGAACTATGTGATGTGAGTGGCTGTGGGCATCGATCAGCGGGCGTCATGGCACGGGGGTAGAAATTTTTTTTTCCCACTGAGCGTGACTAACAGGACCAGTGGACTTACGTAGTGCACTGACAAGGGAGGGTTCGCAGAGACAGGGACTGTTTGTCACTAACACACTCTCTCCCCCTTCTGGTCCTCTTTTTCTATAGATATGTAACTAGCAGCTCTCATTCACTCGTCGGTCGTTTGCCCAAACTAAGTTCGCCTGGCACCGTCATCGCAAGCCACTTCATCCCAACTGCCAACTGCCATCTGCCATCTGCCATCTGCCGCCGCCGCTGCTTCCGCTCCTGCCAAAAACGCCTCGCTGGGAAAAAAAACCCGTACGCCTCCTTCCTTATTGCCGCTCCTGAAGCCCACCGCGCATTGTTGTTGTTGTTATTCCTTTTCGAGGCAGATCCGCCCGGCCAACCGCCGTTCCTTCCTTTGTTGGTTCGAAATTCCCCTTGTTTTACTTCCTGCTTCATCCGGCAAACTCCTCCCCCTCTGCCTAAGTCACCTCGCCAACGCTCCATTCATCACCTCAGTTTCTTGCACATTTGCCCTCGAGCTGTCTCGGGGAATCCGTCCACTTGCAGAACGCAAGCTCTCCCTCCATCTGTTGCCTCTTTCTCGCCTTGATGCGGTCAGTGCCTGTTTAACATGGCTCTCAGCTTCTTTGGCCATGCGAACCATGCCAAATACTTCGATATCAGGTGAAGATTATAGCTCTCATTGCCTCTGCTGCTGTCCCAGCGTCTCAGCTGCAACACCTCCTCAATTGACAAACAATAACAATGCCGCTGACCGCTGGAGGATAGGCTTGATGATGACTACATCGTCTTCCGTGGAAGCCCGGATGAGGCTGCCAGTGCGCACCTCAAGGGTACGTTGGTCCTGTGTCTGTCGGAACCATTGACGATCAAACACCTAAAGCTACAGCTGGTGGGTGTCTCCCGTATCGGGTAGGTAGACAATTGGACCCAATTTCAACCCTCCTTCTAGACTCGATGGCCTCTTGTTGACCATTCGTGCGTTCAAGGTGGACTATGGTGACCGGATCGCTCACTGGGACGAGAAAACAAGGGAAAGAGCAAGTGGTGTTTGAAAAGACCTGGAAATTCCGAGATGCTGGTAAAGGGAAGACAGAGATCATGCCCGCAGACAACTATGAATACCCGTTCGATGTCATCCTGCCAGGATCGCTTCCGGAAAGCGTTGAAGGTTTGCAAGATTCGTGGATCACCTATCGTTTGAAGGCAGAAATTGGGCGAAAATATGCAAAGGATATCCATGCAAGAAAGCCCCTGCGCATCATTCGCACGCTGGATCCAAATGCACTAGAATTGATACATGCCATAGTGAGTGATTGGTAGACTCTGAAGCTCGAAAGGTAATGCAAGCTGACAGCCTCTATAAGTCCGTTGAGAACATATGGCCGAATAAACTCGAATATTGTCTATCCGTGCCAAACAAGGCTGTTATATTCGGCACTAGTGTTACCGTAAATTTTCGGCTCGTCCCACTCCTTAAAGGCCTAAAGATTGGTACCGTTCTGTCTCAATTCATCGAGACTCATGAACTTGCCATACCTAGCGATGATCCCTCACAACACCGGAAGACCTCAAAAACATCCAGGACTATCTTTTCTGACTCTTTAGAGGTAGATTCTGAAAGAGACTTGCAGGTTTTGGACGAAGAAGTTGAAGGATATAAATTCTCCAAAACCTGGGATATGCCCAAGACCTTACGCAAATGTTTGCAAGATACAGATGCAAACGGAATCAGGATCAGACATAAGCTGAAATTCAGAGTCCAACTTCAAAACCCCGATGGACATACTTCAGAGGTAACTTCACCGAATTCTACCACCTACGCCTTTGCTAATCGCGGTTTGAATTATTAGCTTCGCGCAACTCTCCCGATTCACGTCTTTATTTCCCCGAATCTTCGAATAGATGAGCATAATAACGTGATCAACGGGAGTCGGGACACTGCGCGCGCTATCGATCTCTATTTCTCCCAACAAGCACCTCCGCTGTACGGCGAACATCAGTTTGACCTCCTTTACGGCGACTTAGATCCGAATGGCTATTTCACCCCTGCTGATTACAGTGGTGTGACTTCACCGTTTGGCTCGCGAAGCAGAAATATGTCTGCTGAAAATCTTGCAACCCTACCAGGACGTCGGCCAGAAGATCTTTGTGCGCAAGCACTGCATAGTCGATTAGCTGATCTCCATGTCAACGGATCGGGCCCTACAACACCGCCACCCGAAGCCCTCGATACCACGGGAGATGAGCTCCATCGGCGATCCTTTACTAATACGGATCGTCTTCCTTCGATAATGAGCGAACTTGATGCTGCGTCGCCCGAGGGTTCAGGACGTTCGTCGGAAGAAGGCCATGTTCCATCCGGCGCTGCCACACCTCACCCACAAATCAGAGAAGTAGAGGACCTATGTCGCGTGCCTAGTTATTCCACGGCTCTTCGATCCAGCGCGAAGACATTTTACGATGGGACACTCCCGGATTATCATGCAGCTACTGCGTCTGGAGCGACTCCTCCACGAAGAGTTCACCCAACGCATTCTCGAAGAACTAGTCGGCTCTTTGGGCTTCTCGAGACACCGGTTCGATCCAACTTTTCGCTTCATAATCGGAGTACGAGCCGTGGTGATTCGGACACAGAAAATCAACTTCGGATAATACAAGCGCGTGGTAGAAATTAACCCGACCATCCCCTCGAAGGTTTTTGGTGTGTTAAAATTCCAATGCTCTTTCCCTTCATCCCTTTATTCTTTTACGGTCCTTCTCTCTATACCCTTTTTTCACGATTACTCACGAATATACGATTGACTTGCATTGCTATGGCGTTGAGGCAATTGTTAATGACCTGGGTCGGGTCACTGAAGATAGAGCCCATCCAACTATGCTTGCTTTTAACAAATATGGGTGTATTTGGCGTGATTGTTATTCGGGGAACTATCGAGGTGTTTATTCGCATAGATGTTAGGGGGATGAATGGTGAGTAGGCTTGGGCTGGCGTGTTTTCGCGCAACTCTTCTTCTGGCAAACTCTTGTAGCATGGGAGCAAGCAGGAAAATGGCCATTGTGGATGGGAGACCCAATGTACAGTACATTATGTGTAACTATATGCCAGTACATAGCAACACCCGTCATAACAGTTAACTACCATTGCTAGTTTGCCCCCACCTGGTATTGCTTCATTAACTGGTAGTGAAATTTCCAAGCGCTGTGGACTGAAGCTTCACAGCCACGGTGGCCCTGACGACGGAGCATGTTATATGCAGATGGACTCGGCACGACGGCCTGCTGTGACCTCATCTCCAAGGACTAGGAACTCGAAACCATGATCTGAGGCACGGCATTCCTTTCTCGGCGGCAAAAAAAAAAAAAAAAGGGTTGCGTATTACTTTATATAAAATCACATGTTGATCGCCCCAATTCGGGCTGCTCAGTTCCGCCAGATGTGCTGCGATTGTGGACAATTTACCAGCAATGTCCTTGAGGCCCAAAGGGATTGCGGGGAAACTATTGATTCTTGGGGACCCAAGAAGACTAGAGGAGCCCCTCCACCAGGCCACAGATCGCTCTAGCTTCGACGCTGCTGCAGATTTTCCCATTTTCTCGCCTCTTCTCTCATTTCTCTCTCTCTTCCTCTCTTCCTCTTCCCCCCTTTCTTGATCGTTTTCATCATCTTCAGGTCTTTTGGTAGTGAGCAGCACGGCTCGGTGTTTTGAAGGGTTTCTCGATTGATCATCTTCCGGTTAGATACTTCGGAGAGCCCTTGGAGCCGATCGTGATAGTTAAAATCAACTAGTCCGCTGCTTAGGCGCTTGGTGAGAGATTACCGCGAGCTAGGATGGCAGGCCTTCCTCATCGTTCAGGGACGGTGAAGACCACCACGACGATGGGCTCGAGTGATGACGAGGTCATTGGGGACTCTGATTTGGGCGGTGTGAGTTCAAGGCTATATTTCTTGTGTTTTCCTGACTTTCTCTCCTCTCGTTCGCCTTCTCAGGTCCTTCCTCCCAGCCCGTCTTATGGTTTTGCCGGTCGTTTCATGTTTGTTTGCTGTGCGTGGTGGGGGATGGGACCGATTGGGCTGCCAAATTTTTGGGGCTCGATTTGCGATCAGGGATCCGTTGGGTCGGGTTGGGAGGAAGAGCCTGACACCTGGCGCTTCAACCGTCGCATTCACTGTGCCCTTGGTCTGTGTGCTGCGAATTTTTTTTAAAAAAAAAAAAATTTCTTTGATTCCGGATTGCTGTTTATGTTCTCTCCTTTCTTTCTTGGGCACTAAGTATTCGTTTTGATTGTGAATTTTTCCTACCTTCCCCCTCCCCCAGCATTGACTTCACACGGGGGAATATGCCTTTATGGAACGTGGCTGCTCTGTTCTACGAATCGCTGCTTGAACCATCCTGAACCTTTCTTTGAATTAACCTTCATCCCCACTTGATGATATTTTCTGCCACTTTGCATCTTGGGGGAAAAAATGCCATTGACTAACTATCGCGGCCTCGACGACCTTTGGTGGCGTGTGCTGAAGACAACCTCCATCCTAGTCGAGAGATTACGAGCATGGAAACACATGGTCGGATATCTCGAAAATTATGTCAGCACGACGCAAAAGGTGCAAAAGGCGCAATCCAAGGAATTCGAGAAGATCTTGAAGGTTGGTTTCACCAGTTCCGAGATGCAATCGTGGAAGCGCATAACATTTCATTTTTATGCTTACTGGTGTAAATTTGATAGACTGTTTCCGAACCCCTAAGGGAAGCGCATCACTTTGTTCAGGGTGAAGGTGGAGTAGCTGGGTTGTTTGAAAGCTTACGGGTCAACACTCGGGTATGGACATATTTAATTTCGCACTTGGTGGAGGATCTTTTTGTTGATCTGAGTGTGCGTCTCAGGGCATTGCGGACATGTACCTCGAAACCGAGAAGAGCCTCAAGTCTACTGTCCTCCCGATTCTCGAAAAACTACACGGCGAGATAAAAGCCAAATCCAAAGAACTCCATAATGGAGCTACTAAGGCTGCGAAGCAGGTCGCCAAGGCGCGCACGACTACCCAGAAGCATATCGAACTTCTCGGGCAATATACTGCGGCCTTCGATTCCGCGACAAAATCAAAACAGGAGGCCTTGAATGACCCGTACATCCTGTCGCGCGGGGTGGTATACCGCCTGAACAAACAAATCATCGAAGAGAATAATAATTTGAAAGAGCTCCTCGCCATACAGAACTCTTTCCAACAATTCGAGGCGCACATCCTGGAAACAGTGCAGGATGCGCTCAATCGGTTCTTCCAATGTATGGGTGCCCAGTCCGATCGGCAGCGGGCCATGTACGCCGACATGGTCAGCACAGGACAGCAGATCCCAACGGACTTTGAATGGGCGAACTTCTTTGAGAAAAACGATGCTTCTCTGATCAACCCCAACACTCCGCCGCGCTCTATGTCTAATATCACGTTTCCCAACCAAGAGCACCGCTCGACAAAACCCCTAGTGGAAGGGACGATACAGCGCAAATCTCGTGCCGTCATGAAAGGATATAGTGACGGATATTATGTGGTGACACCAGCAGGCTTCCTTCACGGGTTCAAGGACAATGACGACCTCCGTCACGATCCCCAGCCTGATATCTCTCTCTACCTGCCCGACTGCACCATCGGCAACTTCGATGGGCTCAAATTCTCCGTCAAGGGGAAGGATGTGTCCGGAGGCAAAGTCGGAAACGCCTTCCATATGACCTCTGAACTACACTTCAAGACACATAGCAAGAACCAGATCGATGAATGGGCGAGTGCGCTCTCTAGCTTCGTTGGATCATCCTCGGCCGGCGGCAGCCAGCCAACCAGCCCCACGGTGCAGAGGAGCGCGAGCACCCCGCGGTCCCCGACGGCGACGGAGTCTGCTGTCATGCCACCGTTGGCTGAGAGTAAGCCTGTTGATGAGAAGGCGGATCCTGCGGCGGCGCCCGCGCAGAAGCAAGAAGATGGGATTGTTGCCGTGGATAAGGGGGAGAAATCCGCATAGAGAAGGCTGTTGAACCATTGCCCGATCCTTTGCATATCACCCATCATTATTATTATCATTATTATTATTATTATTATTTTCGGTTGTGCATCTTGGATTTCTGTCTATACCCTTTGGATATATTGCCCAATGCCTCGTCGATCTCAAATTGGGTTGATGATATATGTTATACCATGAATCTCGGCATCTGTATTTCGGTTGACATCTATCTTCTACTATTAATTTATCTCTCTTGAGGCGTCTCCCTAAGCGTAGCACGCTCTCAATTGCTGTGTTCTTCATTGTCGTTGCGGATGTTGAGCTCTTCTCCATCCTCCATACCCACCGAAGCGCTTTTATCGTTCCCGGAAGTTCAAACTGTTACGTCATAGCTAACTAGCTGTCCGATTAGTTACCTAGTTAGGTTGCCCCGCATCAAATTTCCGCCTTTTGCTCAGCTAAGTTAACCGACCCCGCTTCAAGGGGTTAATAAAAGCCCCGGAAGTCCCGATAAAAATATACCAATTGAGATCACTTCCACTCGACCGACTTGATCGCATAGCTCTATCGTTGGCAATCCAACAATACAAGCCCATCATGACGACCGATCCATCTACGTATAAGCTGAATCGTGAGTTTGAACAGTTCCCCCAAGCGCAACATGGATGGTTTGATGAAATTGCCAGGATATACGGAGTATCTAAATGGCTAACCCCCGTATTCCCTACTTGCATAGATACTATGATTCGGGTGAAAGACCCGCAGAAGTCACGTATGTTTTCTCTTTGGTCGTCCAATTGAAAATAAAACATCCTAGGTTCCAGTCATTTACGCTAATTTTTTTTTTTTTTTTTTGCTTTTGACAAAAAAGTCGAATTCTACAAATTTCTCGGTTTCTCTCAAGTCAACAAGCTCGACTTTGAAGAAGCGAAATTTTCGCTATACTTCCTCGCTTACGACGGGCCCGAGTCACTCTCTGGCGAACGGCATTGGACGGACAGGAACGGCGTCCTCGAGCTGACTCACAACTATGGTACCGAAAACGATCCCAATTACACCGTGAACAACGGAAATACCGAACCTCACCGTGGATACGGGCATATCGCTATCTCGGTGGATAATATCGAGCTGGCGTGCAAGAGATTGGAGGATGCGGGATATCCGTTCCAGAAGAAATTGACAGAGGGGAGGATGAGGAACATCGCCTTTGTTAAGGATCCGGATGGGTACTGGGTGGAGCTCATTCGACAGACGGAGGATGAAAAGGTCTCTGGAGCGGTCACACAGACGAATCCAAAATTATATCGGTTCAACCACACCATGCTCAGAGTCAAGGATGCGGAAGTGAGCTTGAAGTACTATCGCGAGGTGATGGGGATGGAGCTGATGAGAGAGCTCAAGAATGAGGATGCAAAGTTTAATTTGTACTTCTTGGGGTATCCGAAATCGAATCCACCAGCCAGAACGGACGCATTGAACCCAGTGACCGAATGGGAGGGAGTGCTGGAACTTACCTGGAATTATGGAACTGAAAAGCAAGAGGGGAAGGTCTACCATGACGGCAATTCGGAACCACAAGGCTTCGGACATATTTGTATGACTTGCGGATCAACCTTTGCTTGATGGTGAACTTTGGGCTAATGTTCTTGGTTTGTCAGGTGTCTCTGTTGACGATCTCGACGCCGCATGTGCTCGTTTCGAGTCTCTTAACGTGAACTGGAAGAAACGCCTCACTGACGGACGAATGAAGAATGTTGCATTCGTTCTCGACCCGGATGGATACTGGATTGAGGTCATTCAGAACGAAAAATTAAAGAGCCGGAGCAAGTGGTGATAACTATCGGTAAGGCATCTTTGAGTGTGGGCCATATGCGGCCCACATGCGGCCCCTCCAAGGCATCTAACCTGAAGGCCTTCGAGCTGCGTGTCATGGAAAAGCCCAGTCGTCGTCTGCCGGGATCAGGGCGCAGCAGTATATGTAGAGTACCTAGGTTATCCCTAGCTGGAATCTGTAGCAATAACAGCAGAAACGGCGTGTAGAGCTAATATAAGCCATAATTAGTGATATGAATGAAAGCCTTCGATGGAAATAACACACATCCGAGAGCTGAAGATAACTATCGGATTTGATTAGTCGGTGGTACGAAATAACGTGGAGGCGGTGGTCCCGATGTTCCGTTCATCTCATCAAACAGAGCAAGGGGGAGGCAAAAAAAAGGCCCTTTCCAGCCAGGCAGACAGTAAGGCAGACTGATCTCTGGCGAAAAATTTGAGACAATCTCGCGCGAAGTCGAAGATTTCCTCCGTGCACGCGCTAGCTGCCGAGGGAGCACTAACCTCGCGCTGAGATGCAAGTAATTGAGCTTTAGTGTGGAGAAGAGTTTCAGCCTGGGCCAAGGGGAGTCAGAGATGAGGAATTGATCAGACGATCGAACATTCCCGGCGCTCAGTCCTCCTGCGTCGGGATTTGGGCCTCACTTGGCGGCTTCCGAGGTGATCTCGCGAGAATTCCTGCCGAATGGCGGCTCCGTCGCTTCTATCCGGAACTTCGAAACAACAGAGCCCTAGATTAGCGTTGCGGTTCGGAACGCGTGGAGGAGGTCGACCCGTTCCGCAGAAACACGACGGACGAACGGGGATGGCGCGATGCCAAAGCTAAGTTACTTGGTTGGTTAATGCAGTGCAGCTCTTCCTGGAGCTCTGCTGACTAACTGGCCGCCCCCCGCGCGCCTGACAAATCCCGCGTGGGCCAAAAAAGTAACTTTCGAGACGAGACGCGAGACTGGAGACTGGGCACACCACCCAACCCTCGCCTGTTGAGACCTCGCCCCAAGTGGTATTGGCCCGCTCGCAGCTCTTGTTTGATCCTCCTTCAAGGTGCGTATGCATGGCCTTTTGCTTTTTCCTGTCATCGCGTGTCGCATGTCCCCTTTTACGAGAAAACTCCCTCCCTATCTTCCCTCTCCCGTGCGCACGTGTACCCCTGCCAGATTCTGTATGGCTCGCATGCTGCCTCTGCTGCCCTGGGTGGGATGGAGGTTGATCTTGTTTCTCTCTGATTGGCGAGGCAGCCGTGGTGGTGTTCTGCCATTCCAGGCCTCTTTTTAAGCAGCTCGAACGCTGCTCAAATCGCCCAACTAAGATACCCACATGGATGCCTTACTTGCTGATCCGAGATCCCAACCGTATCAAACTATTCATTCACCCCCTTGTATGGATGTCCGGACATACATACTACAGCCTTCGTGCACCCCTCTCTGTCTCGTGGCCAACTACCTAAAACGAGCAGTCGGCTATCATCCTCACTCTTCTTGCATGTTATACCCCAACAGACGGACTTTGATGGCTGCTTTCCCCGCATACCTTCTCTCAGTGCCCTATAGAGTGAATGCTCAATGGCTGAATCAATCTGTTCCGGAGCTGCAGTCCCCGTTACTCGTCCCTCAAACCAAACTCATCACTCCTCTCCTGCCTCTACCACCTCGGCTACAGCTCCTACCGCCTCTACCACGCCTCAGCCCTGGTTCCTGTGTCAAGATCCGCATTTCCTTCCAGCCTGGGCACGGAGTCACGTGAAATACGCCCAGAACCTTCTGGAGTGCGACGACGAACCCATCGAATACGACCACGACGAGCTCGACTACAGGGATAACTGCTTTTTTTTCCCCGAAGATTGTGTCTACCGTCCTCCGCCGTCACAGCCGGAGAACCCTCTGTTCCTGAGGGATTGGGTGAGTAACCCAGATGGTACAGAGACAGACTTGGACCACGAGGATAATACCGACGACATGGGCTCCGCGATGCTGTCTAATATCAAGATGCTGGATACGTCAGCGCTGACGGATCTGCTGGAAGATAATTTGTCTCCCCCTGAGATTACTTCTATATTGTAGGTTTGTCCTGGAAGATCTCACTTTTGTTCAGCCGACATGCACTTTTTTTTTTCTCCCTAAATGGATGCCTACGGAGCAGAAGTAAACATCAAATTTTTAACATTCATTCTCATATTTCCTATTTAGTATATTCGCCACTAATGGAGCCGTGTTTGCGCATGCCTCTTCTCTTACCCAGCGGCGAGTTAGGAGCCTCTGTGCAACATATGGGGCTGCATACAAATCTTACGCCGTGAGCCACTCAAACGGGAATCTAACTGGTATAAATCCTGCGAACCACCCTTCATCATTCGTGACCACCCCGTCCGTCCCGCTCGGAGATGTCGGCAGCATTATTTTCGAGCTGGAAGACCACGTCGCGGTGGTGACAAAAATCGCAGATAAAGTACTTCTCGCGGTCGTTGGACCAACCCGAATCGACCGCAACACGACGTCATCCTCTTCGAACAGTAGCAGCAGACGCGCCGCCTTGATGAGTTCCGCCTCCAGCGACATTGAACGAACCCTCAGACCCGTCGATTCCTTCCCTACGGTCCACGACCATCTCACTAGCTCATCGCAAGAACAAGCCGGGAAGCTCGCATCATCGGCTCCAGCGCCAGGCGGCTCTCTCTCCATCACCCAACTTTGCTCGCGTGCTGGGGATTCCAGCAAGACCACGAACGAAGATGCTGACAAATCGCTCCGTGCGCAGTGGGAGATTGACAGGACCAGTGACCTGAAAAGGCTGGCTAGTCTAAATCTCAGCTCGCCGCCGACGATTTTACTCGCGTTAGAATCAAAGTCTGCCGCCCTGGGGAGATTCTTGAGGAATAAGCTGGCCGATTTGGAGAGCCCAGAAGACTTTTAGGTGTCTCCAACAAGAGGGAGTTAGATTTTCCGAGCAGGATTCACATGGTGCGACCTGTTTAAATTTCTTTGACTACTATAGTATCCGGTTTACACTTAAATCTAGGAGTGAGAAGGGTACGGTTTTGCTTAAAATTTGGTTTACGGAGTTAAAGCGCACACACTCTCACTCACAACACATGTATTTTAACGAGCAAGCAAAAAGACGATAACAACTCTTTCTTTCTCCTTTTCTTTTTTTATTTTTTGGCTGTCCCATAGCTTCTACAGCTGTGATGCTGCTGTGGGTAGCTTTGCTGTTTAACCGTGATAGGCATACACCCCAATGTACTCTGTGGGTACCGCGGATCTAGGAAGTGGTCCTGAAAGGGTAGAATTGGTAGAGAGAAAAGAAGTGAATATGTTCAAGAATAATTTAGGCGGGAGATACGTTAAAAAAGCATGTAGAAAAAGCATTCAAAATTGATTTTAAGCTGTGAAAAGTGATTCTCGCCATGCAAAAAAGGTAGTTGACAGGACCACAGCTGGAAGCTTCTCCAAAGCTCTTCAGCGGGTTGTCGGCCGTGTTCCCCAATAAAAACGGCGGGAGCGGGCTATTTTTGGGGATCGCACCGCGGTTAATCTCGCCGGCGGCTTCCCCGCAGCCTTTAACGCCGTTCCCCGCAAGTCCGAGGAACAATACGGGGTGCCGCCCATCAACCACGTCTTCCGCCAGTCCCTCTCAGCCGCACTCAGCCCTTCCCTTCTCCTCCTCTCTTCAAATCAAGTCAAATCCTCGACTGACCGACATCCAAGTATCCATCTCCTCTCTTCCTTTGCTTCAGACATCATGGTACTCCCCGCGATCCGAGTGGCGCCCACCGCGGCCACCAGGGCCTTCAATCTCCTCCGCACAGTCCAGTACACTCACCCTCCAAGCTGCCCTTGCCATTCGAACCCTGCACATCACCATCACCATCAGCCGTCCGTATCGTCCATAGCCAAACATGTCCGGCACATGGCAACTCCAATTGACCCATCCCATCAGAAAGAATATGCGTTCGAGATGGCCGCGTCCAGCATCCGCTTCGGGCCGGGCGCGACAAAAGAAGTCGGAATGGATTTTAAGAACTTGGGCGCGAAGAGAGTGATGGTGGTTACGGATCAGAATGTTAAACATCTGGATGCAATGAAGAATGCGATTGAAGGATTGAGCAAGGAGGGCATTCAGTTTACGGTGTATGACAAAGTGAGAGTGGAACCAAAGGATTATTCGTCAGTGCCCATCCCCCACATTGCTATATATTGATTGCTGGATAGGAAGCTGACGAAATATGTGTAGGGTCAAGGATGCTATAGCCTTCGCTAAGCCATATAATGCGGATGCATTTTTAGCCGTTGGTCAGATTTTACAGCTTTCGTGGGATGCTTAACTGGAACCACTGCTAATTTATATTGTGCAGGTGGCGGGTCCGTCATTGATACTTGCAAGCTCATGAATTTGTATTGCGTCTATCCAGAGGCAGACTTCCTTGACTTTGTCAATGCGCCGCTAGGCAAAGGTCTTCCTATTGTCAGGCAACTCAAACCACTTATTGCGATTCCTACAACTGCCGGGACAGGAGCTGAGACCACAGGGACAGCGATCTTCGATCTTGTGGATAAAAAGGCCAAGACGGGTGTTGCCCACCGGAATATGAAACCAACTCTGGGTATCTGCGATCCTCTGAACACGAGAACCATGCCTTCGGCCGTTCATGCATCTTCTGGGCTTGACGTGCTCTGCCACTCCCTCGAATCGTGGACCGCAATTCCCTTCAACCAGCGCACCCCCCGACCAACAAATCCTATCAACCGCCCAGCCTATCAAGGAGCTAACCCAATCTCAGACATTTTCTCCCTTCAGTCGCTAAAGAGTACGGTAAAATACCTCCCACGGGCCGTCAAGGATCCAGAAGACCACGAAGCTCAAAGCCAAATGCTTCTCGCTGCAACTTTGGCCGGTGTCGGTTTCGGGAATGCCGGCGTACATTTATGCCACGGAATGAGTTATCCTATCTCAGGGCAGAATCCCGGATATAAGCATAAGGGATACGAGGTGGACCACGACATCATCCCGCATGGTGTGTCCGTCGCGGTTTCTGCCCCAGCTGTCTTCCGATTCACTGCCGCGAGCAACCCGGATCGTCACCTGGCCGCTGCTGAGATCTTTGGAAAAGATATCTCAAACGTCAAGCGCGAAAGTGCCGGAGAAGTTCTCGGCGAGGCAATCGCTGAATTCTTGATTGGCCTAGGAGACCAGCCGCGAGGATTGAAGGACCTAGGATTCAATAACTCGCAAATTGACATGTTGGTCGAGGGCACTATACCCCAGAAGCGAGTGCTAGACCTTGCACCAAACCTCAGCAAGGAACTTGAAGCTGAAAAGGACGAATTGCGGAAATTGTTTGAAGCGTCGATGGAGTACTAGAACAAGATAGCGGATTTCGGAATAGCGGGCATTTCAGCGTGTCTTTGGAGATATCTCTGTGTACGCATATACACCCAAGCATGTGAGTTAGGTACTATATAACTATCGGTCTATTATTTTGCGTCTTTTCGAAGTAGCAGCAAGTCAGCCAATATCCGGAGCTAAAACGCAGTTTGTTCTCGAAGCCAACCTGTGGGGCCATGCCACAACTGTCTCTTTATCACCTTGAATGACCGATCACTTGCTCTTGCAGTAGCACTGCGATATCGGACAGTTTTAGCCTGGCAATGTGCATTTGGTGGCTTGGGCGCTGTGAGCTGTCCGGGTGTTATACGTTTCAACCCGGCTTTACGGATCTCGATGTCCACATTCTTCGTATAATTACTTAACCAACTAATAATTAGTTTTTGCGTCAACAGGTAAGGAGTGGCAATTGTGAGTGTTTCCGCCGCAAGTATTCGAGAATATCGGCGCCGGATCCATCATGGATGGTGTTATCCAACAGGGCTATGCGCCACCACACCGTATTGACAACTGAACAAGGTTAACTAGCTACTTACTGGTTCAGGAACCTAAAAGGCTCCTCGATTGCTTCGGATACCAGGAGGGGGGATCAGAACAATTTACTCAAGATTTGCGGGACTGGTTCTCAGGTTGTGGCGACCGGACAGTATTGGCCCAGCCTGAAATCAGCCTCTCAGCAATTTCGTCCTGAGACCAAGAAAAAGATGAATGCCGTCACTTGGTGGACAGCCTCGTATCAAGTTCTTTGGTCCAGCCTGCATCGTGTATTGAACGAACATTGCAGGATTCGGTGATCATCACTAGCCGCTTTAACGAATGGGACTGAAGCGGGCGAATTGCATCTCGCGAACCTTGAGAGGAAAAGCGGACTTGATCTCGGGGTCATTCGCGACTTTTTCATGGTAATTTCGAAGATATTGGCATGTACACTCCGTACATTTTTTTCATTTCGTCACATAGCTCCTCTCTAGGGGAAAAGCGGCATCATCGGGAGCTGTGCTCGTTCGGGAGTAAGCAAGTGAGATAACTTGCCTAAACTCTCCTGAAGCACACTGACTTCAGCAAGCCGCAGCATTTCAATGTCGCCGGTTGCGGCTACGTTGTACTCCCGGGCTGGACAATCGGGGACAGCCGTGGTGACTCGATGATGATCGGCTGAATCTGATTTGCTTTCACTCCAGTGGGTTGTCAGGACTGGCTTCTGGGTTTCCGTGTCATGCAGTGACGCTGTTGCTTCTACTGGGCGACGGTGGCACCTCAACGCAGCCTGTGCACCCCGGAGTTGTTTGGTGGCTCTGCTGCGTGGGAGTTTTGACAACTATCATATACGTTTTGCATTCCTCTCTCTCTCCCTTTCCCTTTATTTCTCTCCAATTCTCTCAGACTGCCCTCGCATCCTTCAAATGTCTTGAAGTGCATTACGGGACGACTGACCTTCCTTCTTTGCCTTGCTACAGGACACACCTGTCTAGTTAGAGATCCCATTCACACTGACAAAACTAGAAACTTGAGTTGCCCCGCCATTGTCTTGCATTGGACACAATGCCTCTTCTCAGCTCCGAGGGCCCCCGCCCCAAAGTCCTGGTTCCTGAGAAGCTGTCTCCGGACGGACTGGCGCTTCTCAGGGCAAGTACGGACGTCCATGAGAAGATGGGATTAACCCCTGAGGAGCTGTTGACAATCATATCCGACTACGACGCCCTGGTTGTTCGGTCAGAGACCAAGGTGACCGACGAAGTGCTCCAAACTGCGAAGAACCTAAAGGTTGTTGCGAGGGCTGGCGTAGGAGTGGACAATGTTGGTGAGTCTATTCAAGCCTTCTGGCTCCAATGGACCCTTTGCTTATCAGTTCTTTGACAGATGTTGATACTGCAACGAAGCTTGGGATTGTGGTCGTAAATTCTCCGGCTGGGAATGTGGGTGCTGCCGCAGAGCATACGATTGCATTGATGCTGGCGACGGCCCGGAAGATTTCGCATGCTTGTTCCAGCCTCAAAGGCGACAAGTGGGAGAGAAGCAAATTTGTTGGCGTCGAAGTTAAAGGGAAGACCTTGGGTATTATTGGGTTGGGAAAAGGTATTCGACTACGTCCATCGTACTCGTTGGCTGGAAATGATTTTACTGATATTATAATGCTTCAAAGTCGGTATGATCGTGGCCAGATTGGCGAAAGGACTTGGAATGAATGTGAATGCCATGGACCCTTATGCTTCTGAAGCGGTTGCGTCTTCGGCATCTATCACGTTGGTGTCCTCGCTCTCTGAGCTGTTGCCGACCGTCGACTTTCTCACTATCCATACTCCACTGATTGCATCAACAAAAGGTATGATATCTACCGCGGAGCTTGCAAAAATGAAACCAGGTGCTCGAATACTCAACGTAGCGCGTGGAGGCACAATCGACGAGATTGCGTTATTGGACGCCCTTGAGTCTGGACATATCGCTGGTGCTGGCATAGACGTTTTCACCTCAGAACCACCAAAGCCAGGTTCCAGTGCTTCTCGGCTCATCGCACATCCAAACGTAGTTGCTACTCCTCATCTTGGTGCTTCGACTGTGGAGGCTCAAGAGAATGTCTCCATTGACGTTTGCGAGCAGGTCCTTCAAATCCTCGGAGGAGCCCTACCTCGCAGTGCTGTCAACGCTCCGTTGATTCTTCCAGAGGAGTATAAGAAACTGCAACCGTTCGTTCGTCTAGTGGAGAAAATGGGCAGTTTATATACCCAGCATTACAGTTCATCTACCTCCTTTGACGCTAACCGGAGTACATTTGACCTGATTTATGAAGGTGACATTGCTGGAATCAACAACACGAAACCACTGTTTGCTGCCTTTATCAAAGGGCTTATGGCTACTATCAGCAGCACTAATGTGAGCATTGTTAATGCTGAACTGGTTGCGCGGGAACGTGGTATTGTCGTGAATGAACAGCGTTCCCGCGACCCTTCCACCCATTCATATTCCTCCCTCGTCACTCTTGTTGCCAGACCACCTTCTCGAGCTCCATCCAGAGCACCCGGTGTTGCTGAAACCCAGAGACCCTTACAAAATCCGCATCAGCAAATCATCTCCGGCACTTGTTCCGGATCTCAAATCATCATATCCCGCCTTGGTCGTTTTGCTACATCCTTCGTTCCTGAGGGCAGACTTCTTATCTGTCACAATTACGACTCACCAGGAAAAATTGGAGTGGTGGGAAGTATCCTGGGCAAACAAGACGTCAACATTAATTTCATGAGTGTCGCTCCCATTTCGAAACAACTCCTCGAAGAGGATGCAGCCAAGGGACAAAGCCAGAAGGGATATGGTGGCAATGGTAATGGAATTCATACGGAGGCTCTCATGCTACTTGGTGTTGACGGGCCCGTTAGCCAGGATGTCGTCACGGCCTTGGTTGACTCCGGCGGTGTCTTGAGTGCGAGCTTAGTTTCGCTTTAAGCAGTGAACTGAACGCCGAAGCCAGCATCCCCAGACATAGCGTATCACAAAATTATTCAATGAAACCGGGGTTTGACGACCATATAGGATCTTAGCGGTCTATTCACGAGTTCGAAAACGCGTTAGACTTACTTCAACACGACAGATTTGAGCTTTCTCAAATATGAAATGGGGATCGTATACACTTGAGTACGCCCGGGGGAGAGGTGACTACTAATAGAATGGGATTACCCAGATATGGCAAATAATGAGATTTTACGAATGGACGACTTTAAAATGAACAAATTTTTGAATTTTTGCGTAATTTACTACTTCTTCACTGTTCGTAGTTCTTCTGCTGCATGTCATTCCTTTCCCCAAGACTCCACCCATTCCACACATATACCTTTGAAATCAACGATTCAACGTACTTGGAAACAGGATATCTCAAGAATCATCCCGACATACTGGAACTGATGAGTCCATACATATCACAACTGAGACGTACTTCAAATGAGTGTAATCTCCTCGGAACAATGTTTCCTAGGTGTTCCTTGGCTAACGCATGGGACTCCCACCGAACGTTAGGCCCTTCGCACCACCAAAACTCCCATTACTCGGTGTTAGGGCTGTGGATCTCCTAAACGCTTGCCGCGGGGTCGACGGTGTGCTTCCACTCATACTCCCATTCGAACTTCCACCCCCGGCGGGACCGCCAGTAACTGACGCAGCGGCGGATGCGGATGCCGGAAGAATAAAATCTGGCGTATTCCTCCCGCTAAGAGGAAGACGAGATATAGGATTTGTGGAACCAGGGGTGGATAGTCCATTTGGATTCACGCCGTTGTTGATATTGTTATTGTTTGGGCTAGGCGTGGCTTGGGAAGGATATCTGGCCGGGGGGCGGAATCCGACTTTGACTCCTTCGCGGAATATTTCTTCGAGGATTTGGTTTACTATACCTGCATCCTCGTATTCTTTGAATTTTTTCCAGAGGCGGAGGGCCATACGAGCATCTTCAATGGAGTCGTGGCCTTCTGGAGGTGTCGTAGTTATGGCTGTGGTTGTTGTAGTACTTGTATTAGCGTCGTGACTGCTGGGATTGGTTGTGGTAGTGATTGATGTCGAGGTCGTTGTGGTTGTTTCTTCTTGGATGTATTCTTTGAATACCGCCCAGGCAAGATATCGTAGACTCAGCCGCCGATTCTTCCCTGGGTGGAAGAACAGGTACTGGGTGTCTATGGTCTGGGCTTTCGGAACTTGTATGTTGATCTTTCTAAAGTCGGATGCCAATCCATGGCCGACGAAGACGCAGCCCAGGTTTAAAAGGAGCCACAGCTTCTTATAAGCTACTTTCAGTGCGACGAGGTTGTGACGACTCGTCCGTGGGTCGAGATCTCCTGGCTTGATGCCAGAGTACTGAGTTACATAATCGACGATTGGATCCTTGATTGTAATGTAATCATCAATAAACGGGACGCCTTCATGGTTGCCGGAACCGCGAATCACAGATACTCGAGCAAGTCCGCTCTTGCTGGGCCGGATCATTTCCTGGGTTCCATCGGCTTTGACTTCGATCTCTGCTTTCTCGAGGTCTACGAATTCCGTGTCGAGAGCGATCGGAGTGCCCGCAATAGGCTTTTCTTCTGACTTGAGGATGTGGCATTTGTCGGTTGGTGGGCGA